GCTATCGGCAGGCCCGGCCTGCTTGGCCCTGCTACACAGCAACTCGCTGAGGCGAGCGGCGAGCCCGAGTAGCAAATAGCCTGACCCAGCGGGCCCACTGATTCAGAAGAGTCATTTCGTCGCTCTGCCTCTATCGTAGGTTTGTGAACTCGTTTGTGAATCCCTCGGGGAAAGACACATGAAGACATGGCGACGAAATGGCCTTTCGGAATCGCCCTGCTGCAGCGAGTGCTGCCCCGCGTTTGCCTGGGTTTGAAATCCTCGCTGGCCTCCCCGAGCAGGGGCCACCATGACGCAGCCTTAATTGGGGCAATCATTTCATGCTCATGCCCATGAACGTCCCCGTGCCATACTACAGGCTGGCGTTACAAGTTCAATCGCTATCCACGTTTTCAGGGAAACCTTTCACGTAGATTCGGCGAGAGTCGGGCGAAAACGCCTGGTGGCATGGCATACGATCATGTGTGGTCTGCCCTCTAATGGTAATGGTAATATGGTGGGTAGGCAGTCCCTGATGCAGCCGTGTCGGCGGGCTGCCTACCCTCGGATCTGCAGGGGTCCGCGTGGGTCTCCACCCGCCTCCACCACAACGTTGTTGGCACTTAAGTGGTCACAATTTTGCGCACGATGCACCAGTTGGCTGAAAGGACCTCAGCCTGCCTGCCTGGCAATATCTGGGCTTTGCATGGAAATCCTTTTAACTCTGGTGCAAAGTGGGCAAATTTTTGCCAACCTTCACTTTATGTACTCGCACTCTCAGTAGCACAGTACCAACAAACAGAACTGGGTATTGGAACACGGCTCCCCTCCCCTGCCTCCTCCTCTCCTCGCCCCGACAGGTGTAGCATCTGTATCTGGGTCCGCCGTTAGCAGGCAGGCTAACCTCATCCAGGTCCACCCATGTTCGGATCCCTTCGGTCCTTCCGCGCGCTCCGCAGCGGACTGATTCCGAGAGTCGTTTCCACCGCTCTGTCTCTCTCGCACTCAAAGGGCGCTCCGTATGGGTGCGAGGGAGACAGAGCGATGTGAAGGACTCAGGGGATCGGTCCGCACGGCCTTGATGAGCTCAGCGGGAAGGGCGCGCCTGCTTCCCTGCAGCCTGGATGCTAATGCACCCAACTAGCATGCAACTGGTCTGCATCTCGGCTGGGCCTGGCTGGGCTCGTACACGAGGAGGGGAGGGGAGGAAGGACAGGGAGGGGAGGGCATCGGAGCACACTTGACTAGCCTCTCCATGCACAGTTAGTTAGCGACTGCGATTCCTGGCGCCGCAGCACGCCGCCCCGCCCCGCCCCGCCAAGCCGCTCTGAAAACACTCCGCGCCGAATTGGCACGTCCTGGATCGGGCGCCCCGTCCTGGAAGGCGACCTTCAGGACGGAGGGTGCGGCATGGCGCTGCTTGGAGGGCACACGGCACCGCCTCCGCCCTCTCCGCCACCGTAAAGTCCCCCGCGACCCTTGAAGGGCCTCGCGGCCTCGCGGTCGGCAAGGCCTTAGGCAAGGCTGTCCGGCCGACAGCCGAGCGATTCAGAAGGGTCGTTCCGTCGCTCTGTCTCTCTCGCACTCATAAGGCTCTCCGTAAGGGTGCGAGAGAGACGGAGCGACAAACCGATCCACTGCATCGCTCGGCAGTTCAATATAACGCGCCCAGCGGCTCGGCGGCGCCTCGGCCCGTCTTGCCTGCAAGTAGATGGCGAACAGCGCCTCGTCGCTCTGTCTCTCTCGCGCGCCAGCGGGCCACTCCGGGAGTGCGAGAGAGACAGAGCGCGACGGAGCGACGAACGCACTGCGAGCCTCATGCAGCAGTCATGGCGCAGCTGCAGTCTGCTCCACATTCCGGAGGGTGCCTTCCAGTGCACTGGCATGCCTTCGCCGCGCCGCGTCGTTGAGACTCCGTGCTCCGTGCTCTGCCAATGTCCATCAGGTCACCGCTCGTCAACCTCGCCGTGGCCCTACAGCTGGTACACGATTTATTTTCCGGAGCAAGTGATGCGGACCTCCACGCCCCTCCCCAAAGTGGCCACATGCTTTACAAACGGCCCCCGGGGCATTAAAACTTTTAGAGCCAATCACGCAGAGTCGCGTTCCGCGGCCCGGCAAGGCCCGGTCGGCCGGCCGGGGGCAGCGCACTAAAACACGTCGAGAATTATGGAGAAGCGTATACAGCTTTGGGAGAATCCGAGAGGCCGGCCGCGCAGCGCGCAGCAGCAGAGCGCCGCCGTGCAGGCGAACGGTTATTTCTGTCTCCTCTGGTCCTCGGCGGACTGATTCCGAGCTGTCTCTCTCGCACGCGTGGGGTATCGCGTACAGGTGCGGGAGAGACAGAGCGGTGAAGTCGTCCCCCGGAATCCGTCTGCTGGCCTCCTGCGGGCGGTAGCGCGCCGGTCCACCGAAAACACACAAACGGCCCTCGCCTCCCTCCAGCTGGCTGGACTCGCCTCCAGCCTCCAGCGGAGCCTCCAGCGGATCGGGACGGGCCGATAGGACGGGACTGGACGGGCGTTCCTGGAGCGGTACACGACAGTGTCGCGTCGCCGTGAGACGGTCCCGAGTCCCGGGGACTGGTTGTAGGACCCTCGAATGGATGCGGGGCGGGGCGGGGCGGGGCGGGGCGGGCCGCTAGGACCGGCCGGCCTGGGGCGCCCCGGTTCGGTGCCGCTCGATGGTCGCATCATCGCGCCGCGCCATGCTCAAACCGTTCGCAGGGCGCAGGGCACACCCCAACCCAACCCACCCGCCGAGGCTGAGATTTTCACCCTCTTGTAATGAATGAACACGACGAACAGACACACTGTCCTCGAGTCACAAAATGTCACCAAATCAGGCATTTACTTGACGCGAAGTTGTGATGGTTTCATTCGTGCTGAAACGTTATTGGCATTCCCTGCGCGAGGCTTTCATTATCTTGACGGGCACAGAGCGAGAAAGCAAGACAAGACAACGCTTCAGTAACGCTAACAAATGATTTGGAGCTCCTGTGCAAGGGCGGACCCGAGCACGGCTTCAGGGAGGTTAGGACTCCAGTGTCAAGACTCAAGAGCGAGGTCAAGAGTAATCCCTGCCCTGCCGTGGCGTGTTTTCACTCACCGACTACACTGTAAACTCGGCAGCGCGCGGCAGCGGGTCGTTGCGCCGCGTTGCTGCGTGTAATCCTTCGCAACGTCTCGGACGGCGTGTCGCCGCACCTTGTCGCACTCTGGGAGCGCTCGCACGCACTCGACTTGCACTGCCCGGCGCACTTGCACTGCCGTCCCGCCGTGCGACTCGGCGCGGCGACCTGGCGGCGACGCGCAACCTCGCGGTCCACGGAACGCGCCGGACGTGCGGAGTGACCGGGAGTGACCGGCCGGCGGAAGAGGAAGACGGACTGGAAGACGGAGACGCAGACAGACAGGACGCACTCGCTTCACTTCCACTCGCGGTCCGCGGTCGCTGGCGGCGCGGGGCGGTGCGGTGCGGCCGGGCCGAGGCTGGACTGACAAATGACCGGCGACTCGCGACTCGACTGCCTCCCGCTTCCCGCGACTTGGCGTCGCTTGGCGTCGCTTGGCGTCGCTCCGCGTGCTTCGCGGCGCTGGAGCCGGCCGGCTGGAGTAGGCTGGAGCCGCGCCGATCCTGGAGCGAGAGGCCTCTCTCTCGCACTGCTGGGGCGCCCCGTGAGGGTGCGAGAGAGACAAAACGCCGTTCGGAATCACCCTGCTGCAGAGGAGAGCCTCCGGGCTGGAGGCTTGTCTGGAGGGCTGGAGGGAGGGGACAGTCCCTCGGACCGCGGGCTGGCCGGTCGACAGCGCGGCACGTTCGGAACACGTCCAGATCACGTCCCGGCCGTCCGGCCGTCGCGACGAGACGAGACGTGTCACTCCATTCGGCGAGCTGCGAACCACGCCACTGGGAACACGACGGCCGCGCGGAGGCAGCGAAGGGCGGCGGCACCAGGGGCGGGACGAGGATGGACGAGGCAGGGCACGGCAGCAGGTTGACCGGCTACTAGCGGCGACTAGGTCTCGGTGATGCTGCGGCGGCTGCTTCACGTCAGTCCAGCGAGGCTCGCCTAGGCTCGCCGGGCCTCCCCCCCTTTTTTCCTCCTTACAGGCTTACAGCGTGCGCTCCTGGAGGACTCCACCTCGCTGCGGTGGTTGTCGTGGTCAGCGCGCGTGGCCCGTGTACCTGCAGACTGATTCCGAAAGTCGTTTTCGTCGCTATGCCTCTCTCCCACCTGTAAGGGACGCCACATGAGTGCGAGAGAGACGGAGCTACGAAAACGGCTCTCGGATCAGCCAGCATGTTGCCCCTGGGGCTGGGGCCTATCGCTTCTCTCCCCCCCCCCCTTTTGTCCGCAAGATTACTGAGCACTTGCCTTTGCCGACCCCACTTGCTTGCAGCGATCACGACCCCCTCCTTCCCCCCCCCTCTCACTCCGCCACTGTAACCGCACCTGACGATACAAACGCAGACAAACATATCAACGTCAAAAATGTATGAAAAAGGGCCTCTGCTATCAGTGTTGCTCTTAAAGAAGGATGTGAGTGAAGTGACATTGTGATGGAATCATTCGAGTGTCGTGAGGCAACAGATCACGCTGTTCATACTTTAGCCAATTTGCTCCGACAGTCTTTTGGCACAGTTTGGTGAATCTTGGGAGAGGAAAACTAAACTTGCTCAAAAGATCTGTCCCGCGCTGCGCAAACAATTAGGATTCTCGCGCGGCACAATTAATTGCGTTACTTCTCTTAGGACGCGGGCCGCAATTGATTCTGCACCCTTCTGGGGACATTGTGTCGACGAATGTTTCGATGCCTCTTCTCTTCTTGACGCAATCTTTTAAGTTCAAGTTCATTTGGCGCCTGCCTCGAGTCGATGCCATCCCGCACTACAGCGGGGTGAAGGATTGCCTAGCTGGCGGGCGTTTCGTTCGTGGATGAAAAACTTAGCAGTTGTGCGCTAGCCTCGTCGTCATGCAGCCTTAAAAGTGAATCTGAAAGCGAATATACTACCCCGGCCGAGAAAGGCTGATGATTTCCCGCCAAAGTGCAGCCGGTCCCGAAGGACGTTTATTGTTCCAAGTTGCCGCAACGTTGTATCGAGGTAGAAATTCGAGCAACAATTTGGCCTGTCGTGTGGTGATTTTCCTTCGAACGACAGTGTTGCGCCTGTCACTGGTGTGCCGCACGCGTAAAGATGGACGTAGCTGACGCTCAAGTTGGAGGAAATCGCGTTCGGGATGATGTTGGAGTTCGGTGTCAGAAGCTGTTCCAGGACTTTTTGGAAGAGTGAGTTTTTTTGTGGATTTTGAAATGTTTATCACAAATTTACAAGCATGCTTTCCCGTGTCTAAAGACCTGAAGCTTAGCCCAACCGTTCTGTCCTTAAGGGGGCTGCCACTTGTTGATGTTTGCGTTTTGCATTTGCTTCTGCTATTTTAGCCTTACTTTTTCTTATTCAGATATGTCCACCATTTATCCTGTGTCTTTATTTATTTTCTATGATCTGCTTGCAGGTTCAAGGAAGATGGTGTGGTCAAGTACCTGGACCCTATCCAGCAGCTTAAAGAGCCTGAACGCAGTACTCTTGAAGTTAGTTTCGATGATGTTGAAAAATACAATCAAAACCTTGCCACCACTATCATAGAAGAATACTACAGGTTTGCCATGCTTCTTATATGCCTTGGAGGATTCATTTCTGTGTTATATCACCTTTGTTTATGTTTTATGTCATACTTTCAGAATTTATCCTTTCCTTTGCCAAGCTGTGCGCAACTTTGCCCATGATCGGGGTGAAGCCAGGAAAGATAAGGATTGCTATGTGAGCTTTGTTGACGTTCCTACGAGGCACAAAGTCAGAGAACTGAATACTAACAAAATTGGCACCTTGATCCGTATTTCTGGTCAGATTGTGAGAACTCATCCTGTCCACCCTGAACTTGTCATGGGTACATTTGTCTGTCTTGATTGTCAGACAGTTGTTCCTGATGTTGAACAGCAATTCAAAGTAAGTTGATTACAAGTTGTTTTTATCTTTTCTCTGTTTTTCACCTTACATCTCAACTTAACTCTACCATTTTATTGTCCAGTTCACAAACCCCACAATATGCAGAAATCCTGTCTGCAGCAACCGTCGCCGCTTTATGTTGGATATTGACAAGTCAACTTTTGTTGACTTTCAAAAGGTTCGCATTCAAGAAACACAGTCTGAACTGCCCCGTGGTACAATTCCTCGAAGGTAATTAGACATCTGAATCATTAATTACTTTTTTTAAGTGCTTGTGAGCTTCTCCTAATGCATTTTTATTGTTTTGGTCCCTCTCCCTGTAGTGTGGAAGTTATTTTGCGTGCTGAGATTGTAGAAACTGTTCAAGCTGGTGATCGTTATGATTTTACGGGAACCTTGATTGTTGTTCCTGATGTTGGTGTATTGGCCAATCCTGGAACTCGTGCTGAATTGAACTCTCGCCACAAAGGGGGTGATAGTCAGCCAGAGGGTGTTCGTGGTCTAAAGGCTCTTGGTGTTCGTGAACTTAACTACCGCATGGCTTTCTTAGCATGCAGTGTAGCTGCTACCAATACTAGGGTAAGCCATTGTGTATTTAGGTAAAGGTGTGTTTTTAAGACCCTGGTATTGACTTTTGTTTATTTTCCTTTCCAGTTTGGTGGAGTTGATACACTTGGGGAGGAAATGTCAGCAGAACTGATGAAGAAGCAAATGACTGATGCTGAGTGGGACAAAATTTATGAGATGAGCCGTGACCGCCAATTATACACCAATCTGGTGAACAGTCTGTTTCCTTCCATTCATGGCAATGACCAGATTAAAAAGGGGATTGTTTTAATGCTCTTTGGTGGAGTACCCAAAACCACTCATGAAGGAACTACCCTCAGAGGAGACATCAATTGTTGCATTGTTGGAGACCCTAGCACTGCCAAATCACAGCTGCTGAAACAAGTAAGATGTTTCCTTCTGGCTGTTTTTAGAATTATCATATAACAAAAGTGATAAAATTTTACTTTAATATTTAACATATCTCTTCTAGGTGGCAGACTTTATTCCTCGAGCAGTGTACACTTCAGGCAAGGCATCCACAGCTGCAGGTCTGACAGCTGCTGTTGTGAGAGATGAGGAATCCAATGATTTTGTTATTGAGGCTGGCGCCCTCATGTTAGCTGATAATGGAGTCTGTTGCATTGATGAATTTGATAAGATGGATCCTCGTGATCAAGTTGCCATTCATGAGGCTATGGAACAGCAAACTATTTCAATTGCCAAGGTATTTTATTAAACTCCGAGCTTTGACCATTATAGCTTCATGTGGTTTCTTTTTTTTTTCCTCCATTAACATATTTTCTGTTTATGGTCTTTAGGCAGGTGTAAGAGCAACTTTAAATGCCAGAACATCTATTCTTGCTGCTGCCAACCCTATTAATGGACGTTACGACAGGTCAAAGTCTCTGGCACAAAATGTTATGTTATCAGCTCCCATCATGTCACGTTTTGATTTGTTTTTCATCCTTGTTGATGAGTGTAATGAGGTAGTTACATTTTTCTTAAGTCCAGTATAAATGAGGTGTATCAGTGGAGTTCTGTTTCTTAATAAGAAATCTGATTTTTTAACAGGTTCTTGATTATGCCATTGCAACTAAAATCCTTTCACTGCACTCTGGTGTTGATGATACTGTAGAAAGAGTGTATTCTCAGGAAGAGGTTCTGCGCTACATCGCATTTGCACGCCAATTCAAACCAGTCATCAATGAGGTTTATCTCATTTGCACTTCATTTTATTTTATAAATAAACTGTTTTTTACTTACATTTATTCTAATTATTTATGTCATGCAGGGTGCATCTTCTCTCTTAGTTGACCAGTATTGTCAGCTGCGCCAGAGAGATGGCCAGGGAGCTGGTAAATCAACTTGGAGGATTACAGTGAGGCAGCTGGAGAGTATGATTCGCCTTTCAGAGGCAATGGCGAAAATGGAATGTTCAGATGAAGTACGTAATGTGATCTCACTGTCTTGTCCAGACAAGTGTACTTGTTTTTTAAATAATCCCTTATCTTTTTTTCTAGGTTCAAGAGCGTCATGTTTCAGAAGCTTTCCGTCTTCTAAACAAGTCGATTATTCGGGTGGAACAGCCTGATATTAACCTTGAGGCAGATGAAGATGAACCTATGGAGCTTCCTCCAGAAAATGGAGAAAATGGTGTGAATGGTAAGTGCTCAAGACCAAAATCTCATTTTATTCCCATTTCTATAACTTTGTTTTTTGTTTACTCTTGTTTTTTTGTTTTTTTTCAGAGGATGATCCTGAAGAAGTCCAGCCCAAGAAGAAATATACATTAACATTTGACGAGTACAAAAATTTGTCAAACTTGCTAGTTATCTTCATGCGTCGTCAGGAACAGCATGCGGAGGAAGGTGACTTTGAAGAGGGCAAAGAGAGGGGAGTTAAAAAGAGTGAAGTTGTAGCATGGTATCTCGACAATGTCATTGATCAGATAGAAACAGAAGAGGAGCTTGTGGAAAGGAAAGCTCTGATTGAGAGGGTCATTGACCGTTTAACTTACCATGTAAGTTGTTGTTAATTTTGCCCTTTTCAAAGTTTGTGGTACAAGCCTTGTGTTTGTCTATTCATTAATGCACTGTTTTTTTTCCTTGTAGGATCAAATTATCATTCCACTCATGAAAACTGGTCTTTCTGGACGCGATGAAGAGTCACAAGAAGAAGATCCACTTTTGGTTGTCCACCCCAACTACATTGTTGATGCCTAAGCTGTCTTATGTGTCCCTATCCATTCTCTGGTTGTGAAATTGCATGCTTTCAAATTAAGCAATTCAATTCAATTCATGCCATGTTTTTTTTGTGTAGATACGACGTGTATAATTTTAATCCTAGATTTTATCTTAGATATTATTAAGTGATGAAAGTCAGTACTTTCTGACCAGCTGTGCCTTAAGTAACATATTTATTTTAAGTGTAGAATGATTGCGGTAAGGTGAATGATTGTGGCCAAGTGACAATAAATTAAGAAAAGTGTGTCTTTATTCAGGTATCTGATTTTCTTTCTCCTTTTTAAAGACATGACTAGAGGTTGAAACATGTTCTTGACAATCGCACTTTTGCACAATGTTCAATGAATATTTCAAAATCTGTGTCCCTTACATACGTTTCTACTGAACGTAATTAACGACAAGACAGGGTACGATTTTGTAGCTAATACAGGTATATCTAAAATCAATAATATTTCACATCTTGCATATAATTTGAATAATCAACATGTCAACCACCAGGTCAACCCAAAAGAAGCTTCCTAAAATAACAATGGAATAAATTTACTCCTTTCATCTGACTAGAGCCTGAGTAAACTGACTCGGAATAACATGGTTCAGAATTTAAATTTCTTTCTAGGAAATTGAAATCTAATAACATAATGGCATTGTTGAAAATTATCTCTTGCTCTTTCTGCCACCTGGAAATGAAGCATTTGAATTTTCTTTGTTGTAGCTGGCACTTAACTCCTAGAGGGAAATTAATCTAGGCTTTGTGTCTGTGGATGAGTTATTCAGCATTTCTGTAACAAACACAAAATTTGCATGTGTGAGACAATTGATAATCAAAGTTCTGTCCTACCGCCTATTTCATGATGATTCCAAACCCTTTTCATTTACATAACAGATTCCAGAAGATGCAAGGACTGTAGAAAATCCATATGAACATGAGAGTTGTGCAAGCATTCATTTGGTATTAATTTGAAGCTTTGATGTGAGAAATGAGAGGGGAGTGTTGAGGTGCAAGCAATGGTACAGTGGACCACTTAATCTTTCAGCACATCAACCCTCTGCAGAGAGATCATGTTGAGGCAAAAAGGTCAAGGCTTACTGGACTAGGACGTTTATGAAAAGGATCATTGTTATGTTCAAACTGAACTTTATTTTAAGTTATCCAAGCTGGTACAGGAAGTCCCAGACATGATCATACATGAATGTGCGCTGGGGTTCACATGCAGGATGTAGTTGGATCACACATGCATTATTACAATACCAGATGAAACCAAACTAAAAATGTAAGTCATTCGTACATTTTAGAGAAATAAATTTGATGTGTTCCGCGACATTTAAGAGACATGCATTTGGTAAGCATATCACTCAACCAACAATGGAATACATACTGGTTGTTATCATCATTATGTAAAATTGCTAGTCTCAATATTGTTTAAAAAACAATGTACATTCTCTTGAGTAAAGGTTCAAACGAAATAAGGTAGGAACTTAAATCAGGAAACATTGGTCTTAGCATATCACTAGGTAGACATTTGGTCATTGCTTGATGGGCATTGATGAGTATGTTGGTTTGCTTAAGTAAACAGTTTGGTGGACCGTCAATGTTAACCAGAACAAATAAAATATTAATTTTGTTATGGAAGAAGCGCATTAAGCATTATTATCAAGTTGAGGACAAGCTTTTATCATGCATAACTTAAAATGCATCCTAAAATCACTGGGATGATGCAAGAATTATCATTATCACACACACTAATTTTTGCTCCAGATAAATTAAGTAGATCAACTTAAAAAATAGTTTAACTGAACATCACAAATACAGAGCATATTGTCTCATTGTTCTAAAGAAAGTCTTCCTAAATAAATAAATAGCATCAAAAACTAATAAAACTAGTAAAAAGGAACAAATGCGGGACAAATCTGACCCCACTTTGGTCTACAAATCAAAAGTTAAAAGTTACAAGTACAGAGGGAAAATGTGTCGAGCTAAAGAAATGGTAAGGCAAAACAGTCACTAGCGACGCACAACCAAAAGCAAATGCCATGAAGGAGTGTAAGATATTCAATGCACAATGGAAACTCAGGAACTCATTGGTTATGTGAACTGAATGAACTGAATGCCATGGGATGGATCAAGTTCTTCATACATACACAATGCGCATGGTGTTGGTGAAGCCAGAGCCCTGCTTCCAGCCAGTAACAATCACCACAGGGTCACCCTTCTTGATGAAGGCCTTCTTCTGACCAAACTGAATACCAAACTGAACACGAGCATCAACATCCTTCAGCCAGTCAGACAGAGCAGGTTCTAAAAGAATAAAACATGCCATAGAATTAAAAGACCTTGATAAGTTTCAGCTTCATAATTTATTTAAGGTATGAAGAGCTTACCCTTGTAGCACAGGGGCAGGATAGCGCGGTAGACATGACATTGGCGGGCAACCTGTTCGTATCGGGTAACAGCAATGATGGGGCACTTGGGGCGGTACTTTGAAATGAGATGAGCAGATCGGCCTGAAGTAGTAATAACAATAATGGCGGAGGCGAGGCACTTCTGTGAAGCTTCAACAGCAGCAATAGCAACGGTGTGAGTGGCATCAATTGGTGGAGAAGCCTAAAGAAATAGTCTTTGTTAGCAACTTAATTTTGAACCTTATCTTCCACAAGTAGGGAGGCATTTGAAGATATCTGTGACACCTACCAGGCAGCTCAGGTCACTGAACAGCTGCTTCTGCCAGATTGCAGCTTCAGCTTCCTTGCAAATGTTGGCCATTGTCTGAACACATTCAATGGGGTACTCTCCCTTGGCTGTCTCTCCAGACAGCATGACGCAGTCAGCACCATCCAGGATGGCATTTGCTACATCAGAGATCTCTGCACGAGTGGGGCGGGGTTTCTTCACCATGGACTCCAGCATCTGAGTGGCGCAGATGACAGGCTTGCCGACCTGGAAGATAGAATTAGTTCAAAACAAGAGTTCAATTTATATTGACAGGAAAGTTGGTCGCTGGAAAATACAATGGAAAAATGTATATACCTTGTTGCAGCGAGAGATCATAGCCTTCTGTGCAAGGAATACTTTTTCAGGAGGAATTTCAATACCAAGATCACCACGGGCAACCATGATACCATCAGAAGCGGCAATGATCTCATCCAGGTTGGCCATACCCTGGTGGTTCTCAATCTTGGCAATGATCATGATCTTCTTGCCAGCATCACCTTCAAATCAAAACAACATGATAATGAGTGATGAAAATTTCACGAGGCGCAGATATGTGAAAACTTTTAAGGTTTAATTACCCAAGATTCCCCTAATTTCTTTGATGGCAGCAGCATTACGGATGAATGAAGCAAAAATCATGTCAACTCCCTGCTGAACACCGAACTGCAAGTCGGCCTTGTCCTTCTCAGAAACAGCTGGAAGATCAACGGGAACACCAGGAAGATTGCATCCCTTACGAGATCCAAGCATGCCACCGTTCTCAATCTCACAGTCAATGTAGTTGTCACCTGAGAAAAGAATACAACACCATTAAAGATGCATCTAGAGCATGGAACAAAGATCAAATATAGTAAGACCAAACATATATAACAAATACTAACCAACTTTGCGAGCAATGAGGGAAATAAGTCCATCATCCACAAATACTCTGTTACCCTCCTTCACCACCTTGGTGATGTTTACATAGTCAACGTAGATCTGTTTCTCATTACCAGAGTTCTCGGCAGACTTGTCAGTGGTCAACCTGATGGGATTGCCCTTCTTCAATTCAATCTCGGCTGATCCACCCTATTGGATAAGATAGGATCATTTTTACAAAGTACTAAAATAAAAACTAAAATTTCTGGGAACTTAGGGTTTTGAAAATAAGTTTCTGGAAAAGGGAGCACTTACACCTTCCAGAAGACCAGTACGGATTTCAGGTCCCTTGGTGTCCAGAGCAATGGCAAGGGGATGAATAATGCCCAGCTTCTTGCTGTAGCTCTCCACAGCTTTGCGGACATTGGCAATGGTCTCTCCGTGGTATTCATAAGAGCCATGGGAGAAGTTTAACCTTGCTACATTCATGCCATTATCAATCATACGCTCGAGCATAGCAGGGTCCTTGGAAGCGGGTCCTGTGAATGAAATTAATGTTTGAAGGATAAGAAATATTTATTAGCACAAAACTCAGACAAAAGGTAACATGCAACTTACCAATGGTACACACTATGCCTGATAAGCGAGTGTATGATGCTTTGGCATCAATGTCCAAAGCACACATGTGGTTCAATTGAGTGGTTGATTGTTCTTGAGCCATCCTGATCTTACACCCAATAGGGTTAGCCTAAAAAACAGAAGTAAGGAAAACTTAGACAATGGTTCATCACAGTCAAATTCAGAAAGACAAAGCCTTTGTACTGTGTAAACGTAGGCAATACCTTCTGGGAAAATAAAAATAATACACAAGCTAGTTTTAGAACTGCAATCAAGTAAGCAACATACATCAAAATAGTAAAACATTTGTTTAAAATGCATGCCAAGTTATGTCTACAAGTTTTGATGGAGAAAATCATCACTTATAATCTAGTTAGTGTCTTTAATTATTATTTTTGTGTGGTACAAATCTGCCAACCACAATTTCTCATTACTTCACATGCAAACCAAAACAGAAACAATCCATACATTAACTTTAGGGTTAAAAAAAAAAAAAGAACAGCAGAACAACAGACTTTAACTCACTAGAGTCAAGCAACACAAAATACACTAAATTATCCAAATTCAAGCCAAAACAGAAAAAAAAGGAAAACATCAGTGTTTTGAACCAAACAAAGAGCAGAACAAGTCTATTTAATGTTTTGCTTTGACCAGGAGATACTATTCAAGCAAGGTCATCATCTATCACATTTTTATTAATAGCAACACAAATCAAAACAAAGCAGAAAAGTATAAAGCTTGAACACTTTGATACATTTGCAATACATAAAAAAAGGTAAATCATATCTGTCAAATCAAAATAGGCAAAGGTGAACCTAAACACAACTACAAAATTAGTGACAGATACATGTTTTTACCTCATTTGTATTGTCATTGACAGTTGGCCAAACCATTGTTCTTTTAATTAGGAACCCGCTTAAAGGTGAAACTCTGCAGGAAGAAAAGATATCCTTAGGGACACTGCGGAGACCCCAGCGAGGACAGAGAAGCACACGTATTAGCTGAGACCCTATCACCATACAGCAAAGCCCAGCACCACAAGGCAGGTGCTCCCTTCCACACTGACCTCTACCGCCACCCTGTTCCCCTGCCCTGGCTCTAACGCTCAGCTGGCTCAAAACTCTTCCTCAACCTCCCCCTCTCCCACCACCCAGAAATAAAAATAGCCCTTGAATTTTTGCCAAGGGCTCCACCTTGGACCTGGTGTCTAAAGCATCAGAGCGCCACAGCACACAGTTCAGCACAAGCTGCAGCCCTGACAAGCTGCCATTCCCAAGAATCCCAAAAGCAGGAACCGTGAGTATCAGTACAGCATATAAACTCAAAACTGTCTCCTTCAAATGATTGAATTGATTTGGAAGTACATACTGAAATACTGTTAATAAAATAAAAATAATGCATAGTACAGAACTTAAAAGTAAGGAAACCTCCATGAGAATCAAAAACTATAACAATAACAAGAAGTGATTGAAAATATTGTGCGATTGGTTTAGTGTTACAAACAATGAAGGTAATTAGCATTGATAATTATTGAAGTTGCTTTAATATGTGGGATTTAAACCTTGTGAACATTGACAGTACATAAAATGCATACAATAAATTATTTTTCATTAATGAATGGAACCAATTATGCAAAGTACACAATTGTGTTGTTTTTAGATTTTTCTTTATTTCAGAATGCAACTGGCCCACTCGAAGTTGGTTTCTGCAACAAAATTTCACTGGAGGCCTCTGGCAAACAGGCCGGAAGAACGCACCACCCCATGGGAGACGGGCAGTAACCCTTTCGTTTCGTCCTTGTCCTTGGAGCCGTTTCGTCTGCCCTAGGGCCCCCCAAGCATTGCACTGGCGCTCTCTCAAGAGTTGCCAGACGAGGAAGGGGACGCAACCCACAAAGCAAAGCCACCTTGCAGTGCAGCAGGACGGACCGGAGCGGCGAGGCAGCCCCGTCCAGCGGCAGCCGCGTCCTTCTGGGCAACCTGTCAAAGCACCCCCGCGAACATAACCTCCACGAATGGCCGTCTCTGTCAGAGGGTCTGCGACTCTGGCGAAAAGGCGGCGGCAAACGGTGCGGGCGGCCGTAGCCACCTCAAAATGACGTCTAATGGCGAGGCTCTAGCGACCGGGGGCATCGGCTGGCGCTGACATTGACCATCGACCGCCCCGGACGAAGGAAAGTCGGGAGGACATGGCTGATGACACTGGGGCAGCGCAGCGCAGCGCCCACAGTGTTTAGCATTTCGCCATGACGACGGAGTGACGACCGCTAAATACAAGGGCAATGAAAAAGCGGCGTTCAAGCGCACGGAGACAACCCACCTGAGTAGAAATGGGAAGAAAAGACGCTCGCTCCACGGATCTCAAACGGCGAGTGGCAGAGTCAAAGACTCGGAGTGACACCGTTCGACGGGCAGGGGCGGGGAGGGGAAGGGGCGGGGTGTCCTACTCCGTCCTATGAGGTGCGGTGCGCATGGGCCGCGGCGCCGTCCGCGGCTCAAGGTCACACATGGCACCGTGCTGGTCAAGTGGCGTCCCAGCCGTCCCAGGCACTGGCATCCTGGAGAGCCTTCGCCAGGACGGCCGCGCCCCGCGAAGGACCTGCAAGGACACAAAGACACAAGGGTAGCAAAAGCGGATTTTATTCGGTGGGCGGACAGGGCGGCAGCGCCGCTCGCGACGGCAACGCCTTTCGGGAAGCAGCAGAGTCCCCCATCCTCGACTCGCACTTGACTAGCTCCTCCAACAGCTGATGCAGCACGTGAAGGGGGAGTGGGGCATGCGCACGGCGTGCCTCTAGGCGTGCACGGCGTGCTCAGCACGTCGCCTCGCGGAACTGCTGACGAACAAGCGGCATGGCCGCGAGAAAAAAAAGTTTCTAGAGAAACGGGCTTGGAGGCTCTGCTTTTCGATTGCCACTAGAGTCATCGCCGTTTGTTTCAAGGGCCGTCCATTATTTTCCTGTGTTCGACAGACGTCCTGGCAGCACGCCAGAATCAGTCGTCTAGGCCTACGGTGTCTAGGTGACGTCTAGGAGGGAAGGAGGGGTCCAAGGGGTTTGATTAACGCGGCCCGTCCTTGAGATGCCATCCCACCGTCATAGCGTCACAGCCGCCAAGGAGCACTGCGGCGAGGGGTATGCCCACCACAGCTTGACCGCGACCGTGACGAGAGGACGGCGATACCCCGTTCCCTACCATGCCCCACGATCAGGAGTATTCTCGGAGATGACGATAATCAAACAGCGGGTGGGCGAACGAACGAATGAATGGACGAATGCATGAATGGACGAATGAATGAATGAATGAATGATGACTGGGCGAATGAATGAATGAATGAAATGATAATTAATAATGCCCTGAGGAACTGGATCAATGCAGGGCAGGAGGGAAGATTGAATCTCTTGGGATCTGTGGAAGAATGAATGGGGAAAGGACTACATGAATGAATCAATGAATGCATGAATGGTCTAGGAGCGTTCACCGGTTTGGTTTGTAGAGACATCTAGTCATATTTCCCTACCCACACCGGACTACCCAGCAGATGGGGATGACTAGGGGTGAAATGACACTGCAGATTTCCTCACCAATCAAGCTGACCGCACTGCAGGTTGAATGGAAGAATGAGCAGAGATGGAGCATAGGGCTCGGGCTAGTTTGGCGCGACCGGAAAGGCAATAGGCAACACTGTTTAAATTAGTCCTGACGCCACTAGCAAATGACACGGACGGGGAACCGGGGTTGAATGAGACGAGGCCGGCCCAGGCCTAGATGCATAGAGGCCTAGGTGGGCCCGGGGCAAGGGCAAGGGGTCTGCCACTTCTTGCACTCATAGAACGCGTCCAGCGGAAACTCACTTACATTTTAGCTGAAGAACGCCTGTATTTAGGCAATTTGTGAGACAAGCGCCTGTAAGTAGGCAAAAGGCATGGCGGAATGGAGTGTAGAATCACTGCACTCACACTCAGTCGTACATAATTTTAGTCAGTGGCAGATCCCTCGGCGCAGGGTGGATGCAGAGGCCCACAGGGGGAAGTCCCCGGTCCTAACTCAGGGCGCAAGGCCGACGCACCTCCCCGATGCACCGCCGTCCACTCGCGTCCGAGGGGTCCGAGGACACACCGGCCGCGTCGCCGCGTCCATTCGAAACCGCTCGCGCCACGCGCCACTGCGAGTGTCCTGCGCAAGACTGACTCGCCAAGCTCCGCCCAAGTGCCATGCAAGCCATGCTACTTCAACCGGCTCCATCCCGGTCATTCACGCTCACGCCACCCGACGCCCTGCCCGCCAGGCCACCCGCCAGGCCACCCGCCAGGACCGGCAGACTCATTCCGAGAGTCCATTCCGTCGCTGTCTCTCTCGCACCCATGGGGGAAGTCCATGAGTGCGAGAGCGACGAAAACAACTCTCAGACCCAGTCTGCAGAAAGCGCAAGCGGGAAATGGGGAGGGGGGGGGCGACTTACTCACTAAACACGCATTACACAAGACGACAAACGGGCAGTTCCCGTTGGGATCTCAAAATTCGCGGAATTGCAAAACATGCCGTTGACTTTGAATGGATTGGGAAACTAGATCTTCCACAAGCCCGTCCACCGCATGTCTCAGTCCCCCTCGAGCGCAATCATTTTAGAAAAGGCGCGTCACTCAGGCCGTCACTCCACACCCCGTGCGTCCCCGCCCCTATTCTGTATGACCCCCAAACCATCGGGGATGGCGATCGCCTGTTGTGTGTGCAATCCATCCTATCAGAAACCTATCCCAGAAGAAAGTGAGTGTGGGTCCCGATCATGTTAGCCCAGGGCCCTGTTTGCCCAGCACGCCCAACACACACTCAACCCTTGTTCCACTCCACGTTCCACGGAGTATCCGAGCGCGTGGCCCACAGGACTTGCAAACTTAACAATAACACACAAACACTCTATCGCCTGATAAGGCTTATATGGCGGTGACGTCACCGTTCCGAATCCTCGTGTGGATGACAAATGCCACGCGACATGGAGTGCCTGCAGACCACCTGGCAACGAAGGCGTTGGTTTTAAACTGGTCTTGGTGGGTGAGTGTGTTAGCAAGTTATCCATTTTAGGCGAAAAGTGCTTTTGCATTCCTACCGGGTTCAAGTTGGTGGCGACGACGCCCCCGTCGCCATCCTGCATTCACGCCAGGAAGTCATCAGAGTTTAACGAAATGCAGGAAGGGCCAAAGTCACGCATTTGTTGACTGCATTTCGCCTCATTGCTGACCAAAAGGGCTCAGAGAGTTTGACGTCTCTTGACTCACGCACTGACCCCAAAATGATCGAGGGGACGTACGACGCGCGGAGTGGGTGTGGGGGACCAGTCGGGGACCAGGGAGGGCCTACAGGGAAGTACACCGCGGGCGGGGCGGGGTCGAGCGGCGCGGGGGTAGGAGGGAGGCAATCTCAACGCCCCGAGACACAGCCGTCTGGGGAATCTCCAGTCTCCAGAAGCGTGGGCGCGTAGATTTCCCATCATAGAGTGCGTCTCGGAGGGCAGGCACGTAAAGTAGACGCCCGCCTCGCATGGCGACACCCTGTTGTTTGATCAGTGCCCGAGATAGGGCCCACCCTGTGCGCGCTTGTGCTGGCGCGGCTGGCGCCTCGTGCGTAGCAGCGCAGCGTGCAGCATCCGCACTCTTCGTTTCCGACAGCGAACCGGCCGCCTCCAACAGCGGGCATCAAGTAAATCGTCCGCCGCCGGCGGTTTCGCCTCGCGGAGGCCGTCATGGACGGGGACCGCGTTGAGGGGAAGGCGGACTGTACTGTGGCGCGAATTCGAGACTCGCGAGTCAGAAAGAAGACAGAAAAGCAGCCGGCGGCAGCGGGGCGCTGCAGTCCCGGTAGCAACAAAACTTTATCATATCACTGTGGTGATCGTTTCGAAAGGCCCAATCGCCCTGGTCGATGGCATCATCCGCTGCCGCTTGGCGCTCGCGGCTTCCCGGCCTTCCCCAAGGGCCTCGCGAAGCACCTCGCGAAGCACCTCGCGAAGCACGCGCGGAGCCTCCTTGGAGGGCCCAGGCAGTGCAGGCCTTCCCTCGGGACACACCTGGGCCCCAGGAATCCGCCCAGGACGCGTGTTTTTCTTGGGTGTTTGTCGCCGAGCAGGAGCGGGGTGCGGGGCCCGGAGGGGCCGGGGGGCCCAAGTGGAAAGAAGGCCGGCCGGCCGAGAGGGAGACCGCGCGGCCGTCTCGCTCCAACGCGCTGCCGGCCGCGGCGAACAGCGGCGAACGACAGAGACGACATGAACACATCGCGGGCCGGTGGTGGGGACGCCCGGCGATGGGCCGTGGCAGTGGACGGGCATGACACGTCCGAATCCAACGCCGAGCCAGTAGTAACAGAGCCGCGAGCCGCTGCACCCGGTGCGCCGTGTACTCCCTGCAGAGAAGCCGATTACCGCTTGTCCAGGCTTCAGCCGCACGCGACTCCAGGCAGACAGCCATGGCCCAGAAAAGGACCATCAACTTCGGGGCGGGGCCCGCCAAACTCCCCGAAGAGGTAAGGAGGAAAAAGGGCCACCCAGGGACCCAGTAGTTGAAGAAACAGGTTTCATTAATAAACAAACAATCAGGTGAACAGCAACTGTTTATTGTGGTATACTAATCTTCGATATTTTTCAAAAAGAGATAAAGATCAAAAAAAAAAACACTATAAGACATGCATTTGAAGACAACAATCAAGCTAATAATTTGATTTGAAATCATACAGGTTTTGCTGGAAGTGCAGAAGGAGCTTGTTCACTATGGCACATCTGGAATAAGTGTTATGGAGCTAAGTCACAGGTCGCCAGACTACAGCAACATCAATGATCAGGCTCAGCAAGCAGTACGAGACATTCTGTAAGTACTATTCAAACCCCGCAATTTTCACAAAGTACAATGCTTAGCAATTATCAATATGTTCAATTTATTTTAACAGGAATGTTCCATCAAATTACAAAGTTATATTTTTACAAGGAGGTGGCACTGGGCTTTTTGCAGCTGTAGCTCTTAATCTCATGGGGCGTACTGGATCAGCTGATTACATAGTAACTGGTAAACACATGATGCAACAGCATCCACTTTGTTTTGTATTTCCTGTCAATGTATCAGTGGATAAAGCAACTAATTTAATTTTCATCATTGTTTTTCTAAAGGATCTTGGTCATCCAAGGCAGCAAAGGAAGCAGCCAAGTATGGAAAAGTCAATCTTGTTTTACCAAAAACTGATAAATATGCAGAAATTCCTCCTGCTGCCTCATGGAAGCTAAGCCCAGAGGCTTCTTATGTCTACTACTGTGACAATGAAACAGTCCATGGTATGAAGTTCATTTCAGAAGAACCAGATAGCTATTCCAGTGTATCTAGTTCAAACAAAATCAATACTTGCAAATCTTCTCTTCAGGTATTGAGTTTCCTGACATCCCGGATACCAAAGGAGTGCCTCTAGTTGCTGATATGTCTTCCAACATGATGTCTCGAAAGTTTGACATCACCAAGGTACTACCTGCTTTTAAGTCTGCAGTTCATGATTTCTTGATAAAATAACTACATGCACCTACAATTATTTTTCTTTGCCCATGCAGTTTGGTGTGGTATTTGCTGGAGCTCAGAAAAATATTGGACCATCAGGAGTGACATTAGTTATTGTTCGAGAGGATCTCTTGGGATCACCTCTACCAATTTGTCCCATCATCATGGACTTCACCATCAATGCCAAGGACAACTCTCTTCACAATACACCTCCTTGCTTTGCGTATGTATTGCATCTACAAGTGCCCCAGCATTTCTTTACTCTTAGGACGAGAACTATACCTGCACTACAAATTTATTCCAGAATTTACGTTATGTGGAGAGTATTTGAATGGATCAAGAGACGAGGTGGAGTTGAAGCAATGGAAGTTGCTGCTAAAAAGAAAAGCAGCCTCCTGTACAATTTCATTGACTCTTCAAATGGCTTCTACACCAGCACTGTAAAGCCTGCATGCCGTAGCCACATGAATGTGCCATTCCGAGTTGGTGGAAATGGAAATGGAGATGACGCTTTGGAAAGCGCATTCCTCAAGGGAGCAGTAGCAAACGGCATGATTCAGCTCAAAGGACACAGGTAATAAAAAAAGTAGTAAAGCCATAAAGAATCAGTAACTGTTCGACACGATACTGCATGTAACCTTGGCATTCTCCTTTGTGCTCACCTGTTCCTTGTTTTACAGGTTGGTTGGAGGCATCAGAGCTTCTCTCTACAATGCAGTCACATATGAAGAAACAGAAACCCTTGTCAACTATATGAAATCTTTCAAAGACCAGAACAGCAAATAATATCCTGGGCAAGACAGTCAAACTTTGCTATACTGAACATTACTACAGTAGCTAATAACAAACCATACTACAGAACCAGTTTTAAAATCTACATTCCAGAGCCATAAGACTGCAATTTTGTGCCATGACAAACATTGTATTGTACATAAATGCATACTGATATACACCATCAGTTTTCAGAAATAATAAACATTTCAAACTACTTGATGTGTATGTTTACTGCCACTTGCTAGTATCAAATAGACATTATCAGACCATTCTCTTCAGTTTTTTTATTTTTAGCTTCTCTTTTTGTACTTGTCAATTGTTTGGTAGAATTATTTTTTAAATTTTAAAGCCTTCAGAGAAATGTTAATATTTTGATAAATTACATTACAGTCCAAAGCTATCATTTCCTTGAAGACCACACTTATAAGTCATGACGAGAGAATATCTCATCCAAGCTTGCTTCTAATTGGCGATTTGTTCCTCGAAGTCCTTCAACAACTTTGGATGACCACTTGAAATATTCAGCAACTTTTTCGTCTGACCATCCTTCTGGAGTAGCCTTCTCAAGGTCTCTAAGATTATACAATTTGTCAGCCAGTTTCACTAATTTTGCCTCCCGACTAGATGTAGGTGCATGAACAATCTGCAATAAAAAATTAAAAACAATGAGGAAAATTTATTTGAACAGGAAAGGAGTATAATTAATTTCCAAGAAGCACAATAACCATTTATGATTCTTGTATTGCATTCACACAAAATATGGACTACCTGTAAGCGTTTCCGTTCATCATAAGGGAGGGCTTTGTCATCAGTTACTTCAGCAACAATACCAGCAATTTGGTGCCCAAACTCTTTTTTAATTTCATCCAGTGTAGTATCAGTATCTTCCACTGTGTCATGAAGAATCGCAGCCATAATCACAGAAGCATCTCTCACACCACCCTCTTCGGTGAGAATATATGCTACACCTTGAGAAAGAATAAATACAGTCTCAAAATTAAATGCACATCAACAAGTTTTACTGGCGGAACAGTAATATGGACATAAAATAATACGACCTACTGACAAGGAGAATACAAACCTAGAACGGGACACTATCCTCACCAATACTCAAGTAATTCATTGGTGAGAGCCTTAGCATCTTCATCAGTTTTCAGGGCACAATGACATAGCACAGTCGAGGAAACCTCAGCTTGAAACACTACACGAATGTGATTCGCTGGACAAAGGGGACTAGGGCCCGTAAAGACCCCGGGAGAGTAAGGCGAAAAGCGGCAAGGTAGGCCCTGGCCGACGCTGCAAAGCATAAACATAACCTTACGGGGTACGTGATCTCACCGATTGGGTGGTTGATGTACGGAGTTTTTGCTGGATCCTTCCTTCTCTGGGTGGAATGCTTTACTGCGGCAAAGTTTGAACACTTCACAAGCATTCCAAGAATGTCAACGCAATCACTCATGACGAAAATTTGAGTAGAGTCAAGGAACTTCCAAAGACTGCTTCACTGACTTGCCCCTTTGAACCCGGAGCAGTAATACCTTGCCAACATTTAACAAAAAGGCTGATGAAGCTCGCAGCGTTTTTAATTCTAATAGGCGGATTGCATGAGGTCTGAAAAACCTTTATCGATTTTGAATTACATTTTTAAACCATGATGAGATGGTTTATTTGATCTTTTAAACCTTGCGTTTCTGGAAAATGTAATTGTGTATGTTGGTAAGATGAGCTTATATATTAGTGCTTTAAGTGCACTGTTCGAGAAGGCGACGAAAACATTAGCGCTGGTTGGCGTTTCTCTAGCGGGAATTTGCCTATGATTACTGATTTTGAAATGTAATCAAACAACTAACCTTTCCGTGTTGTTTACGCTTTACCCTGGAGTAAGATTGCTGCATTTATTTTCTGAATAGTACACGAGGACTGATTTTTAAATCGTAACTTGCTGGTAGCATTTTTCACCTGTTGCTAACTAGTTTTATACCCGGTGCCATTAACCATGTAATATCTTCATACATAAATAGTGAGAGTAAATGTCCTTATCTCGCAGTATGTGATTATTCACTGTAGTATTCCTTATTTGGTCATTGTGATAATTGGGCTTGAAGAACTGCCAGGTTGGATTAGTGTGGCCAAGGCTTAATTCTGACTAAACTTAATCTTTTGTTGCGCGGTTGCTCTTCTTCCAGTCCCAGTTTTATGTTGCAATGGATCCAGGCGTAAGCCTGTTTTCTGGTGAGCCAGAAGCTTTAAACCTCAACAACTCTCAGAACCAGAGAGAAGAAGAGGAAGAAGCACTTGAAGATCAGAGACGACGAGATCAGGAGGTATCGGCAACAAAACACCTTTTAACGTAGCAGTTCAAGTTTCTCAACTGACTTAAATCTCTTAATTTATCTCGTACTCTTTTAACAGCTGAAGAATCTTTTAACTGATGCTTTCGATGACCTAATGGATGAAGAAGATGATGATGATCAAAGTACAGTGAGCAGCCTGCATCATAATGGGTTTGCAGGTATTTTATGACAATATACATAAAATTCCCTATCTTTGTACCAATCAGAAGATGAAAGCTCTCATAGTAATCATTTGGTTTTGTTCTGCTAGGACATTCTAATGCAGGCAGCACTGGTTCCAATCATCACTCACCACTGTATTTTCCCTACAACAACCATGTTCAATCCAACTCGTCAGCATCTCCCATCCAAGTATGTTGTACGAATTGTGTGATTTATTTATAACTCGCAAAACAGACTGAACTTTAAAAAAATTATTTTAACAATGAGTATTGTTGTAAGCATAGTTTTGGTTGCAGTTTGAAAACGGATCATACCAAAGTCCTGCCAATCCTCAACCGCATTATGAAACCAATGGAGATAATTTTGATGTCAATCAAGTTATGTCAAGACTTAGAACATCAGCTGGTTCTCATACCCGAGCCTCGCCGAACGGCTATGCCAATCCAGAGGAGATATCGAACATGAAGCATATGATATCAAACCAGCATGACAGTGATCATTTTGGATATTTGTCATCAATCCCGCAAGCTGACTTCACAACCAACGGAAATATTTATGGTACTGATCAGAGATCTTTCAATGGTCAGCATATCAATGAAGATCTATATCGACAAGCAGGTATTATTTTGTTTGATGTGCTGTTTCATACCACCTTTGATCAATATTAATATGAAAGCAACTTCTTCCTATATTTCTTTTAGATATAAATAGCCAAGACCAGCTAATGATCCTCTTCACCTCTAGCAAGCAAGAGGTCTCTAATTTAAACCAGGAGCTAGCAAGGTTGCGACATGAGCGGGACACAGAGGTTGAGCAACTCAAAAGGAAAGTCCTCCTTCTTGAAGCAGAGAAACAGGGTGCCTTCCTGTCACACAAAGAAGCTCAGAACTTATTGAGTGAGTCACTGCTTTTCCTTCCTCAGCAATTTTTGTTTTGTTTTGCTATGATTCTTGCACTTCCACTCAATGGCACTTTATTTCATTTCAACAGGCGAGTACCAAACTCAAATATCTCACTTACAACGGGATGTTGAAGATCTTCGTTTGAAGAATATATCTCTTGAAAAATCCAAAGAAGAGGTAGGTGCTGTTGAGAAATAAATGTTGGAAAATAATTATTCTATTGAACCCCAAGTTAATGATGAAGTCATCAATGCTTTCTCCTTTATTTCTAGGCTGAAAGAGACCTGTCTATAGCTAAAGCATCTGCTGCTGAACTCCTTCAAAAAGTTTCAATATTACAGCGAAGTAGTAGTGGCTTGACCTCCGAAAAGAATGTTGAGTCCTTCCTCAAGACTATGCAACAGAAACATGAGACACAAATTAGAGAGTTACAGACCCATGTAGAGACTTTGACTGAAAAATTTTCACAAAAGGTATAATAAATTGAACAGTAATAATTTTCTGAGATGGTTTAATTTCTTTCATTTTGTAATTACTCATTGGATTTGCTGTAGGACAATGAATGTTGCATGTTGGAACGCAAACTTAGTGACGCACAGCGCATGCAAGATGCCCTCATTACTGAGAAAGGGAAGGTGGTGAATGAACTGAATAGACAGCTTGAAGAGGCACAGCAAAAAGTTCGTGACTACGCAAACTCTGTAGATAATCAAGCTACTGTCCATCTGAGGATTCAGGTAGACCAACTTACTTCTGACCGCAAAGCTCTGGAGCAAAAACTTTCTGAAGCATCTGTAAGTAATTTTTTATTTAATTTATTTTTTCTGTTGTATTATTTCTTTTATATTGTTGCAATGCTAGTATTCATGAGATGTGTTTCTCTGGTGCCACCAGAAAAAGCTTGAGGCTGCTGAGAAAGATCTTAAGCAATATGAAGCTGTCACAAGAATGGGACTTCTCAGTAATGGAGATTCTAGTTTTGAAACTGATTCAATGACACACTTGGGAATTAGCAGAAGACACAGCCTTGGAGGTAGAGCTGAGAAAAGCATGGATCATAGCAAGGATTCAAGACGCTCGTCAAAATCTCAACGAGAAAAAGATGATCTCACTGTTCAGCTTAGAGATGAGCTCCACAGAGCCTTGCAAGTATGTTTCATTTTTATTTTTCTTATTTGAGTTAATCAGATAATCAAAGAAATTATGAACAAAATTAGAATTGTGTCTTCTCTTATAAATACCAGGGTCAAAAATCAAAAAGAGAAGAAATTAAAAGACTTCAAGGAGAACTGAACAACCGTGACCAAAAGATTAAAACCATGAAAGAGCAAGAAAAGGTTTACTTTGTTGAAGCTGAAAAGTTTAAGGTAAGTCCTATGTCCCATGCTTTTAAAATTAAAAATACATATTTATGAAGGGTTTTATTTTTATCTCTTCTTTCTCTTTCAGAAAAATCTGACAGCTGTTTTACAGCGATTGAAGATCCAGGAAGAAGAAGCCAAGGCCTTACAGTCCAAAAGTGATGAATTCAACAGTCTGCAGAATCAGGTTCACAAGTATAAAAGAGAAAAAGAAAATGTTGAAAAAGATCTAAAGGAAACAAAAGTTAAGGTAGTGAACTCTGTTCTACTATTCTTTGTTTGATGTACTGTAGTAGTGTGATAAATATATTTATAAATGAACTTTGCCCTGTTCAGCTTGAACGTATCAAATCTGACTATGACAAAGTACGACAGCAGCTTGCTGAAATGGAACTACAGTTGGATCAAGCTAAAATCCGCCAAGTTGATCATTCTGCTGCTGAATTCCTTCATTTCCATGATGAATCTCTTGCTCGGTTGCGTCAAGAAAGTAGTCGCCAATTGGAAGCACAAGTTGTTGATTACAGGTATGGCATGACTCTTTTTTAACAGTGTACTGTATGTCTGGTATGAAGATGCCTATTAAGTTCATAATTTCTTCCTTTGTTAAGAGTACGGATGGAGCAGGCCCAGAAAGAATGTGAGGAGATTAAAACACTATATATTGAAGTTTGTTCTGCAAAGAGGGCTTTGCTCACTGAACTTCAAGAAGAACAGAGCCAAGTAAGGAAACTTACTTCGGACCTGGAGGACATGAAGGAGGCGCAACAGTCTCTTGAAGATCTACACAGACAAGAGCGTGAATTAAACAGGCGCATTCGAGGTAACTTTTAACCTTTGTTTAAGTTGTCTCATTTGATTTGGTGATTGGGGTTGCCAGTAATTAATGGCCAATTTTGACAGACGATCTTGAAAAGGAGAGAGTGAACAGTTCAAAGGCATTGCTAGAGAAAGAAAATCTTCTTGAAGAGAAAGTGAAAGAACGTATAGCTTCCCTTTGTAAAGAAAATGAAACTAGAGTGCTTCAGTTGCAGAAAGGTAAAGATAGTCTGAAAAAAGTCATTATTGATGGAAAAATTTTATGTCTCAACTGACCACACATTATTCTGTTTAGAAAAAGATGGAGCCACAGCTCGAGCAGAGCAGCTTCAACAGCAAGTAACAGCCTTACAGCAAGACAGCCTAAATATACAAAAGGTTGTCATTGCATTGTGTCAATATAGATTATATTATTGTTTGCTAACAAACAATCCTCTTCTTTTTTTCTCGCTGTGAATGCTAAATATGACTTTATGTTCATTGTTTACAGCTGCAGGCTGAATGTGATGATTTGAGAAAACAGGCAATTGAAGCTCCACAAATACAGCAAGCTGAGCTTGAGCGCATCAGTCGAGAGCTAAAACAGTCTCGAGAAAGAGTTCTCCAGCTGGAGAAACAACTTCGTTCAGAGTTCCAGTCACAAATGGATGCTATGATTGCTGATAAGGACTCTTTAGAAGCTCAGTTGAAGCAGAAGGTTAGTTTTATAGAACAATAAAAAGCTTGCCTATTATTATTTGCATATTTTGTATTAAAAATTTTATATGTGCGCCTAATATTTAATTTTTTTTCAACTGAATAGGACAACCAGCTTGAAGAATATTTGCAAGCACTCAGTAGAATCAAACCATCAACTCGAGAAGTGTCTGTAAATACTGATCATGTTGTTGGTGGTTCCTCATCAGACAATTTGCAAGCTTTAAGAAAACAATTTGATGAAAAAATTGCAGAAGTGAGTGCTTACTTCAAAGCCAACGAAGAAAAGAAGTTCATAGCTTTAGATGCTAAGCACAAGGTGAGCAACAACCAACAAGTATCTTAAGCTGTTCCTTATTGTAGCCTATTTTATTGTGAGTTAATCCTTTTGTTTTGCAGTCTGCCTTGGCTTTGGCTGAAGAGCACATTAAAGAAGAAACTGTGAAATACTTTGCTGAGGAAATTGCTCAGATGGAGGAAAAGCACAGAGGTGAATTAGGTAGTTTTGCCAAAAAGTTAGTGGAAATGGAATCCACTTTTCAAAAGCATTTGACTTCCTTAAAAAATGCCTTACAACTTAAAGCTAAAGAGGTATGACCTTTCATTAGGTACAATTAATTTTAAATTACTTCAATTACCCTCTTATTTTTGTCGTACTGATGCACTGCATGTTTCTTATATTTGCAGGTTGAAGATTTGAACTTAAAGCTTCAAAACTTATCTAAAGGAAAAGTCCATGTGAATGGCAATGCGGATGCAGAAAGTCCTGAGCAGCTCCTAAAGTTTGTAGAACAACTGAAGAAGCAAACTGAACAAGACCGTACTACAATGACTGAGGCTTTGACAAGATGGGCTGATGAGGTATAGGGCTGTAGCATTTTTTTCTGTTTATTCTGTCTCTCCAAAAACTACATTATTTTATGGTCCCGTTTCTATTGTTGTAGGCCAAAGAACTGCAGGACCGAGAAACTCGCCTTCAAGCTCAACTGGAAGAACTTAAGTTAAAATATAAAAATGCCAGGAAAGCTGCTTTACATTACAAAAAGGTATCAGAAGAAAAAGAGAAGCACATGGCAAAAGAATGGAGTCGTCTCCAATCTTCCTACAGTGAGGTTCTCAATCGAGTAAAAGAAAGGGTCACAGACATTGTTAATGGACAAGAACAAGAAGTGACAGAGCGGCTCAAAAGAATAGAGTTGTACTATGAAGGACAGATGAAAGACCTAGAAAAGAAGTTAAAGAATGATGTAGTTGTATGAAACATTCAAATCAAATAGTAGAAGGTATAGATACTTGGTCTAGAATACTAGTGTGTTTCATTTATCTTATCTTATCCTATTACCTATTCATGTATTTCACTTGAATGTGAATTTTATCTTGTTTAACTTGTTGAAATAATGTCCAAATATTTGCTCAACAACCTTATTTCTACCAAGCGCCAAATGTCTTGCTACAACTGCCATTCTTTTAAGTGCCAACATAAGTTACCCAGCTACAAATAAGTGGTTTGGGATCCACTGTGGGATTTTAAAACCTGTTTATGAATAAGATGTGTAATGTATAAAGTGCTGCATTGCACACTGCTTTTAGAGAATAGTGCCTATATTTAGGCTATGATTTGGTACTCCTCACAGTAGATCTCAAACCAGTTAAATATAGAATAAGGCAGGTCTTGTAATATTTGTGTTTATCCTTCCTCTGATTTATAATGCCATTCAGGAGGGGTCAGTATAGCTGTTTTTATGACCTACAGTATATTTTTTCATAAACATGTGTATCTTGGGACTATATTTTGTTTTTTAAAAATTTTCTTAACCAACTAGTATTATTGCTTTGATGAACTCTAAACATAAATTTATGTGAATTTTATATTAATTCAAAATATACTCACGTGTGTGCATCTGTGCGTGCTCATTACTAAATTTGTTTTTACTATTTATTACCACCAAACCAAATCACCTCTTGACTTGACTCTTCGCTTGAAATTTCCCGCGCCGCCTAACCCGAAAAAAGTAGTACCTAGGGTCAAAATACTAGTGTGCGTGTGCCGTAGAAGTGACGCCAAAGTGGAAACTATGCAACTAATTTATAAGGTTCGCGTCGGACATCCAACGGATAGAAGCACATTGTAACTACTGGAGTACAGGCAAAAGTTCTCGTGCTCCATTTTCGCTCAACAGATGTCAGACCTGTGCAGACCGAAGCCTCTGATTGGCCGAACTGAAAGTAGTTCGCTGCTTGTACTTGTGATCTTTCCCGCCTTGCCGGGTCGCACCGGGCCGTGCCGAGCCGGACGCCGTGCCGTGCTGTGTTGTTGTGAGGCAAGACGAGCGACCCTCTCGCGGCCGCCATTGAAGTTACCGCAAGGCTGATGTTCCGAGTGCGAGTGCGAGCTGTGTGAGTCAAGACAGAACGGTCAGCCGCAAGCCGAGCAGCAGTCATTCCCGTGTGGAACCAGATTTTCTCTGTGCCCTGTGCAATTTAAGCCGTCAAACTGAGGGAGGCATCGCTCGGAATCACCATGGAGAAGAGGGTGCAGTTGGAAATGAGAACGATGAAGCCAGATCAGGTAAGAAAAGTGGAAATGTGGACCAGATAGGTTACGTAGTGTGCGCGGTGGCTCGGCTCATCTGATAGTGTTTGGGTATGAAGCTTGGACGCTAAGTTACTTAGGGGTGCTTCAGTGAGACTCCGCGTTTTCTTTTAAGCTGCTCGTGTTCTCCCTTAATTTTGTGACTGGCTATTTCTATCTGGAAACCAGTGTTTGTGCTTTATAAATCCGGTGCGTTGCACTTCCAATTTCGGGCTGCAGTCTGCGTTTGTGCGGGAACTAATCCTCTGTTCTGAAATTTTGAGTATTGTGCGAGTAAAGTCATTTTATTTTTACGTCTGGCGGTCGCGTGTCTTTTGTATACAAGCTGCGTCCAGTGCAGTGTACACTGATGCTGGTGTGGGTTTACTGGTTTTCTCCGAGAAGCCACGATAGTGTGGTGCTTCCTCAATTTGATGGCCACTTAAAAATTGTCCGCTTTATTTTCATCTGTCCACAATTTCCGTGTCGGGGGTTCTGCTCTTGTCGGCCCATCCCACGCTTCAAACGCCATAATTTAGGAGAGGAGACGGCGGGTCCGTCTTCTAACCTCGTACGGCCCCGGACCCGTTTTGTTTACAAATTGGCGCAATGGCGTGCATGTCACCCCGCTGACCCGGGTGCAGCTGCACGTCCTCGCTGCAAGTAGGCTGTCGCTTGCGCTGCCCCGGCCGCGTCCCTGCGCCTCGCTGCCTCGTTTTCCCCGATGGCGCTTTTCCAGACCGATCCTTCCGATAAACACCCCTATCCAGCTTGATTGAACAACGCTGCGGACGCCATGTTGAGCTCTAATTTTAGCCCCGCTTTTAAACTGCATTGCGTGGCAGGAGTGCAGTCTGCTGCAGCGGGACTCGGGGCGGGAAGGGGTGGTGGCTGTGGGCGCCCCCCTGCAGGCCGAGTAGCGAAATGTTGCTGCGTGTCGTGTTTTGGGTTTGGGGCCTAGAGTCCCGGCGGGGCCGGCGCGTGCCCCGGGCCGCGGCCCCGCAGCGCCACGCGCCGCCCTGGTCCTGACCGTCCCCGTCGACGTCCACGGCCACCGTCGCCCAGCATCCCCCGGGCGGTCGGCCGCGGCGGCGTCGGCGCCAGCCTCCCCGAAGGGTGGCCGCCAGGGGACACTGCTTGTTCTCACCGGGCATTGCCGCAGCGTTCCGTCGACGAGGTGTCGTGCGTCGCGGTGTGGGGGCGGCCATGTTTGCGTTGCGGGCATGGCGGCTGCGGGGCTGCGCGCTCGGCGCTGCGCCGCGACGTGCCCTGACTAGTGCGGTGGCTACCGCTGGTGGCGCCCCGCGGCTAGGGACCCGCGCATGGGGCCCACGCCGCGGCCCCGCCGCCGGCCCCGGCCAGGACCGCGATGTAGAGCACAGGGGGTCCTCTGGGGCCCGGGGGTGTGGCGGTGGCTGTCGGGGTGTTGGCTGTCTTACGGGGCTGTATTCGGGATTCTTGGCTGGGACTGGGGCCTCTCCCGGGGCGGCGGGGGGCATGGTCAACGAGACTGAGGCGTAATTAGCCTTCGACCTAGTCTAGCAAGGTGTGCACCTGACTGCAGCAGTACCGAAGCGGTGTGGGTTGCCGTGGAGACGCCGCCCGGCGCTCCTCCTCCCTCCTTGTCTTCCCTCTTTCCGGTTGAGACGCACGCGGTGTTGGGATTGTTTTTGTGGTCAGTTGTCAAGAGAGAAGACTGCCTATTGCCCTGTTTTGTTCCTTGTTTGCGTCCAATTTTCTAATTTTGCATTTTCTCTTTGCTTTTCATGTGCATTAGATTGAAGAGCTGATCTTGGATAACTGTCGGAGCACAACTATTGTTGGATTAACAGATGACTTCGTCAATTTGGAAACCTTATCTCTCATAAACGTTGGCCTTACCAGCTTGAAAGGATTCCCTAAACTTCCCAACCTTAAAAAGGTACTTAAGAAAGCATTTTATGTTCCAGCTATTTAGCTTTACCTCTGTCATCAAATTTTCTATTAATTTATTCATGTTTTTCAGCTTGAATTGAGTGACAACAGAATTTCTGGTGGCCTGAATCTTCTTCACACAAGTCCCAAATTGTCACATCTTAATCTCTCAGGAAACAAAATCGCCAGTCTTGAAGCATTAGAGCCATTGGTAAGCAGACATCTGTTTTTCATTTTCTTTGAATTCTTGTACAATTTACACTTAATGTGGCTAACCGAATATTTTTATGTCCTTTCCAGAAAGAATTCAAAAACCTTAAGAGCCTTGACCTTTTCAATAATGAGGCCACCACAATCAGTAATTACAGAGAACTCATATTTGACCTCATTCCCAGCCTCAAGTTCTTGGATGGGTTTGATGCCGAAGATAGAGAAGCAGAGGACAGTGAGAATGAGGATGAGGAAGTTAATGGCAATGAAGATGACAGCGAAGAAGGTGAAGGTGAGTCTCATTCTCTACCAGCTGAGATAGCTTGTCATTACCAATTTCTTGCCATTATTTTAAATATATTTGTTTTCACCTTCAGATGAGGATGATGAGGGGCTAGAAGATGAAGAGGAGGAGGATATAGAAGATGATGACGACGTTGGTCTGGATGCTGTTTACAAAGAGAATTTGGATGAAGAAAGTGATGGCGATGACTACGAAGGAGAGGCAGGAGAAGAGGAAGACGACGATGTCTTAGATGAAGAGGAGGAGGATGGAGAAGATGGCGCCGAGGATGGTGCTGAGGCTGAGGGGGCCGAAGATGAAGAAGAAGCAGCTGCAGAAGAAGGTAAGCATCACACCTTTTCCCTCTTTCTCCCTTACCCCTGCCCCGTTTTACATACATACACTTGCACAAACTGCACATAAATTTCTTTCCCATTACCACTTGGTGAATTTGTGTATTGCGTTATAAACACTTTTGGCAGTAACTAGTTTTTCCCTATCAAAGAAGTCCTACAGTTGTCATTTGACTTCGTTTTCTAATCATCATTTCTTCATTTTTCAGAGTCACAAACTCGAGGTAAAAAGAGAAAGCATGAAGGTGAAGAAGTCAATTAGAGGTTGGAGCATCAGGTTTGGTGACCTGGTTTTTTGCTGAACCGACCAATGTTAATGGGACAATGCTGTGGTTGTATGGTGCCTTGCTGTACACGAAGGGCTCTGCCTTTCCAAGTTAAGTTGTTTTAATGTCTTGGCGTGAGTTAAAAGCAGCAATATGTTGGCAATCACGTAGCAAATGTTTGTCAAAGCTTTAACACCTCAAGACCATAGGCTCTGCCTACGGGAGTACAAAGAAACAACCTCTATCAAGGTTGCTTTTATGAATTAAATTTGTTAGTGCGTCAATGCTTTTATGTTTCCTGCACCAAATATTTAATATGTGACTTCTCTAGACTGGCAATGCAATTTTTTTTGTAGACTGTATGTACATGGGATGTGAGAAAGTGCATCTGACGATTTGTTGTGAGTGACTTAAGAATGAGTCTATCGTGTAGTATAATAAAAATTGTCCCTTCCACTGTGGTTGGTGATTTGCATGCACTTGTACTTTTTTGTAAGATTATTTGGAGCAGGATGTGGCATGATGCTCTGTGATGTGTGAGCAAAATATTTGTTCGCTCCTTGTTAAACTTGTGTGCTGGCCAGACTTGAAGGCTCAGTTGGTTTCCCCCGACTTCCAGAAAACGTCTTGTCTGGAATTTTTTTTTTATCTTTTTTTAACTGTCATTCAGTTGCATCTCATTTTTTGATTACTGTATCAAAGCATTCTTGTATAAAATATATTAATTCATTGAAATAATGGAGGGTGGTGAGAATAGGCTGTGTTGTCTTTTAAAAATTATTTGATATTGTCTAGGATCAAATCCTATCTTGTTAGTTCTTGGAACACTGGTTTGTTCTGGCCATTCTCACCATCCTCGTCAGCTATGTAAGTAAGGCGTTGTTTAGCTGGCCATGGAGCATGTGTTGGATTTTGTGCTGTAAGGTCATTGATATTATGTCATAAAGCTGAAAATGCAGCTCCTACCTGTTTGACCCATCACATGCAGTTTTGATGACTGCTCCATGAAATGTACTTGGCAGTTGTTGAAGTAAATTTTTATAAAAAGCTGATTATAAAAGGTGTTTTAATTGCTGCTCTATAATAGTTCTACCACCTTATTCTCAGTCCAGATTGTGTGAAGATTTTGCAGTCAAGGACTACTGCCGAGTCTGCAACACTCTGACCTGCTCCAACTCAAACCCTCCCCAAAAGAATTTAAGTTACTCACTCTGTATGTCTAAACTTATCTTGCCTGCCAGTTCCACACCATGTGAGAAAGACCATTGGGCACAGAGCATCTATTTCATGGACCTAAAGCAACATTCTATGTCAATTTCAGACAAATCTGAGGTTGAAAAGCCTTTGCTGCTTAAGGTGCGTTTTGAGGAGGGGTGTTATGAATGGCAAGGTGGCTCAGGTGGTTGAGGTGTGCCTCCCCAACAAGCAAGCGGGTTGATCTATTTAAATAGAATTTGCAACTGATTTTGTACATGCTACATTTTGGAACTTCACAAAGTAATTAACCAAATGTGTGGCTGAGTTCAAACGTTTGAGTCGAGATGATTCGATCCAGCAATCCACACGGCAGAGGGCCACTTGATCCCTCTGGAATTCAAATACAACACCCCTGAGAAGCAGACTTTATTGGAGTGCATTTCCATTAGATTCCAAAAGAAGGAAAAAGAGGGTAATGAAAAATAACAACGCATGGGACATTTACTTATCTTGTATTTAACAATCTTGACAGCTCAAATTCACATTAAGTAAAAAACTTGCTACATATCAATATGCCACCACACTGAGTTACTTATCAGCTTATTTTTTCACCCAGTTAGGGGTAGGAACATATTAATGTACATACTATGAGAATTATTATGTAACATGATTGCACATTCATCTACATGCAATCCAATAACAAAACACTCCGCAGGGGAAATGTCACTATCTTTGGCAACACTTGAACATGTTTCAACTAGAAAACAGAAGATTCAAAAGAAATTTTACCATTCTACTTCTGCTCAAATCACAGCTCCAACAATGAGCATGAAAAAAGATCATGCAAACAGACAAATAAACATAATCAGACAAAAAGTAAAACAAAGCCAAATACGTAACTCAGCAAACATAACAGAACAGTAATACATTAATGCAAATACAACTTCTAATCAATAAAATAACAGCTGATAAATAAATTTGAAAAATAAATTTGAAGGGACAAATAATAATAAGCTGGTCCCTCTTAAAAACCACAGACAAGCCACAGAATGACCATCACAGACAAGAAAAGATTTCATTTCTGAATAATGTCAATTCAATATACTCTTCAGATTCAGACCACTATATTTTTCTTAAGACTAGATCAAACCTTAGTGAAGATACAAAAATGTAAGACCTGCAAAGTCCACTACACCCAGATACCAAATCACTGATGCTAAAACAATATGACGGATTCATGAGATCACAATGGATGGTTGCCATGCCATATTAAGCCATGACCAGCATTAATCATTAAGTGTGGATTGAATATGAGCTTTGATTTGGAATCAGGTGCAGACAGAAGGAAATGCAGTCAATTAATACTTTCCAGACAGTCTCTAATATGAGTCCATGCTTGCAGGCCCTGAAAACACACAAAGGACACTGTAAGATTCAAACTTCCAGAAAACTTTTGAAATTAGTCAGAAATTTATCATGAAAAACAAATTTACCTTCCTCGCCATTTTCATTTGGAGCATTATGTAGCTAGCTAACGTTTCTCTCAGATCAATTACTTTTTGGCCCTGGAATCGTTGCACATCGATAAGGGCAGCACTTGTAAAGGTGCTTTAAAAAAATGCAACAAAATCAAAAATTAGCCACAAACTAATAAGAAAATAGAGCAAAACATAAATTAAGACCCTGTAAACGAAAGTGGTTGATCACTTACTCTCTCTGATCTATGGTGCTGCTCACACTCTCTTTATGTTCCTCTATTCTTTGCTCTAGAACGCTGACACGCTCTTCACGAAATTCATCAGTGTCAATAGTGCCAAATATACGAGACATAATGCTGGTTTTTCCTGCACACAGAAACAAATATGTTCTAAGTAGGACAAAGGGAAAAAACAAGTGGCGGAAGACCATTTCAATTATACCTTGTTGTACTCTCTCTAGTTTGGTGAGATGTTGTTGCACCATATCCTGCGCTCTCTCGACTTGAAACTGCAACATTTCATGGCGACAGCAAACAGTGTAAAGAGCACCAGCCGAAAACAAGTACTCCTTAAGCTGATCAGCAAGAAGTTCTTCTTCTTCCAAAGCTGTGTCAATACCAGCAGCAACACTATCAAAATAATGACCAGCTTTCTTCAGGGAGGAAGGAGAGAAAAATAAATTAATTTAATTACAAGACCACAGAGTACCAAGCAGGAATGGAAAATAAGTATCATCTTACCTGTAATCCGTCTCCCATGTCTCTTTCCACTGCACTCCATTCACTAAAAATTCTGCCGTAATTGGCGTGTAGCTTGTGAATTCCATACAACCTTTCAGCCAAAGCAGCTCTGACTCTTAAAATATTAGTCATGTTATTCTGAAGAAAGAGTAAGTAAATATTATTATCCTCATCATTCTCCTATCATAAAAAACGAAAATTACTAACAAGAGTTTTAGGAAAGTACCTGTAGCTCATTGCTGTAATTTTTTATCTGTTCAAATCGTTTATCAAGTTCTCTGAGACCAATCATTGATTTCAGCTTTGACTCTGCAAATTGCTGAAGATAGCCTGTAACAAATTAGAAATTAAGAAAAACAATTTTTAAGAGAGTAAAGGTATCACAAGTGTACAGCTTAATTACCATGTTCTTTGGCATTCGGTTGCCACCCTTGTTCTTGCTGAAGGAATGCCAGGAATTGCGGATTAAAAGACAGGATAGGATGAGATGCAATACGTAGCAAGAAATTCTGAACAAGAAGAAAAATTAAGAATAACCAGATGTAAAAGGAAAAAACATACTAGGAATTATCATTAAAAGAGTATGTTTAACTATATTGTACCTCCAAGCTAGCTCTTCTTCGGTCCACAAAGTCTGGATCAAATGTATCCGTGGATACTTTCTGCCAGGAGAACATAACTCGTTTCTCAGGCAAAGGAGGCAGAACAATGAAAGGATACATTTCTGACAAGTAGCTGTGCAAAACTTCAAATTCTGTGTATCTACGCCACAGGCTCCCCAGCCGCAACACAGACCCAGATTTTTGATTACTCAACCACTGTGGGTCATTGACCCTAAAACAAACACACAGATAAATTAAAAGCCCGAGTAGAAATGATGAAATGAACATAAACCTAGTGATAACACGTACTTGGTTTCAATTAAGTAAACAGTAAAATAATCGTGAAGATTGAGTGCACCATTGATGCGTTTCTCTGCTTCCGGTACATTGATATCCATATGTTTGAGAAGTGAGTCCTAAACACACCACAATTCATAACAATAAATCTTACAGTCAGATTAAGACGAATGGGCACTCATAGGTTTGGAAACACATCTCAATTGGAGCTCACGTAGGTTAGGACACAAGCATTCCTGACCATTTCCAAATTTGTACAGATGACGATCACATATATATTTTTTTAACAAAGAAAGAAAATCCCTCTGCCATAAACTTGACCTTTTTATCCGTTGAGTTGGGAACTGGCTCGACGGTAACTTGCCCCGTCCTAGTGTCATCAGAGGCAGTCGAGCTGACACCTGCTTCAGCCATTCTTGTTTATCAACTAGGAAGAGGGAGACAAGTAGACGACACTTTCTAGCAACCAGATTGAGACAACTGATGGAAAGATTAGCATTAACGGAAACGTTGCTAATGACAGATGTGCCTTCAAACAGTCGTCATCATCAACAGGCGGCAGGTTGCAGCGGTCTGGTCAGTGGTTTCTCTCGTGCTTCGCCCCGCCCACCCCCTCCCCCTCCCGTCTCCTTCCCCCTTCTCCTCAAAAAGAAGCGAAGGAAAGCGGAGAGTCCTCTTGCAGGGAAGTCAATACCAAGGTCAATATTGCTTTGGGCCCTTGGTTTGCCCGGGTACATATCGGTCCCGAACCCGACATTTCACTATCGTTCCCTAATAGACGCTCAGAAGGGTGGGAAAATAAAATTCAATGATAAATCATAGACCAAGTTTATTTTAAAGCAGCCAAGAAAACAAACAGTACACTTATGCTATGGTCAGAGGCAAGGAACAATTTTATTTTGTTTTGAAGAAATATGACAATTAAAAAACAAAGAACAGATATCAAGAATGGTAACCATAATTAAGAACAAAAAAATTGTGCTAACCATAAAATTTGAAAATTATCTAATAAATTTGTGACAGAATCACTTTCACAATTAACAATTAAAATATCACATTGATTCAAAATATGAGGTGCGAGTTTACATATACACAAGTATTGTACCAAACAATAAAAAATCTGACAAGTCGGAAAAAATTCATTTAAGTTACAACTAACAAACGCTTGCAAATTTGTGATTTCTGATCGGTCATATGGAACAGCTATTGAAATCAAGTATGATTAAAATGGACGATTGCAAAACTTTTCATCCTTTGGACAATTGTGGATAACCAAAATTCAAGGTTCTAGGAAACAGAAACCATTAAAATTACTGCTGGTCCCACATCCTTCACAAGGCCACTTCAACAACATTCACAGGAAACAAGGAAAAGAAAGACACAGGTATGTGATGATTTATCCATGGCATTAGATAACTGGTTGGGGACACCTTCACAGTTTAACATGTGGAGCACCCATCATCACATCCCAGGAAGAGCAAAGGTTATGAGAAAATACCTTTCAAGTTTTGACAAATAACCTTTATAGAAAATAGCATGTCATCCACAAATTAATGCAGTAAAACCCTTTACAATTCCAGTCTCAATCACTCATGAGCATGTGAAAAATAAAAATTTCTCCTAAAAATCAAGTACAAAACTCCTACATCCTTCCAAGTCTTGAAATTTCACTTTAAGTCTTCTGTGTGTTATCAGTCAGAAGTCCCATGCTGATGAGATGGCTCTTTCAGGAAACAATGCCTGCAAAAGAGACATTTTGATATTGATTACAAACACTTGAATACCTCATTGGTAAAGATTTAGTGAAATTATTTCAGTAAATACAAGGTATTGTAAGAAAAAGACAAGCGTGTTTCAACATACAAGCAGCATTGTGAAAATAAATCTCCTGGATTCAATGTGTCAGTAATCAATTGCGGCCCCAAAACCAGCCAAGGAGGGAACCTTGTGACTCATTAGCTGTAGTAATGCAGAAAATCAAAGCCAGTGTCATGTTAGCAAATAAATCATACGGTGAGCAGCAGGTAGAAACTCAAAGCAAGTGCTCAAACAAGCTAATAAGGGCTGCTACTATACAGTCTATTATTATTAAAATCTTTCTCCTCGAATGTGGAGGAATACTGATGCAAAATAAATTTGTATCACTACAACACTCAAATTATTCTCGTTAGTACTTACATGTTGGTGGCTCAGCATTATTTACGTCAATATTTGTGCTGCTATCAACAGGCTCAGAGGCTGGGACCAAGGTAAATTCACTGGCCGTTGGCTCACTTCCAGCTCCAGTTAAAACAGTAGGAGGGCTAGGGGATAAGAAACGCATCTGCTGCTGGTGACGATATTCACTATCTTCCTTCAACCTTTTATCATGGCTATAGCCAATTGTCCGTAACTCTGTGAGCCTGAGAAGACATCAAAACATGAAATTCTCTACCAATCCAAAACACAAAAAGCTCTATATGACTGGAGAAATACTTACTTATTTTGAAGGTTTGCCTGGTGTCCTTCTGGATTTACATTCTGGACATATGCAGCATTGGGAACATTAAGATTCTCTAAAGAAACACTGGCATTAAGCTCAGCACCTTGCAAATTTGTTGTAAATGAAATATTTCTGTCATCGGGTTGACTAGAAAGGAGTTGTCGCAACCGCTCCCTTAACTCTTCATTAGTACGAATGGCATTACTTAAACGAAGCTGCAAACCATCACGTTCCTCCAACAACTGTAAAACAAATATATTATTGGCATGCTCAGAGAAAAGTACTCAAGCATATGAAAAATTTAACCATTAAACTTAAGTCACCTGTGTGAGTTCCAGAGTAAGCTCCTCACACCGAACATCACGCTCGTGAAGCTGATAGAGAGCAAGATCCAGTTCACTTGACAAATTCTTATCAGAAGAACTCATGACTGGAATGCCTGTAGGAACTAAAGCTGGAGTATTCTCCCGAATATCAGGAATGGAAAGCTGAGCTGAAGCCGCTGATTGAGAAGGATTCTCATGTGTTGACTGAGGGACTTCCTGTAGCCTTCTTTCTAGTTCAGCCTGCTTGGAGAGAAGTTCAGACTCAAGCCTCTTTTTGGACTCTTCACTCACTGCTAAGTTAATCTGGAGACTTTCGATTTCTTTATCCTTGGCAAATACAACATTTTGCAGCTCTTGGCATTTCTCTATCTGACTATTAAAATTCAATTTTAATTCAAGACTTTCATCATTATTTGCAGCATGAAGGTGCATGGTCTGAAGTTCTGTTTGTAGGTCACTAATTGTCTTCTTAGCTGCCTCTAGTTGGGTCTTGTGGTATTCAATCATTTGGCCCCACTCTTGCTCAGATTCTTCCATAGACCTTCTCAGAGTTTCTATCATTCTTTTTTCTTTCTGGATTTCATTCTCTTTCATCTGCAGTTGTTCCTCCATCCCTTGTGCAGTATTGCTAGCAATGGATTCAAAAATGTCAACAGCTGCCTGCTCACCAGAAGGAACAATGCTGCCCCAATTCAAAACAGAACTATTAGGGGAAGAGCCTTGCACAGAATGTTCATGAGCAAAGAATGTTTCCTGTACGGGAGTTGGAAACAGAGATGCACCATCAGCAGTTGGAGTGACAGATTTTTCTTCCAGAACCCGTACCTGTTCCTGCAGTTTAACAATTTCCTGACTTTTGGCTTCCAATTGACTTTGACTCTGTTCCAATTGAAGCAACAGCTCTCTCCTGGACTCATTTAACTGACTGCATTGAGTCTGGAAATCAGAATTGTCGGCAGACACAGCTTGAAGTTGAGTAATAGTTTCCTCCAATTGTTTCTCTGAAATACTCAGTTTTCCCTCAAGTTCTTCAACCTTCTTAACTACATCTGCGGTATCATCTTGGATTGAGGCTGTAGAGGCTAGTTCAGCACAAGCAGATTCATAATCCATTTTCAAAGAGTCATAAACGTCTTGGAAATAGGTTTTTTCATGTTCCAAACGTTCAATCATGCCTTTCTGTTGGGCTAGAAGTGCATCAACCTGAGTGCGTTGTTCACTGTCAGCAAGACACTGGCTACGAAGTTTCTGATATTCCTGCATCAAACTTTCATAGTTTGCATTCCATGTGTGATTTTCTTTCAAGAGTTGTTCAATTTCAACAGGATTAAGAATCTCAGTGGATGGAGGCAATTTTGGTGTTTCTACAGTATTAACACTTTCTGACGCAGATACTTCTTTTTCTTCCCTACCCTCCTCTAGCTCTCTTATCTTCCATTCAAGTGCTTGAACTTGGTTGGTAAGATCTTTGCTACGCTTCTGCCACATTTCCACTTCTACATCCTGCCGTTCTTTTGCTTCTAACATACGATCATTGGCAGAGGAGAAAACGTCAACTTGCTTCAGCAGTCGATCACGTTCAGTTTTGACCACACTGAACTCAGCTTGAACATCTTTAAGCTCTTTCTCCAAGTTTTGCATCTGCTTCATTCTCTCTTCTTCAATAGCTTGATCCAAGCTGTCGAAAGGTGAGTCTGTAGATCGAGTTTTGCCAGCAATATCATCATATTTACTTTTCAGATCTTTCAATTTGCGTGTAAGTTTGGCAGCTCTTATTTGGGAAGCCTTTAAATCTTCGGCAAGTTGAGTCTTATCCTTTTCCAATTCTGCATTTTCCACTTGTAAGAGCTCTATCTTTCCTTGCAAAACTGAAATTGAGTCATCTGCTGGGGGAACATTTTGAATCTTCTGCTGATGATGCTCAGCCTCTAGGTGAGCACTCTCAACTCCCCAGCCCCAGCTATCATCTTCATTCATCAAAGCATCTGTGTCAGAAATCAAGGGGGGACTTGTAGGACTCAAAGCACTTGATGCTGATTGTGATAGTAATTTGATTTCGGCTTGAAGAGTCTCTATTTGTAGCAAAGCCGAGTTCTTTTCTGACAACAATTTAGCTAATTGTTGTTGTAAATCTTGCACTTCAATTGCGAGTGAGGCAGGCTTCTCCGATGCACTGTCTTCGGCAGATGGCCTCTGAGATGTCACCATTCCACTTAGTTCTGATTCCATTTGAGTAATATTACTTTCCATCAAGGACTCATCAGCCTTTTCCTCATCTAAGGAATCATTTTGAATTTCTCCACTGTTAAAGCCAGTACCACTATCTTGCAATGAAGATACATGAGTGTCCAATGTCTTCGGTATCCTAGGCCTTGCATCAGCATCCTTTTGAGCTCTATCTTTCAATTCCCCTTCAGCCCTCTGCTTGTCATATTCTTCAGATTCAAATCTCAACTGTAATTCTCTCAGCTCATTTTGAAGCTTGACAGAAGCAAGTTTCTCTTGTTCATTACATTCCTCAGACTTTTGTAAAGCTGCAGTTAGTTCAGAAACCTTCAGCTGTAGGTTGTTTAACATAGAGTGAGAAGATTCTAGCTCAATCTTGGTAGCATTTAGCTGTTCAGTAAGAACATCTAAATTGGCAACAAGGCTGTATTTTTCAGCTTCAAGAGAAGTTTTAACCGACAGTAAAGAGTCCAATTGTTCGGTCAAATTGTTAATTTTAGTCTGCAAATCATTAACTTCTGATGGGATTTCGAAAAGAGAGGATGCCGGTTTGAAAGCGTCTAGTATCGAGACAGAGCTTGCTGTATCAATTTGAGATGAGCTGACAGCCTCTTGATGAGTCATTTTCTCATGCATGTGGAATGCATCAGAAACTTCTTGCTTCTCGTTGGGATGATTGAAAAAAGAAGCACTTGATTCTGGGGCGCCCATTTGAAGCTGCATCAAACGTTGCTGATAAGTTTCAATTTCTGATGATTTCTGTGCAAGTTGCTTTCGAAGGGATTCCACTTCATCAGTATTCAAATGAGGAGTGGCCAACTGCGAATAGCTTTCATCTTTCTGAATTTGTTGCTTAGCTTCTTGCAGTTGCTGAGATAAGCTAAACAGTTTCTGTTCATATTGATCCTTCTCATTTATCCAAGAAGAATTTTGCTGAGACAAATCATCTGACTTCAACATGAGTTCATGTTGCAAATGAGAATTGGATTGTGAAGCATGTGAAAGTTGCTCATTGAGTTCTTTCATTTCTTCTTCAGATTTATGAAGCTGTAGCTGTAATTCAGTTGTGTGTTGTGTTGCCTCATCAAGCTTCTGTTGCAACATTTCACTTCTTTCTGTAGCATTGTCACAATATGACTGCAGTTCTAACATTTTCGAATGGGAGGCTTCCATTTCCTGCTCTACTGTAAGCAATTTTGATTTCCACATTTCACATTCCTCATTCAGTTTTTCCCAATTTAATTTCAGATCACTCTGCTGTTGATTGGCATTATGAAGCTCATTTTGAATGTGATTGTAGTGAGTATCAGATTCCTCACATCTTATTTGAAGGTCTTTAATGATGTTATCCTTTTCACTTAATTGCAGTTGCAGTGAATTAGTGCTTTCGATCAGGGAGTCCAACTGATCTTTTGTTTCTTTAAGCTGTCTCTCAAGACTGTAATATTTCTCACTTTCTTGCTGAATCTGTTGTGTTAGATCCCACCGTTCTCTGTTAAGATTGTTCACAGCATCTTCAAGATTGATTTTCTCTGCTTCTTTAGAGTCAAGATGTTGTTTAGTTTCTGTCAAAGTACTCTCCAAAACTTGGATGCTTTGCTCTGCATCAAACAGTTTCCTGTGAATAACTGCATCACTCTCAGCTACAATAGACTTTATTTTGTTTTCAAGAGCTGCTGTACGGTTTATGACTCTAGTAACAAGGTTACTAAGCTCTGCAAACATCTTGCGTTCACCATTTACATCAGGCTTATTTTTAAGCCTTTCAATGATCTGATTATGCAGGGATGCAAAAGAACTACTGAATACATCCATAGTTTTCACTTTCTCCTGTTCTAATACAGGAAGAACATCATTAGGAGAATTAGTGTTCAAAGACACAAGGAGGTTCTCTACCTCAACCTGGAAACTTTCTGGAGATGGAAGTGGGTCAAGATCCTGAGCAACTTCAACACATTCTTCAGCAATAGCAAGACTCTCATTAGCATACTGAAGTTTGTTTCGTTCTTGTTCCAATTGTTGTTGGAGATTTGCCGCCAGTTCTTGATGTTCTTTCAACATAATTTCCAATCTCTCCTTTTCTTGTTGATAGAAACCCACCTCCTGCGCACGTTGCTCATGCATATCAGTGATAGCAGCATTCTTCTCAGCTAGAAGTGCTTCAAGCTCAGTTTGCTTTTCTATCAAATCTGTACGTACCTTCTTTTCTTTAGCAAGTTTGATTTTAGCTTGCTTAGTGAAAGTTTCCAGCTTGGTTATAGCTGCTATTTTCTCCTCCATTTCCAAATCAAGTTGATTTTTGATAGAAATCAGTTCTCCTTGCAAGGCAGAGACCATATGACTCTCCGCTTGTTGACTCTGTTCCGCATGGGCTGTGTTTAATTTCTCAAGAGAAGCAGATTTCTCCTCAATCAAAAGCTGCAACTCTTCTACATGTGCCTGCAAACCAGCTACTTTAGCCTCCAGATCAACAATGACAGCCGATTTTTCACCAAGCTGCTGACTGAGGTTCAGCACATCCATTTCTCTGCCAGCCAGTTTATCAGCTGCTTGGCTGAGCACTTCATCCTTTTCTGCCATTTCTGTCTGCCATTTCTCCAACATATCTTGCTTCTCCCTTGACAGCTGATCAACTTCCATTTGATGGGTCTGAATCGCTGTTTCATACCTGTTCACTCTTTCTTCCAACTCTTTGTTAGCTAGAGTTTTCACTTTGAGGTTCACAACTATTTTCTTGTATTTCTCTACTTGAGCTTTGAGTTTACTTTCAAGCCGAGTACATTCATCCCTCTTCAGTTCCAGTTCCCCAGAAGCTTCAATCAATTCCCTCTGAAGCTGTGATGTGTCTATGGAAGAATTTTGATCCATGGAAGTCTTATTTCCATCAACCTGTTCGCCTGCAGTTGCTGAAGTTTTTAATAATGACAGTGATTCCTTCAATGTTCCATTTTCTTCTTGAAGCATATTGACTGAGGCCTCAAAAGACATAATTTGAGACTCTAGAACCCTGATGCGCTCTTTCAATTCCTCACTATCAGGATTAACAGCTGGAGTAGAAATGAGGTTGTCAATTCTCTCAAGGTTGGCTCGGACTAGCGCCTCTAATTCTTGTACCTCAATCTGTTTATCTCTTATAGACTGCTCCAAATGTTGTACTTTAGTCATCAGAATTCTTTCACCGCGACTTATTTCTTCATCTGATGATTTGGCATCAGACACCGAATCCTGACCAATGGACTGAAGACTTCTCTGAGAACTGAGGTCTGATAATGCCGAAACAAGCTCATCATTCTTCTCCTTGAACTGTTTTTCCAAAGCAACGTAGCGAACCTCCCATTCTTGCACAGCACTTCTGGCATCTTTCAACTCGTCCTGTAGATCAGAGTGTAAGTCTGCCTTAGGGAAAGATCCCACCCGTTCAAGACAGTCCTTTAGATGCTGAATTTCGTCTTCTCTATCGACAAGTTTAAGTTTCAACTCATTAGCTTCCTCCATGACAGCTGCATAGGATGATAGCTGGTCCTCTACTTCAATCAGCTTCATTTCTGAGACAACCTTTTGATTTTGTAGTTCTTGTATAGTCTTCTCAAGTTCATTAATTTTCTGTTCTTGGGTACCTGAATTGAAAAAGAAAGTTTAAATAAATCATTTGGTTAAATTAAATCAACACTAAATGAAAACATTGGGTTCATAAGGCTAGCACAAGAAGACCATTTGCGGTGAATTTAAAGGTTGTCAAATAAATATTTTAGGCAGGAGAGAAATAAAGCAGTTGCACCGGGTTATGAACTTAAACCAAAGCTTTGTACATCAAGAATGAAGATTTTTTTTTCTTTCTAGGATGCATACCAACCAGAACCAACACCAAACCCCATAGCAGGAACCCATAGCAACCGATAATTTATCTTTAAGGAGTGCCTACCTGTGCTCTCCTCAATCTCAATTATGTGTAATTGCAGATTACCTTTCTCCTCCTCCAATTCTGCTATGTGATTTTGAAGCTGAACAACTTCTCCACTCAAATCTGATTCCTGAAATGATTTTACAAAAATTAAACAAAACCAATTTGATTGATTGCATAGTCTAGAACACTTGTTTTGTTGTTGTTGTTGTTGTTGTTGTTTACCTTTCTTAAACTGTCAATTTGTTTATTTAAAGTTTTAACTTTAGCCTTATGGTCAGCTTTAAGTTTGACAGTTAACTTATTAGCTTCACTCAGGGCTTGAGAAAGCTCATCTATCTTTGACTTGGCATCCTCTAGACCTGAGGCTTCCTTTGGAGCTTCCTTCAGACGATTAAGTTCTGCAAGAAGTTCAGCATTCTGAGATGCGAAATCATCCCGAGATGACTCCGCCGCTTTGACATTCTGTTCTGCCTGAGCTAGCCTGAGTAAAATTAAGACAATATTGAAACATAAATAAGTGAAACAATGGAAGAAAATTTTGTAACAGAGATGCTAGTAGGCAATAAAAACATATACTAACCTAGATGCATTATTTTGAAGTTGCACATTTAATTGATCAATTTCTGCGTTTAAACCAGCTTCGATTCTTACAAAATTTTCTTGCATCATTTGCATCTGCAGTCTCGTTTCTTCTAACATATCCACATTGGCTCTCCCTAAAAATTAAAGTTTGTATCAGTTATCTTTCTTTTTTAAGCACATAATTATTGATATCAATTCTAGCCTACAGAGGTAGAGAGATTCCAAAACTCACATTTTTTTGACATATCCTCAGAGAGGAGACTAATTGCCTGTGTTCTGGCTTCAATCACACAATCCTTCTCTTTAAGATTTTCTTGAAGTTCAAGAATGACATTCTGAAGATCTATGACTTGGGAAGACAAGTTTTTAACATCATTCTCTTTCTGAAGCAGCAATGTTGAAACATCCACTGGCTCAGAAACCTGTGGAAAGAAGACAAGAAAGTAGAATGAGATAATTGAAAGCTGAGTAGGCAAGCAGACATGTCAAGCTACACCTTACTCACCGGCTCTTCACAAACAGATGATACAATCGGCACTTGTCCATCTTGCAGTTGCTGAATTGTAACATCCCTTTCTTCCAGTTCATGTCGGAGTTGTTCCACCATGACTTCCATACTACGAGTATCTTCTGACAGCTCCTGGCCATGGCGCTCAAACTTGAGCCTTCAATGTCATTTAAAAAAGGGTTTAAATTTAAAAACTAAAGAAATGCACTCGAATCCATATCATTGTCAATCTCTCCTTGCTGATCATACCTGTTTTGCTCCAACTGCTCCCGCAAAATGTTAATTTTACCCTTGTTTGCTGAGGTAGGTGTTTGCTTCCTGGCAGTGTTTTTAGGTGATGCACTACTCTGGTCTTTGCCCCCTTTAGCTTTATTATCATCTTTGTCATTTGCACCAGAAGCTCGCTTGGCCTTGGTACGAGACTTAAGAAGTGACAGTTTGGACTTTAGGAGCTAGAAAATAGCAGATTTATGATAGCAAAGCCCAGTAACCACAGTATGAAACAAAAAGTACTTTGAAAAGCTCCTTCCCCAGGATTTAAAAAAAAAATCTGAAATAAAAATTACAAACCTCATTTTTTTGCTCTTTACTTGCTAGCTGAAGCTCGTCTTGTTCTAATTTTTCTTTCAGCTGGGCTGCTAACGTCCGTTGCTGTTCAATTTGCTCCCTGACATCCTCTGTGTCAGGGGGAAAACTTTCTTGGTCTTCCATGGTTTAGGTTAGATGGGTTTAGCAGTTAAACGCATCATCAGTGGTTATCATACTGGGCCTAGGAACAGAGGTCCTATGAAATTCCCATTTAACTGATTCAATTGGTCATAAGAGAATCGCAACAAAACAACTGAGAGAATAATGAAAAAAAAGAGAGGAGGGAGGGCAGATGTCAAACACGCTCCCCGAGTGAAGAAGACAGGGTGTTAAAAGTAATATTTTGACACAAGCTGAAAACAGCTCTGATCAAATACTATTCTGTAAAAATCTAGCAACCTTGTCAAATTTGTAGAAACTAAAACACTACAGTGCCTGCAAATAATGAACATGGAACCATGGATTTGAAATTATCTGACATAACAACATACATAATGTAAATGTTGATGACAACATCTGGAACATTGGATGTTGCAAAACATACATACACTTCGAGGTTATGTTCATCATACACGTCACTCAACAGCTGACTGTCATCAGGGCCAACAACTATGAAACGCAAAGTTTCCGATTTTTCCTGTTTCTTATTTTAACCGAATAGGACTTACCACGTATGAGATGGAACAAAACTGAAATAAAATTTCTAATATAGTGATTAAAGCATCCTCAGTGCCCTTTTCTTGAATTTCATTTTAAATTTGTGTAAATTATCTTTTTTTAAACGCCGAGAAGGCGGTGAACAAAAATGGTGGCCAGTTGTTACATGTGGGTTGAGGTCTTCTGCTAAATTGTTTCAAAACATTTACTTTTTCTTCTTTGGACATTGATTCTTTGACGATTACGACTGACACTCACCCTGAGGGAAAATGTCGACTGCATATCCGGAGCGTGACGACCCGAGATTCAGAATAACGCCCTTCCAACAAATGGCTTCGTCCTGCACCGGCGCTCTTTGCACTTCATTATTAGGTAAGATTGTGATGGTGTGCCTAGGTGTGACACCACCTCCTTGGATATGATGCAACAGGGCTCCATCGCGCTCTTATTTTTAATGCGAATTAAAACATACATACCCATTCTCAGGCGCTCTACCCGGCTTCTTGCTCGATCTCTTCATGAGGAGCTGTTGCCTATGCATTCCCTTTGGTGTTGGAAATCAAAACCAGTTCCTGTGGACACCTGCTGCAGGGTCATTGTGATATGTGAACTTGCTAAGTACAATGACATCTTTATTTCAGTCACTCCGCTGGATGTTGTGAAGATTCGCCTTCAAGCTCAACAAAAAGCGCTTCTGTCAAATAAATGTTTTCTCTACTGTAATGGTCTGATGGATCACCTCTGCCCCTGCGTAACTTCTCCAGGGGGGCCTACAAATTGGTATCATAGAAATGGTCAATTTAATGGAACTATTGTAAGTACCAGTATCTAAAGCTTTATCACAATTTTCAATATATGTCTTAATTATCACAAAATCATTCTTGCAGGATGCGTTTGTCAAGATATCTCGGGCAGAAGGAGTGTATTCCTTATGGAGTGGCCTTGGTCCGACACTAGTTTTAGCAGTACCAGCTACTGTTCTATATTTTGTAGCATACGAACAAATCCGAACAAGAGCCAAAGACATGCATTCAAAGCGAATTGGCAGGACTGAACAACCCTTTTGGATCCCACTTTTAGCTGGAGCTTCTGCCAGAGTTTTAAGTGCATCAGTTGTTAGCCCTCTAGAGCTTATTCGCACTAAAATGCAGTCTAAGAAACTTACTTACCTTGGTTGGTACTTGGCTAGGTTTCCTTTGTTTTTGGAGATTTTTCCTCTGCTTTTAATATTTTTGAACTGATGGAGTATGTCTTCTATCTACTTGTTTCAGAGCTTGGTAGCACACTTCACTCCCACATTCAGGTGCATGGAATCGTCCCAGGTTTATGGAAAGGATTAGGTTCTACCCTATTACGGGATGTACCATTTTCAGGTCAGTGTTTCCTAATTGGAAAATAATTTGTCTGGATCAATACTCTCTAGAAATTGCAGTGTGAGTGAACAGACACAAATATCGTCTGCCAGAGTTGACACAGTGACTGACTTTGCCGTGACTGATGTAGCCATGAACGATCCTGTTTTAAGTCACAGCCTGAATCCTCACAGGATTATTCCTGGTCTAGCCTATCATGTTCATGTTACAAATATTTTCCCAAATTTTTTTTACAAAATGAAAAGAAATTGTTAGACAAAATTATGTGCAACTTTCTGCTTTCAATTTGCAGGAATATACTGGCTTAACTATGAAGGATTAAAAACACTTTTTAGCCAGCAATCCCCAACATTTGGCTTTAGTTTTGCTGCTGGTGCAGTTGCTGGTGCAGTACGTACTTCAGATTTTTTAATTATTACTATTATTTTAAAGTTTCAAAGTAATGCTCACATTTGATTTCTTTTTTTTTTTAAATTGTGTGTTTGCTTAGGTCGCAGCTGTATGCACCACCCCATTTGATGTTGTCAAGACCCATCAGCAAATTGAGATGGGAGAGAAGCAACTCTATGCAGGTAACTGACAATTATTGTTGGTGAACAAAGAATCCTTATTTTGTTTCCTCTTATTTCTTGTTCAGTGAAGGTAGTTTGTCCTGATACTATTCAATTTTCCTAAGCAATTTTTATTTTTATTGTTTCTTTTGGTTTCTTGCTGGCTTTGTGTTCTTTTCGGAACAACAGATTTAGAAACAGGTAATTCCAAGCTTTGTTTTGTGTTGAATGTGTGAAAGTCCATTGCTTTGATCCGTCCTTTCATGCGTTATTGTGGCTTGAATCGCATACGATTTGTACAGTGCCCCTTCTCCAGCAAGTTATTATCCTGATATGCAAACTCCTTATTCAGTGCAGCTGCCCTCTCTAATGATTTAGACAAGTTATCTTCATTAAACTCTTCCTGTTTTCCCTAGCTGATGCACCCACCCTCCCCTTTTTTTACTTGCCTATCTATGGTTTTAAACCTGCAAGTATTTATTTTAATTATATTGTTTTATTTTTTGTCTTGGTCAATTTCAGGATCAAAGCAAATATCTGGGGACAAATCAATGCAAGAAAAAGCAACCAGTAAGTACTTAAAAATATTTTTGCCCAACTTTTGAAATTAGTTTGGAGTTTAAAATTCTTATAGGGGTGCCTGCCTTTCTATTTTAGGGTCCAAGACAACGTTTGGTATTTTACGTCAAATCTGGCAGCAAAATGGAGTGTCTGGTCTATTTACTGGTGTTGTGCCCAGAGTAGCTAAAGTTGCTCCCGCATGTGCCATTATGGTGGCCACTTTTGAATATGGCAAAGGATTCTTTGAAAGCTATAATGCAGAAAAATACTTCAATAACCAAAGGTAACTTACAGCCAGAGTCAAAATTTGCTATGTACTTGCATTTATGTTTTGTTCTGTTGTACTGTACTGATTGAATTTTCTGTTTATTCATATTTTAGGTTGAGTCTTGAATGAAATACTGTAGGTAGAAGAAGAGAGGAGTGTTTTCCAAATCTGTGATAACCATGCAACTTAAGAGACACGTATGCTCTTACCTCCATACCCTGACTCGCATGGCACCAATATAGTTGCTGCAGGGGCACCGTACTATTAAAATTCTCTCATTTCACCAAACGATGGAGTTGACAATTGACAATATTTGTATTGTACAGTCATAGTTTAACTGTAAAATGCCCTTTTGCAAAAGGATACAGTTCATTCTTGACTTTGTTGAGATTCATTTTGTGGATCGTGTGTCGATTTGAATGTATATTACATTAGTTGTTAGGTAATAGTGACAAATAAAAAGAAATTATTTTAGTAATGGAATCTATTTTTGTCAGCACACCCTTGCTTCTGCCCAAGTGTCCAAATGGACGGCCCCGCGAATGCGCGGTCCTTCCCCTGCAGGTACTTTCAGGGCCAGTGCAGGCCGTGCAGGCTGCAGGGCTTACTGCCACTGGACTGATTGTTATCGAGAGTTCGCAGCATGCGCGGCACAAGGTTCGTGTTCGTGGAACCATCAACCAATCGGGAAACAGGCGCGCCTCCTGTTGCCGTAGAAACGGGAGCGGTTATTAGGTCACTTGCCCGGCAACGCGTGAGTCCGCCCTGCGATCGCCTCTGACGGCAATGAAAAGCCTGAAGCTGAATGTCGAATCGAAACCCGCAGCCGGACCCCTTGCGAACCAGCAGAACCAAGTTCCAGACCGCCTCAACGGCAGCGATGCGAGCGAACGCCAGCAAGGTAGGCACTGCTTGAGGACTCCACGCATGGCGAGCGAAGCGGTCAAACAGTGGTACTTCCCCCATACCTAAAGGCCGCCACTGACCCGTCGCGCTGACCGTCACCGCCTTGCCGCGGCTCGGTCCAGGCTTTGCCCCAGCGTCGCCGCAGCGCTACCGGTACATGCACGTCGTGCAACCGGACGCAGGCACGGCCATCCGCGCCGCCACCATGATGCCCCTGCTGCTGGACCGGCCCTTCGGCTGCCCCATGTGCGGATGCACCTTCACGACCCAGGCGGCATTGCGGAAGCACGTCAAGTAGGCCTCCACGCACAAAGGACACCAGCAGGGCGGGAACCCGCCGCTAAAACATTCTCCCTTGTGGCTACACAAGCACTGCTTCATTGTGAGGGCTTGGCAACTGCCCTCTCCTTGAACACCGCTTGCAGTGTGGCCCACGCGGTAAAATCCATTTCCTGAGATTCCCAGGAACAGCGGCCAATTCCCAGGAAGAGGCCGTGAAGCGCCTGTGAGATAGGCCACCGCTCAGGCCCGCAAGACACCGGTGAGGCGACGGTGGCCTACCTTGCCCCTGTCATCTTCACAGGGGCGAGGTAGGCCACCGTCTGCACGCCGGTGTGTTGCGGGACCGGGTGGTCGCCTATCTCGCAGGCGCTACCATTACCATTAAGGGCGAGACCACACATGATCGTATCGTGATCGTATGCCATTTCGGGTCCGACACATGCTCGCCTGCACTGCAAGGTGAATCCGCTGTTTTACATATCTGGACGCTCTGAGATGCGTGACTCCGTCCTTTTAGTGCCGTGCCTGTCCTCCAAGCGCGGCCAGCTCTAGGGCTGTCGGGCTGTCTAGGGCGAGCTTGATATGAATCGTGGTTCCACAGAAGACATTCCCCGTGCCCGAACCCACCGTGCAGCGGTCCCTGTTGCTGCCGCCCCATCGGCCAGCCTGCCGCGCATCCTAGTGGAGTGGCGAAGGACGACAAGCCTCTCCTGCCCCACACGTGCTCCCAATGCGGAAAGGTGGTTAGACAATGCAGCAGGGCCGACGTAGACGACTGTGGTTCCACGCCAACCCTACAATTTGCACTGGCCGTCCTATTTATTCCCTTCAAAAGTCGCAGTGATCCATCTTCGCACACTGACTCCGAGAGTCGTTTTCCTCGCTCTGTCCTCTCGCGCTCACGGGCGGTCGCGCGCGTGGGTAATGAGAGCGATGGGCGACGAAAACGAATAATCAATCAATCAATCAATCAATCAATCAATCAATCAATCAATCAATCAATCAATCAATCAATCAATCAATCAATCAATCAATCAATCAATCAATCAATCAATCAATCAAATCAATCAATCAATCCATCCATAATTAATTCAATCAATCGCATATCAAGCAATCATTCATTCAATCTGCAACGAGCTAACAATGTTGGCTCGGCAGTCGTTCCGCACGGCGGGCTACCTGGCCGTGCACCGGCGCGTGCACACGGGCGTGCGCCCCTTCTCGTGCTCGTGCGGCAAGGCGTTCGTGCGGCGCTGCAACCTGCGCGCGCACCTCGTGTCGCACACGCGCGAGCGGCCGCACGCCTGCCTGCGCCCGGACTGCGGCCAGCGCTTCCAGTTCCGGAAGCAGCTGGAGCGGCACGCGTGCGTCTCCAGCAGCGCCTCCAGTCCTTCCAGCGCTTACAGTGCGTCGCAGCAGGTACGGGCACACGACACGCGCAGTGGGACAGGAGAGCGGTGGAGGCGGCCAAACTTCCGGGCGCGTTTTGAGCTCCAGAGTCACTGAATGGGACTCGAACCGACCGAGTGGCCCCACCAATGGACTTGCTCTCCCAACGAGGAATCCATTGGTGGGGTCACACGTTCGGTTCTAGTTCCATTTAGCGACGCTCGAGATCAAAACGCGTGTAGAGTTTTGGCCGCCTCCACCGATCTTCTGGCCCACTGTGACACGCCCACAACAGCGAATCCGGAGACGGTCTTTGGAGAGGGAGTGAGGGCAAAGTGCGCCTGGGGGAAAAGGGGGGACCGGCACGCCCAGGAAGAAGGGTACTACAACCGAATCGACTTCTTTTGTTTATTGACTCGTTTATTGACACTAAACATCGAACCGCCGCAGACAAAAAAAATCGCAACCTGAATTCATCGACTTTATATCCTAGTATCACAGCATTAGCATAATCAGTCGGTTTCGCCTTCGGCTCCTCCACAGTCCGCATTCCGCGGTGGGCGAGGCCGCTGGGGGAGTCGGCTCCGTCCGTGTCCGTGACCTTGACTGTGTTCCCCAGAAATCCGTGTCCCCTGCGAGCGTGCCGCCCACGACGGACACGACGGGCACGCTGGACACCTTTCCCCACTTGCGCGCCCCTAGCGGCCTTGGCGGTCCCAGCGGCGCACCGGGGACGCTGCAGCCCCCGTCGCAGAGCCGGCAGAGCACACCGTCGGTCGGGGGCGTCGGCTGCGGTCCACGAGGACCACCGGCAGAGGCGGTCCTTGCAGGCGTTGGAGGCCCTGTGCCCGGCCGCCTGGCGCTGCTCGGCCCCGTCGTCCTACAGCCCACCGCCTCCAAGACCTCCCCGGACACGCAGGCCGCCCCGCCGCCCCGCGTCCTGGCCTACGTCGGCGTGCAGAAGGCCCTGCTGCTCCACGTGACGCAGGCACCGCCGGTCCCCGCCGCCGTAGCCGCTCGGACGCTGAGCGTCCGCGCTGTCCCGGACGACGAAGTTGAAGGAGTCCGCAAGCGCGGAGGGACGCCGCCAGGGACGGTTGTGCAGCTGGACGACGTGCTGGAGGTCGGCGACGACGCCAGGCCGCAGGACCCCGAGTTCATCGACATCGAGGCCTTCGCCGCACTGCACCCCCGGTTCGGGGCGTGCTAACGGCCACCTGCTGGCACAGTGTACATTTTAACGACGTGACGCGGTTCAAGAATAAACCACTAGACTGATTCGGAGAGCCGTTTTCGTCGCTCTGTCTCTCTCGCACCTGAACGGAGCGCCCCATAAGTGCGAGAGAGACAGTGCCACGAAAACGACTGTGTCTGCGAGTCCTTACCCGAGATCACCTTCTCTCGTCGTTCGCGACTTCTACGCTTCTCGTCGACGAGGCCGGCCTCTCGACGCCGTCTTCGGCGCGCCTCGATGTCGGCCATCTTGCTCCAGATGGGGCCGCCCAGCAGCCGCCCGTAGATGCCGTCCCACAGGCTCACCGTTTCGGGCCGGAAGTCCTGGCGCACCACGGGCCGCTCGCCCATCTCCAGGAAGGACTGCTCCATGGCGGTGAACGGCGGCCACGTCACGTTCAGACCGGACGCCGCCGGTGTGGGCGACCTGTTCGACGTCGACGTCGGCAGGGAAGACAGTGGCGTGGTCACACACACTCGTGCTCCCTGCTTCCACCTTGCCACCCTTCGGGCCCGGCAGACTGATTCAGCGCGTCGTCGCTGTCTCTCTTGCACCTACACGAAGCGCGCCACGAGTGCGAGGGAGACAGCGCGACGAAAGCAAAACTCAAAATTGCTCAGCGGGCGGGCGGGCGGACGCAAGGGCGGACGTACCCGGTCTTGATGAAGTTGGCGATCATCGAGGAGAAGGTGTCCCGCACGCGGTACTCGGTGGCTGAGGGACCCAACGGCCGGCTGGCGGGGGCCACCCTCATCCGCCACACGTAGGGGAGCTCGTCACCGTGGCAGGCCTCTAGAGACACCCACAGAAAACCCGCGTCAAGACCAATTTCCGGCGGTCCACCGTAGCGACTCGCTTCAAGAAGGCTCACCGTTGGACATGATGCGCAGGAGGTTCTTGAACATGTTGAGCGCGCCCACGTACGTGAAGCGGTACAGGTAGACGGGGGCGGCCGACGGCGAGGCCGTCATGTACCGGCTCAGCATGAGCGTGTCCAGGTACATGAAGATGCTGGTGACCATCTGCGGGCGGGAGAGGAAACGTGAGGCGCGACCGCCAAGCGACAGACTGATTGCAAGAGTCGCTTTCGTCACTCTGTCTCTCTCGCACCCATGGGGCGTCCAGTCTGGGTCCGAGGGAGATAGAGCGACGAAAACGACTCTCGGAATGAATCGTGGGTAGAAGGGCGTTGAGCTCACCTCGAAGAACTTGGGCCGCACGGCCAGGGAGACGGGGTCCCCGTCGCCGAGGTAGAAGCGCTTGATCTGGCGGCTCAGGTCCTCGGCCTCCGTCAGGTTGAGGCGCTGGAAGACCTCGTCGGGCAGCAGGCCCGTCACGTTGCGTTCCACCATTTGCAGCGTCTCCTCGCTGGGCTCGCGTGTCAGGCCTGTAACGGACGCGGGGCTGTTAGGGCGCCAACCGCCAATTCCGAGTCGTTCTCGTCGCTCTGTCTCTCTCGCACCCATAAGGGAGGCCCCATGAGTGCGAGAGAGACAGAGCAAAGAAAACGACTCTGGGAATCAGTCTGTGGCGAGCGGTGCACCACCGTCACCACCTTACCGGTGAACATGATGAGAGACTCGCCGCTGTTGAAGCCGAGCATGATGGGCACGTTGGCGGTCTTGCCAGCCACCATCAGGTCGCGCGGGCTCTCCGTGAGGTACGGCGCGTCCCACTCGTCGGCCTCCTCGTCGGCCTCCTCCACCGACGGCACGAACGCCACGCGCCCCGGGAGGTAGCGCCACTCCTGCGGAAGATAGAGAAAGGAACCATGAGAGGGGAGCCATGAGAGGGGGAGAGGGGAACCATGAGAGGGGGAGAGGGGAACCATGAGATAGGACTCATGGCATGGCGGTTCAAGAGGCTTGCCAGAAACTGGCACGTTTCAATACTAAAAATTGGCGTTTAAATTGGCAGTCAAACGACGCCCACCAGTGCCTGCGTTGCAGTGTGCCTGGAATGGGCATCGCGCGCTCCGCGGTGGCGGACTCACCTCCTCGCCGACGCCCTTCTCCTGCAGGAGCGCGAGCTGGCGGGCGGGCACCTTCCTGAGGCACTGCACCAGGGCGCGCGCGTCGCCGTCCGCCTCGGCCCGGCAGGGCGTCCACCGCGCCAGGTTGCGCGCGCGCCGCGCCGCGGTGGCGGCCGGCACGGAGCTCCACCAGTGCACGGCGCTGCCGCTGGTGATGATGGCACCCCGGATCATGCCTGCGGAAAACAAGCACGCCTCAGCGCTGCAGACTCACTTCGAACAGTGCTTTCGTCGCTCTGTCTCTCTCGCACTCATGGGGCGTCCCGTACAGGTGCGGGAGAGACAGAGCGACGAACACGACTCTCGGGATCAGTCTGCTGCGGGGCGGTCAGGACGGCGATGGTCGGGACGTACTGGCACTGCGCGGGTTCATGAGGTGGAGGTGCGCGCCGACGGCCCCGGCGCTCTCGCCGTACACCGTGATCTTGTTGGGGTCGCCGCCGAACTGGGCGATGTTGTCGCGCACCCACTGCAGCGCTGCCGCCTGGTCCTTGATGCCCGCGTTGCCGGACATCCCCGAGCCGCGGCCCAGGTCCATGAAGCCTGCGAGCAAAGGGAGGGTCGCGTTCACATCGACGAGGTGCAAAGGCCGACTTGGTTCGCCTTGGTTCGCCCTTACCGAGAGGGCCGAGGCGGTAGTTGAAGGTGACGACCACCATGCCCTGGTCCATGAAGGCGTCCGGGTCGTAGAACGCGAGGCCGCCCTCGCCCCACACGAAGCCGCCGCCGTAGACCCACAGGAGCACCGGCAGCCCCGCCGTCCCCGCGGCCCGACTGGACTGCAAGCAGAGGAGAGTTCGTACAACGAGTGCAATGGAGGAGAGAGAAAAGGGAAGGAGGCAGACAGGACGGACATGGACCCCGTCCCGTCTGAGCTCCGATGGTCTGAAGCCGAGGGGGTAACGACTTCGGTAATCCGGCTGACAGCAAATTGGTAATCCGTAATCCGGATGACCCAAAATTTACGAGTCGTTACCCCCTCGTCTGAAGCACAACCTGATTCATCGCTCTGTCTCTCTCGCACCTATACGGCACGCAGCATGAGTGCGTGGCGTGGCGTGGCTCGCGTGGCGTGTGGCTTTTACCGCAGTCCTAATCATTTATGACGCACGACGAGGAAACACTCGGCGGTCGCGCGGTCGCCTCGCGGCCCTTTCAGGTGCTCTGATTCCGAAAGGGGTTTTCTTCGCTCTGTCTCTCTCGCACTGATGGGGCGTCCCTGTGGGTGTGAGAAAGACAGCGCGACGAAAGCGACTCTTGGAATCAGTATGCTAGTGTTCTAGCACGTTCACGGCGCCCGCCGCACGGCGCGTGGAAGAAAAGTATCAATTAAGACTAAACGACTGATCCTTGTCTACACCTCGACGTTTTTGGACACCGGTTCACGCCATCGCATTAGGGGGCGACCACTCTGTGTACTCTGAGGCCGCGACGGGAGTGCGTGCCGGATAAGCAGGTGACGAACTCCCACAAGTACGAGGAAAGGGAAATACAGAGTAAAATGTACTGATAAATACCACCACATGCGTTCTGTAACACTACAACACAATGTTCTGTCAGATGCTCCGAGCGCGGTTGAAAGGGGTCCCCGACCCTGATGCCACCGGGGGGGGGGGAGAGATTGTGTCCATTTTCCCAACTTACAACGAATCATCCCGCCTTGGCGGGGGCCAAAGGTCATCGTGAATCAGGTCTACAACAAGGTCGTTCTCGTCGCTGCGCCTCTCGCACCTAAACGGGACACCTCACGAGTGGGAGAGAGAGAGAGAGAGAGAGAGAGAGAGAGAGAGAGAGAGAGAGAGAGAGAGAGAGAGAGAGAGAGAGAGAGAGAGAGAGAGAGAGAGAGAGAGAGAGAGAGAGAGACGGGGCGACGAAAACGACACCCGGAATCAGTCTGCGGCCGACGACGGGGAGCTCCGCCCCGCTCGCGCCTCGCGACCGTGTGGCAGTCTCGTCTCGCGTCCATCGTCGTCCCGCCGAACCAAACCATCAAACCGGTCGACGGGCTGCCGGGCTTGGCGGCAGGCGCGGACTCAGGGGGAAGGGAGGGGATGAGGTGCCGCCACTGAAAGTGGCCTGAAAGGTAAAGTCGCACTTTGCTCCTGTAAATAGGCAATTTTCCCGCCGTCCCGCCGCCCCTCCCCTACCCGTCTCCGGATCCGCCCTCGCTTGGTGGGCTGGGCTCGGCTGGGCTCACCCTGGCGGCCTCCCTGGGGGTGTACACGTTGAGGTACAGGCAGTCCTCGCCGGACGTGAGGATGTTGGCCAGGGCCTGCAGCAGCCAGGGCTGGATGCGCACGAAGCCGGGCAGCTCCTCGCCGCGCAGCAGCGCCATGGACTTGGGCAGGCGCGTAAACTGGCGGAGCAGAAACAGAAACAAAGGAGCAAAATGAGTGATGGCTTTCTTTGACTTCCGGTGACTTCCGGTTCGCAACACCTGTAGGTCGCCTAGAGGCGCGATCGCAACGCGCGACTCCGTGAGGAAACCGAGAGGGAATCGATTTGCGAGACGCGTCCTTGAGACCGCGGAGAGAGAACCGGCAGCCCAGAGTCGTTTTCGTCGCTCTGTCTCTCTCGCACTCGGGGGGCGTCCCTGTCGATGCGAGAGAGACAGAGCGACGAAAACGACTCCCGGAATCAGTCTCCAGACCCGACCGACTGAGCTGTGAGTCATGTGAGCGGCGGACTTGAAAGTCCAGCCTTGAACCTGAGACCTAGCGCGCGCAACCAATGCGCGGTACTTCCAACTTGTGTTTCCGGTTTTGCCGGCAGTTTAATGACGATTAATTCAAACATGTGCTGTAGAGTGATGCAAATCCATTGCAAGGTGGGGCTCAGGCTGCACTTTGATAACGTGGAACAAGCTGCGTCGCACGTTTAGAGAGGTGGTTTGTCCCACTTGGATTCGCAGTGCACCGCGCTGCGGCCTCTCACTGAATAATCGTAATCATACAAAATTTCGATTTGTATACCACCCCAACTAAACGTTTGCCGCAGATCGTGGAGACCGTGCGTCACTGCGGCAAAGTCGACGCTGCCTGCCTGCAGACTGCTCTTCGGTCTCCGTTACCTATAGATGCCGCTTTTAAGCCGCGGAGGGGGTCGGTAACTCGCCAAGGAGCCCAATTTCGGGCCAAAATAACGAACTCCTCAGTCCTCTCGTCTTCGTAAACCTGCGTTGTTTTGGCACGCAATGCCAGCATCGCCGCCAGGACAGGCAGGACACCGAGGACACTCACCAAGACGCGCGTCAGGTTGAAGAACGGCTGCGTGCAGATGCGACCCTCCTTGCGCGCGTCGCGGACCCCCGGCCAGGGCGAGGGTGGGCGCGGACCCTGCAACAGGACACGAATAGATGCCGCGATGCAGCTATGCGGCAATCCAGCAATGCAGCGATCCAGCAATCCAGCAATCCAGCATAGCACTGTAGCTGGAGTCAGCTGGAATACAAAAGACAAAGAAAGAGAAGCGGCAGGTTGGGAAGGTGAGATGGGGTCGTCAAACTTCGGACAAAGCCTCGGTCAAGCAGAGAACCGGCTTGATTCCTTTGCACTCAGTTCGATGGACAGGTACCCAGAGGGGAGGAGGGGGACAGAGAAGGGGTACGCACGGGGGTATTGCCCTGCACTGGCAGCACTCACTCTGTCGCAACCGGAATGCTGAACCGTCCCGTCGGCTGAACCAAGGACGTCCCTAATCATGCAAATGCACAAACACACGCTCACACACACACACACACACACACACACACACACACACGACAGGGGTTCCAAGTGACAGCCTTGGCGTGGCTTCACTCCACGTTCGCATCCGCGTACGCACCTTGAACCGCAGCTCCCCGACGGGCGGCGCGGCGTACGGGATGCCGGAGAAGGCGTCGAAGGCCGTCCCCTTGGTGGAGAACAGCGTGCGGCCCAGCAGCCGGCCCTGCGCCACCGTCACCTCGGGCCCGAAGCCCCTCTTGTTGGGCAGCAGGGGGTCGTCGGGGAGGCCTGCCACAGTGAGGCACACGATTAGTCCCCGCTCATGGACTGCAGACTGATTCCTCGAGTCGCTGTCGACGCTCTGTCTCTCTCGCACTCATGGGGCGTTCTTATGGGTGCGAGAGAGACAGAGCGACGACAGTGACTCTAGGACTCTCGGAATCAGTCTGCAGCATCCACCTTCAGACGACGCTGCTGCGACTCACTGTTGTCCGCCGTGCCGCCGACGGCCCGCGTGTGCGTGCGCGTGCGCGCCGCGGAGGCCGTGGGGAGCAGCAGGCAGGCCCAGAGCAGGGCCAGGAAGGCCGGCATCCTGGCCGTGGAGGGCGTCGCGGTGCTGTCACAACAAACGAGAGCGTTCAGTTACTCGCCAGGCACGGAGAGGTGCGGTCGGCGGACTCTGGAAGCACTGCGCACTGCCCGCCCACTAGCGCCTGCAGCAGCAATGGTGGGCCAACCCGCCGGACACGCGTGTGCCTGCGCGGCCTACCCTCCCGGCGCTAGTCTTCCTTGACTTCACGGAGCGCTATCGTCCCTGCTTCCGGGCGGCTTCGGCTTTCGCTCCAGGAGCCGGTCTGCTTCTGAACTGACTCCAGTGACTGCAGTCACGCGCTGCAATGGAATGACCATCCATCCATCCATCCATCCATCCATCCATCCATCCATCCATGTATGTATCCAGACGTCCACCGCCGCCAGCGTGGTTAGCGAGTAATCGTTTAGCACGTCGCTTCCCCGCCCCCGGGTCCTCGCGGGTCCTCGCGGGTCCTCGCGGGTCCTCGCGGGTCTCCGGGTCTTCGCCTTATTGTCCATTTGCAGACACGCGTAACGGGCGGCGCGGCGCGTCGTTTGCATATTGCCTTTTCCGGACAGTACTGCCGAGCGATTCAGAAGAGTCGAGTCGTCGCTCTGTCTCCGTCGCCCTCGTGGGGCTCTCCGTAAGGGCGCGAGCGAGAGAGAGGCAGGGCGACAGACCTATCTTCTGAATCACTCGGCCGCTCAGGCTTCGAGAAGAAGAAAACGGAAACAAAAACCAAACAGTGGAGCAGCACTTGCAGACTGAGTACCAATCACTTCCTGCAACATGCAAGCAGGGCAATCGATAAGCGACAAAACATCGTTAAGTTTTCTTCGTTTCATCGACGATTGCAACTCCATCCCCAGCCGGAGAGTGCCATAAATGTTTGCGAGGTCTTATCGTGAACATCAAGGTCTATTTCAAAAATCATGCAAACAAATTCAAAATTTGAAAATTATTTGATGTTTATTGAGACTTGCTCTGTTATGCCTGACGACCTTGACTTGTTCTGTTATGTCATGGGGCGAAAAGTGAAAGATATGCGGAAATGGAGAACTGATGACTGAAATGGATTCCTCCGAGACGAAGAAAAAAAGGAAAAACCAGAATCATGGAGTCCAATAGACGGTGTTTGGCTGGCTTTTGGCGCACCTTTTGGCGTGACCATAAAAACATGCTAAAACCAACTATAGGGCCCCGACATACTTTTTTTGATTCATTTCAATGCGAGGAATCCATTTCAGTCGTGTCAATTTTCTGTTTCCGCATTTTAGACTTTACACCTCTTGGTTCATGTCATAAGTCAACGTCATCTGACATAAGAGTGCATGGACAAGATCGTGACGACAATGTTATCAACAAGTTTGAAGACAATCTTCCGAGGAAAAGTGAAAATTAGCCTGAAATAATTGTCATCAACGCCAACCAAAATTTTCACGCATCTGACACTGAGCTACGCGTATTTTGAAGCATGTTCCAAACCAACCTAGAATCACAACACCCCAGTGGCGGATACTGAGGCGGCCTGTAAAAGGCCCTGTAAATTTTCGACGCTTGCAACACCCAGTCTGATTCAACCCCCGGAACACTCTACCTACCTTGAGAGTCTCATTGAGACTGCGCACCAACGCGCTGCTCGGCGTTGTCCGAGTGTCACCCCGCGATGGCGATTTCTTCGGAATTTCTCGCACTTAGGTTCCAATACCTCTCGCTGACTTGAACTGATATTCTGGCCTCAATCCGGTCCGCGCACTACGAAGTTTCAAAGTTTTCCAGACGACGCAGGCACCGATGCACCGGGTGCGGGGGTGACTGAAGTTGCCGAGGGTGCTCCTGGACACCTTCCAGCCGCGTTCGAGTTGCTGTTGTTTCCCGGAGGTTCCGTGTGTTGTTCTCCCGGCGATCAGGTGCTCGAGCTGTTCGATGTCGTATACACAGTGTCTGGCGCGTCCTCCCCGTCCGTGGGATGGCCTGGCCGATGGTCCGCCCGCCAGCGAAGCCAGCGAAGCCAGCGAAGCCAGCGACAGCCGCAGAGTACAATCAGCGACTGATCTGAAACACCGGGCGTATCACAGCTGGCGGCGGGGAGGAGCCCTGCCGCCCAGCCGGACGAGCCGAGTGGGACCGGCCTGCCCGGCCGAGTCCAGCCGAGTCCAGCCGAGCCGCCGTCTTTTCGACATTTTGGCGCACTTACCTCCTCATTGGACTGCGGACAGTGGCGGATCCAGAGTCGGCCTGAGGGAGGGGCACAGTGGTACTTTTGGACTTACAGGGGTGAAGTGCGGCTTTTGCCGTCATTCCAGGCGGCCATCTAGGGGCCAATTAGGGGGCGGGAGGGGTAGGGAAGAGGAATCCGCGCTTGACTGCAGACACAAGCGAGGGGCCAAAACATTCCCATGGAACTATTTTACATGATTTCATGTATTGGAGGAGATTAATAGCCCCTCACCCGCAAGTTTCAAACCAGTTTCATTGAGTGATTTCATAAATAGAAATCGGACTACACTTTTTAAAAAACTCAAAATATATTCAAAAGATAATTGGTTGAATGAAAGTCTTTTTTTTTTTTCAAATAAATTTGATTGGCGCGTGCCCACCCAGTCACCCAAAACAACTTAGACGATCCGGCTGAGATTTTGCAAGGTCGCGACACGCCCTTGGATCGCCACGCGCCGAAATTCACCTGTCTCTGTATCTCAACCAGTTCAGTCATATACTATCCCATCCAAGGCACATCATCGCGAAACCTGTCGGGTACAAGACGCTGCCTAGCGTTCTACCTGCTTGTTTCATTTTGGCCTTTTCTGGCACCTTCTGTCATGAAAATGGTGTTATTACACTGGTCAGACAGTGACTGATGCAAAGAGGACCCGGCCGGAAGGAGAGGTGAGGAAAAGTTGCCTACTTACTTGGTGTGACTTTTTGCCAACACTAGGCGCGAATCCAGATGGAGGGGAGGGGGGGGGACAATCGACCCCCTTTCGGCCCCTAGATTACCGCCGAAATGTAGAAAAAGGCCTCACTTTGCCCCTGTCAGTAGGTAGAAAGAGCTTCCCCCCCCTCTCCTCACTGGTAAAACAAAGGCATAAAAACTACGCCATTTAGGGCAAACAGTCTTTTACGCCCCTTAAGGGCGTGAATGGTATAGGACTTTTAGGCGAAATTTTAATGCCCTTTCAAAGACATTAACGATTGACGCCGTTCCAGGGGCGTAAGTCGTTTACGCCCTTCAGGGCATAGTTTTGATGTCTTTGTTTCGCCAGTGCTCCAGGCTGGGACCGCTGGGACCGGATCCACAATCGGCCAACATCCAAAGCGGTGCCTGACGAACTTTTCGGGGTCCGCTCATGCGAACCGTCTTTTTTACCCAACTAATCGTAGAGCTGGTGGTATACCTGACAGACCCTGACAGGCCATACCACTCAGCACCAGTCGTGGTAGACCAACACGTGTAATTGACGAAACCCAAAGGCAATCGACGCTCGAAGATTCGGAGTCAGCAAGTGCGGATTACATCTTTGAGTCGGATTACATCTGAAATTTTTTGGCATAGTTTTTTTTACGGAGAACACTGAAATACCTGTTGACCATCCGATCGCCCTTTAGAAGAACCCCAGCTTGACATGACATTTTGGTGAAATTCTACTTTGACTCTCTAATGATTATTCTTTCAAAAAAAAAAAAGTTAGCCATGATACAGTTTTCAAAATGACAAAGTTCTTCAGTTTTTATTTTTAAAATATTTATGTTTGTTTTCAGTCTGTAAATGACTCCAAACTGACTTTCTCAAACTAATATTACATCAAACAGAAACTGAAATGAAGTGAACAATTTAGTAAGGTGCTGTTTTGATCTCCCGCCTTTTATCGCTCTCCGAGTCAGTCATTTGTTACCAACCACACAGCGACCACGACCCTAAAATGCATTATTGCGGTGGCTGACGCCACAGAGAAACGAACGCGTGAATTTCATTCATTTCTGAAAGTAACTCAATTCGGTTTTGAACCCGACCCTTTTCAGCCGGTTCCCTTTGCAAGCGAGTCTTTCTTCCTGCACTGAGGTTGTGGTGTTGGCAAGCCAGCCGTGCCTTCCCTCCCTCCGCTGTTCCCCTCCCCCTCCCCTACTTCCGTTCCCAGAGGCGGCCCCGCCCCCCGCCCCCAACCCCCCAGCCCAACCTGTCAAACGACCACCCCCGCGCTGGACCTAACCTTTCCGACGCGCTCGGCGGGTTGCCTGCCTGTCTAGTCGCTGGGGGTAGTACGCAGGCGCAGAGAGCTAAGTGGGCTGGCTCCATGTTCTCGGGGTTCATGGCCTTGGTGCTGCGTCTATTTCTTCTGATGGTTTAGGTGTTGCCGTGTTGCCTACTCTCATTTGCCCCTCTTTGTCCAAAGCCTTTTTCGCGTTTTCGGTCATCAGCACTAAGCAGGCAAGTCTAGGTTTATTGACTGGTTGGAAAGGCTGCATACAAAATGTCAACATTATTCCGAATTTGCTTCATTCGTTTGGGCCATGACAGCCTAAAACTTTGTCTTCATCTTCTGAGGCATATTTGGTTAATTACTTTGTGAAGTTCCAAAATATAACATGTACAAAATCAGTTGCAAATTCTATTTAAATGATTGATTTATTCGTGGGTTCCAATCTGTTTCAGGATTATTATTATTAATCATCACACATCATGGCTTCGCGACCTCCAGCAAGTGAAAATCTCCCTGTTTATAAATTAGTCGTCGTGGGTGATGGTGGCGTTGGAAAAAGTGCCATCACAATTCAATTCTTTCAGAAACTCTTTGTCACTGATTATGATCCAACAATTGAAGACAGTTACATCCAACATACGGAAGTTGATGGAATTTGGTGTGTTTTGGACGGTAAGTTTGTGCTTGTAAAAAAAAATGCATGAAGTATTGATTAACCTTGGTTTTCATTCTCTTTATGATTTTTATTTGCAGTTCTGGATACGGCTGGGCAAGAAGAGTTCAGTGCTATGAGAGAGCAATACATGAGGAAAGGAGATGGATTCCTTCTTGTATATTCTGTAACAGATGTACAGAGTTATGAGAACATTGTTAACTTCCACACTCAGATTCTGCGTGTGAAAGACAGGTACATTAACTGCCATTACAATGACGCAAGTTGTGATAAGAGGGAACTTACGCTTCATTTTTATTATAGGGATGTATACCCAATGTTGCTGGTGGCAAACAAGGTGGATTTAGTTCATTTACGGAAGGTCACCGAGGAAAGTGGGCGAGATCTGGCTCTCAGACTTGGGATTCCATACATAGAGACAAGTGCTAAGGACCCTCCTCTAAATGTAGATGCTGCATTTCATGAGGTATGATTCTCAGATCATGTCTTTGTCATTGTTTTGTTGTATGTTTCTACTAAAAATTTTTTTTGTATTTTGTCATTGAAGGTGGTGAGGACCATACGGAATCAGCCACCTGCTGAGCAAGTTAAATACCGCAGACGTCGCCCCAATAAGTGTGTTGTGATGTGAGCACCAGAGTTTATCCACATGATGTGGCTGATTTCGGTTTCTTACTTGCTTTTCAAGTGGAGGATAAAACCACCAGTATTTTGCAACATGGTTGCCATAAAGTAACTCAATTATATTCTACTTCTCACATGTGGAACTCTGTTCTTAACAGCAAACGAGTCAATGAAAAAGCTTATGTATCACTTTGTGAGAAAATTATCATCTCAGGTTCTTAATTCACTGCTTTCATTAATACTGATAATCACAACAAAGCAGGCAATGTGATTGATTGTTTACATCTCTTAAAGCTGTTACTGGATCACTTAATTATCTGTTTCAAGAAAGTGTGATGACATGTACAGCACTGCCATAACTTTCAATGCATTTTATCAGGGATATTAATTCCTCATTGTGATTTTAACAGGATTCTCCCCACCCCTTACTTAAAAAAGACAAAACAAAATGGCCCCTATCATAGCCCAGTAGTAAATGGAGTTAGTACTTCAATATTACGTACCTACTATTTATTATGAATTCTGGAGTTGTGAATTAATAGATTAAAGAATTGTTGGATGGATACCTAAATATTGTACCTAAATTATTAGTCTGTTGATAGCAGTACACATTGCCTGGACTGAATTAAAAATCTTGTTGGCCAACTTTTTTTTCCAGATATGACCATTTTTGTGTGTCTACCATTGTGACCTAAATTTGCAAAGCTTGCTTTTGTGTTGTATTGTGTAAGATAACTGTGTGTAGTGATGTAGGTGGTTGTAATGTGTGTTGTTTTTTATTTGTGGTATTCTACATTGTGCGATCTACCAGATTTGTGGAGGCTACATGCAGTACTTATTACATATGATCTGTGTCATGATCAGTCAAGGAAACCAATGTTTTGACGTAGCAAATATTTTGATACCGTTAGTTGAATTTCTTTTAGAAAAGAAAATTGATCAATGTTAACTGATTTTTTTCTCAGCATAATGGCACTAATAGCTATGCATGTATTGACTTTTTTATAAATACCAAAGGTGCTCGGTGGCCTCTCATCGGGCAAGACCAGGCTCGGTGGCTGCACGGCTAGTTTCTTGTTCCAATGACCCATTGCGTCCATTGTGAGGCCACCATTATTTTACTATGGTGAGTCATTATTTGACTGCTTTTCTCTCTCTTGCCCTCTCCGTGTTTTTTTTTCTCTCTTGTGTTATCTTGAAACATTGGACTTCACATGAGCACAAATTTTGCGTTGACATAGTGCTATTGTCTATTTACAAACAAGATATTGCTACAATTTACAGAGACTAATTTTATTCATAGAATTTAAGAATGATGTACACATGTTTCATCAAAAGGATGGATGACCTTGATAATGGCCTTATGGATTGATGAAGTTAAAATGATGCTTGTAACTTGTCTTGATTGCCTTGCCGCAGAAGTGGCAATCAATGCTCACTTAATTAGGAAATGAAAATTTATTTTCATACACTGGAACATAATTAAGTCAATATTTGTCCATTTGCCTAACTTTCTTATGCCTCTATTGAATGTGTTAAATTTGTGTAAGTGATACATTTGTGTGGTTATTGGGTGACCAATGGGTTCTGATTTTGCTTACCACTCAAAAGTTCAACACTGAATGAGGGATGGGGCGTAGGGGATGCATTGTTGTTGGTGTGTTTTGTATTTTTGAAGTTAAGAAGAAGACATGAATTGTTTGTCCTTTATGATTGTATGCATTTATTGTGCATTAGGAAACGCATTACATCAATTGATTTGTGTCTGCCAAACTGCTGCAATTAATTAACTGCAGCATGTGAATCTGTACAGTAGCAACATGGTGTGTCCAAATATGAAGCCCCCATGTCTTTCCGTAAAATTGAAATTCAGACTGACTCAAGGGCTGATACCTGGTCATGAAAACAAGAGAAGAGCTTGTATTCAGATCATTTCTGACATTCCCTGAAAATGGGTGCTGTGGAATCACTGAAGAGGACGGGAATGAGAACAGATGGACCATACTAAGCTAGTCAGGAACTGTAACCAAGCTATTGTTTTGGCCAGTTCCAATCCCTTATGGACGCCTAGAATTTTAAATAGAGATTTCTGTACAAAAAGAAAAACGTATATTTAAAAAATAATAGAGCTTTAATTTATTTATTTTTAGTGTCAGCTCGTGGGAAGCATTTCTGTTTTGCACTGTTACACAAGTCTAGTGTATAAGGCCTCGTTAAACTCATTACCATTTATCTTCGATTTTCTTTTGATTTTCATCCTGGAAAATTGTCTTCCTTATTGTTCTGCAATTCTTAAAAATCTTTTCCATCACCTCCACTTACACTGTTCCTATTGGTAAAAATAAAAAAAAAAAAGTTTTCCTGCCCTGATTTTTTGTGTCACCAGAACAATCATCATAACACCTGTTAAATTTTCATTTTTAGCTTTTGCTTGTGATGCCATATCTTTCTGAATGTTGTAGTTCTTTCCACTTAAATAGCAAGTTGGCATTTATAAATTGAGTGCGAAGGGTGTTTCATTGGTTGTGTGTATCACTATTTTCCCTCAGTTTTCCTGCATTCCTGGTTGCTGTTTTGTGATAAAAGCCAAAAAGGTCGATTATTTATTTTTATCTATAACTATCTTGTGTGTTATTTGTCACTATTTTATATTCTTATTTATTGCCCATTGTTTTATAGGCTGTGTTTCTTAGAAATGGATTACTGGAGCAACTGTGTTTGTGCTTGTTGTGAGAATAGATGGCATCTCTGCTTGATTCTTGCCATTATGTATTGGCACCATATAAAACTTACACAAGTAGCATTTGAAATGCATATTTGCCTATTAATTAAAACAGGCACAAAGTGGAAGTATGTAGTGTCTGTGTGAGACAATATGTAGCATGTTACTAATCACTGTTGGCTCAAGTTGCCTCATTTCAAGTAACTTACTGTAGTAGTGAATAAAAAGTATAGAAAACTGACTTTTTGAATTTTGATTTTTTCCCTTTCTCTGTACATTATCACTATCCCCAAAGTAGTATACACAGGCAGCTTCTACTATACTGTTTACCGCACAACGCTATACACCTGAGCACCCTTTCACTGAGACTGAGACCAAAACAAATAGGGAAAAGAAAGAGGACAGCAAAGGAAAACCACCCTCCTGTGCATGACAAAGGCAATGAATGGAGCTATGGAATAGACACAACCCAGTCCATGACCTACTCTACTCACTTTATTCATGCAAGAGCTCGTACTAGAATGAATAAGTAATGAGATTGGTGGCTCACCACCGAGTCCTCCCCGCATAAATGATTAAGAGTTATTATCTTCAGGTAAATTTATTGGCTACAATACTCACAATTGACATGAAGAAACAATTGTGCCTTGATGTGGTGGGAAAATACAGGTATCAAACCAACAAATAACTTAAACATCACAAATAATGGAACTCTAGACTAGGAGCGGAACTTCTTGAACAATGGATGTTTTATATTAGATAAGATTGACTTGCGGTATTCATAATATACAGCATCGTCTGCACCAGACATAGAACCCATGTTTCCAACCCTTCGGAAACCCTGAAATAAAACACATCATTAATGAAACAGGATACATAGAATAAAGATAAGCTTAAAGAAGTCAGACAACAAGATAACTATGTTTATAACTTACAGAGGGGCCCGGACGTGGTCCTTCTCCCGGAACTCTCTCTTCTTCAGCATCCATGTCGTTGGCAGCAAGTACCTGCTGCAAAAGCTGACCCTGGTCCTCTCGGGTTCCATAAAATAAGTCAGGCTCCTGGAGGAATGAAGTAAAATGTTAAACCACATAATGCTACAATTAAGGTACATATCACAAATGTTTCATTTCAAAAGAAAGTAGGCTTCACCTCTTCCATTCCTGCCAGTCTAGTGATAACTTTGTAAGCATAGCCCTGATTAATCAAGAACCGTTGACGTTTCCTAGAGTAACTCATCTCCAATGTATCTTGGGAGACCAAGGTGTAAAAGAATGCATTATATTCTTCTGCAATCGCACCTACACAACAAAAAAATGATTAATTTAGAATGACCCATCTTGCGCTACAATAGACATAACAAAGATTTTCTGTGTATACAGACCTTTCTTGGCTCGCAAAATTCTGCCCAATCTCTGAGCCTCTTGTCGCCTTGAGCCACCATGTGACGATATTTGAATGAGCACATTAGCTTCAGGAAGATCAAATGATGTGTCGGCAACTTTGCTGACAAATATGGTATTTACCTTTGGATTAAACTTGAAGTTTTGAAGTATCTGAATTCTTTCACTCTGAAGGGAGAAAGAGCAGAAATAAAAAAGATCTTAACATTAACACACACTGAAAGAAAAATAGAACACTCATAATTTTGTTATCAATAAAATGTGAACAGCACTCCTGACCTGGGATGTGGGGCCATGAATGTAAGGTTTGTTCATCTTTATTGCATAATGCTTCAGTGCAAAAACATTATCAGAGAACACAATTGTTTTGTCACCTCTTCTTTCATGGTATCTAATGAGAAACTGAGTTGCACGAAATTTGTTGGGATTCATTACATAAAGAAGCTGAAGCAGACAGAAATGAGACATTAAGAAAATGAGACATAAAATTGTGACAAGTAATGTACACTAGTCAACTTGAACAGAAGGTTAGACTTACTAATTTTTTGCAAGTTTTGCACACTAGATATTCCCGGTAAAATTCTGGAGTCATGGGACACCAAACTTCCGCACATTGCACTCTTGCAATGAAGCCTCTCTTCTGAAGTTCTAACCAGTTTGCTTCATATAGCTTTGGACCAATCAAGAAATTAAGGTCTGCAATTTTGTCATCCTCTCGGAGTAGTGTAGCTGTGAGACCTAATTTGCAATGGGACTGAACAATGGTCAAAACTCTTCTGAACATTTTGGCTGGAATCGTGTGCACCTCTGAAAGATACAAGTTAAAACGAATTTTATTACAAATCAGAAGTTGGAAAATAATTAAAAAAACATAAAACACAGTGGAGTTGGTGGTTTACCATCTAGAACCATGATGCCCCACTCCTGTTCTTGCAACCACTTCATGGTTTGTTCAGCTTCCCATGACCTCTTCTGTGTGTGAGTGATCATGGAATAGGTTGTTATGAGAATACCACAGCCCATTGGCTTGTCTTTGGCCTCTGAAGTGAAACGACAAATCATGCTGTCGTCGGCTAAGCAATAAAAAGTGAACACAAATTCAGTGAGTAAGCAAGGATTTCAAAAAGAGATTAAAGACGATTGGATGAGGCTTACCAGTGGACCACATTTTAAACTGCTGTTTCCACTGCTCAACTGACACACCAGAATTGCATAAGACCAGAGCTCTTTTTCTTACAGTGCAGCAAGAAGTCACTCCCACTAAACTTTTGCCCGCACCTGAAAATAATTTAAAATAGAGAATGCATTCTAAGACTAATGATATAATTCTAAATCAATGAAAAGGATGAAAGCTGGGGACATACCACAAGGTAACACAATGACTCCTGAACGAGCTCTTCCGTTACCAAACATTTTCCTCAAGCTCTTTTCCTGATATGGACGCAGTACAGCTGATGGTTTTAAATCAATACTGTAAAGCAAGGAAAAACATTGAAGAATATTTAATGGAAAAACTTTGAAAAGGGCGTCTGACAAATTATCCAGCCTGATAGCGTACTTAATATCTGGGTTGACTGTATCATTCCGGAAATCATACTCAGCTAGAAGAGGGTGTTCCAGTTCAATACATCTCTTCTGAAGGACTTCAATTTTTTCCTAAAACAAGATATTTTTTGATTAAGTGAACACCTATCTGGGGATAGTACAAATGTGGTTTATCTTGAAACAAATCAAAACATCATACCTGGTTCACTTCAAAAGACACTGTTTTGAGAACAGCTTCATCTTCATCCTCCTCCTCTTTGTCAATCTTGTCATAAAAGGTTGTGATGTCTTCCGGAACAGGTTCACCCTCTTTAGGTTCTCCTAGGGGAGCATCTGCCCCCGCAGCTGGTTGTGAATCTCCTGAGGTGCCAGGGGTTGGTTTTGGAACATTGGCACCAAACTAAATAGAAGTAAGAAATAACCACATTGAAACAACGATAACATCGCAATACCAAAGTTTAGATGATCATGTGATAAATTAAGTTTTTGAAAGAATAAATGTTGCTACGCACCTGTGGAACATTTTTTTTGTCATTGACAGTTGTGATGAAGCCATTTGCATCTACATTCTCCTCCCCTTCACCTTCGCCTTCAGCAGCATCACGTCTGAGACGACATTGTTGAACAACAGGGTCCTTAAGCATCTTTTGTAAAACTTCGGGAAAAGGAGATTCTACAAAGTATCTATTGTGCTTTAAAACTAATTTAACCTGAAACACATGGAGATGAGGCATGAGAAAGAATGGGACCGGTCATCAGACATGGATTCCCCAAGGCATACCTTCCAGAGAAAAAAAAACTACATACCTTTCCATATGATAGAGTACAAAGCTTAATAAATTCAATAATGCCATCAGGTACAGTTGTTTTGCTTAGACGTTTCAGATACTCAATGATATCGTGGGTTTGAAGTCCAACACTGACAGCAGCATACAGTGAGTAAGCTGTCAGTTTATACTGTAAAAGTTAAGTCCAGACATAAGAAAGCCTAACTCATTGATCAGTGATTTTAAAATTCTAGTGGTTTACCTCATGAATGTGTTCGGGTCTACACACAGGCTCTGATATGGCAATTAGGAAATCATGAGCATGTTTGTACACAGGAGAAAAGGACTCTAAAAATATATGTCCATTAGGGGCCTGGAACAGATTCACCAAGTATGTTAAACACAAAACAAACAGCTATGCAGCTCAAACAAGTGTCATGGATGGAAAACTAAGCATCCGCATAAGGTACCAAATACTAACCACCCACAGTGGACGAGAGCTGTGATCTGTCTTCAAATCCATTTGAGGGCGATAATCTTTAGCCCCGAATTCATCCTCCAGAACTCCAGTCTCTGCAGTTTCCACATTTTTCTTGGCAGCATCGGGCACACCATCTTAAAACATACAATTTCAAGAATTAGGTTTGTGATATGCCACAATTGCGCAACAGTGCGACCACAGGAATCTTGACGACATCTTACCTCCCTCCATGCCATCGTTTGTGTCATCATCATAGTAGTCATCATCATCTTCCTTCTTTCGTTTCTTCCATTTCTTGCTATCTGTTATGAATGAAAACAGCAACGTAATTAAGACGCACCAGTAAACCGTGGAACTAACCATGAAAAGAAATTACACGCAGAGAATAAGCAGCCTTGCAAGGCAACAATGTGAAACAATTAAAAGAAGAAAAAACGTTCACACATCAAAATAACTGCAAAAAATGAAATCAATGTCTCTGAAGTATGTAAATGACTGAAAATACACTAGGTCCAATATACAAGGAATGATATACATGTTTCCAAAACCCAATCATGAGAGAAACATAGCCTACCATTGTCTTTCTTGAACTTCTTCGGCCCTGCCATATTGCTGAAGTTAGTCAGTCAGTCAGTACCTGCAGCGACCATTCATCTGACAACCAACTCGAGACTCGGATTTGTTTTGAAAATAGGTTAGGGTGCATCTACAACACTCAGTTGTTGCAGCGGGCATGCCGTGCGGGTTGCGTGCCGGCCGGGGACTCCGAGCAGAGAATCTCCAGTGGCGCCGATCCTTTCGGTTCGGAAAAATACGAAACCAAAAAGGGACTTCCCTCGGCGCGAAAGAAAACCTGACCCCGGTATGGTTTATTCAGGCCGGGCGGTTCGAGCTTGTTCGAATCTAGAACTAGATCTGGGGCGGCATTAATGAGGTCCTAGTTTCGGGGATTCAAAGTGGCCGGCGAGCCCGGCCCGGCCCGCCCGTCGGCCTCCGTTTCCCGTCCGGCACGTCATGTGATTGCGTCGCCCAATCGCGAGCCGGCCGCCCAGATACGTGGCATGAAGGCAGCGATCCCTTCACGATCCACGTCCGCCATTTTGACTCACAACAGTTTTCGTGGGATTGTGTTAGTAAATTGACGGGAGTTGATACCTCCCAAGTTTTAAGAAGTAAGTGTCCCGGCCGAGTGCAGTCGTTGTGCCGCGGCGCCAAGCATTCGGTGCGGCTAGTGCTCGCGTGTTTGTGAAGTTGCAGAAGATTTCGGTCGGGAGGAGTCCTCTGAGATATTCCATTGTCAGCCATAGGCCTATACCGGACCGACCGGGCCGGCCTGCCCCTGTACGTTCCTGGTCGACGTTCTGCGCCACTTCGTCGCAAACATCGCCGAGTGCTGCCCCGGCGGAGCGTATTTGATTCATTTGTGTGCCGGCTCGATTTCCCCCTAGTTGAAGTAATTGGAAAACTTTTTCCGTTTCTGTCAAAATCTAATAATAGGCTGCCGTCATTGGGTTTGTTGGCGTTGTAGCTCGGGTGCCGCATGCAAGCGGCTGCACTTGGCGTTTCCCGACGCATATCCCAAACCCATATTTTGTCCCGAGAGTTTTTCAAGATTTTTCGTGGCGTTCTGACAGGTTCTGACCTCAGGTTCTACCTTGAGGCGGTTCCGGTTTCGCTCAATATGGAGCTTGTTTTATGTCTAGAACATCTCTCCACGTACTACTCGGCTCTGTTTTCTGTGCAATTTTCACTCCGGGCTCATGTTTTGCATCAGTCTCTGACCTGGGACGGCCCAAGCCCTTTTTCTGCTGCTATGCCGTTCGGGGCGTTGTGTCGCGTCCACAGCCCTAACCTAAATGTCTGACGTCACGCGTACAGCTCACGGTTGCCCAAGCCCGGATTTCGCCTCGCCTTTTGTGTGTACATTCAGTTTGGCGTGGGCGCTGCGATTACGAACACACTCGTTGCAGTGCGGGCCCCTTGTTGCTGCCTAGTTTGGGGTATTGTGGCTAGCATTGCTGAATCTGTCTGCACCTGCTGCCTAGCTGGCTGTCAGTCACTGTAGTTCAGTCCTAAGTGAAATGTCTTTCAACTTGAAATCGAGGTCGAGGTTTTTCCCATTCAAATTTTTGCTGGTTACGAAAGAAATTCCTCCTTCGAGTCTTACTTCATCATTTTCATGTAGCTTCAAATTTCAGTTTTTATGCCCTTGACAGGTTATGTCAGTGTGCTGATTCAAGACTCCATATCAGTGGAGTGTTTTAAAAGCAATTGCTGTCTCAGTTCTGTAGCAAACATTGTTGATATGGGCTTATCTTCCGTTCTGTTTGGTTAATTTTAATCCTCTCTGGAAGATTGTTACTGTCCAAGGTAGCTTCAGTCTTAATAGTTTCAAGGAGAGTTGACTCACTGCCAAGTTATGATTCACCATCTTGCACAATATGTTTACAATTTTCTGATGGGCTTGATGCACTTATGGGATATTCTAACCGTTCTTCCTGAACACCATTTGAATTTTATCTTCCATTGAAGTGCATGACAGATTTCCATAATGATGCAACTGCCACAGTCTAATAATATTTTTTCTTTTGCAGGACAGGTTCCTCTTTTAAACATCCACCATGGGGAATATGTTTGCAAACCTTTTTAAAGGCCTTTTTGGCAAAAAGGAGATGAGAATATTGATGGTCGGATTGGATGCTGCTGGTAAAACCACCATTTTGTACAAACTGAAATTAGGAGAGATTGTAACAACTATTCCAACTATTGGTAAGTTTCTATTTATTTTAACCCTTTAATAATCATGAAGTCATACCTTGCCACTTTTAATATTAAACTTTTAAAATCTATTGTATTTATTTTTTTATTTTTTCATTATTTCTCTCTTTATTCTAGGTTTCAATGTGGAGACTGTCGAATACAAGAACATCAGCTTTACAGTGTGGGATGTGGGTGGTCAGGACAAGATCAGGCCACTTTGGCGGCACTATTTCCAGAACACTCAGGCAAGCTTTCTTCAAAATCCGTTCCTAACTGGTTGCCATGCCCATGCTACAGTTTCTCATTGCTTGTCTTCTTTATTGCAGGGGTTGATATTTGTGGTTGACAGCAATGACAGAGAGAGAATTGGAGAAGCTAGAGAGGAGCTCATGCGAATGCTTGCAGAAGATGAACTCCGGGATGCTGTGCTACTCATATTCGCTAACAAACAGGTAAAGATTTTAATCTGTCTGGCCATTAACACTTCCAGTAACCCTTTCCATTGTTCTTGTCCGCTTAAAATAAAATATCTCTGCCTACAGGATTTGCCCAATGCTATGAATGCTGCTGAAATCACAGACAAACTTGGTCTCCACTCACTACGTAACCGCAACTGGTACATTCAAGCTACTTGTGCAACAAGCGGAGACGGCCTTTACGAGGGTCTGGACTGGCTGTCCAATCAGCTCAAGAGTGCAAATCGTTAAGTTTCTTCAGTTCACCCTCCTGACCATCAGTGGCTGCCCTCCCCTGGCAGTTTCTGCAAGAGAGATTGGGACTGTGGCCGCAAAATACAATGCTATTTATCTTTCACGGCAGGACTGTCTGTTTCCAAGAACTCTTTGGATGTTTTGCTGCGTATTATGAAATGAGTTATTTGAATATTCGACTGAGTGTGGTTAATTGGATGGTGGGAACAGATTCTACATCAACTTGCCATGGCTCAGGCTGTGTAACAAGACTAAGTTATAGTGTTTCTCATGTGACTTGTATTTAATAAGTTGATCTAGAATCTGGGTCTGGCCTAGGTTTTTAAATAGTTTGTTACAGTATCCATTCCTAAGGAGGCATCAAGCCTGTTGTTGGCTATTTATGATTTGTTATAAGTAATTTCCTCTTATTACACTCAGTCTTTTAATGTTATGGTGTATTTCTCCTCTTACGTACTCATCCCAGTGGTGAATTGTATGGTGTGAGTGTGTGCGTCGCATCGGACATCACAGACTTAACTCCAGAAGTGGGATGTGAAGGTTCGACTTTGTACATTGCTTGTGAAATTTTAATAAAATTGAAGGACTACAAAACGAAATCATGCAGTAAGACATCTTTACAGCAGCCTGACCGTCACCGTGACTGTCTCACCATCCTGTGCATGTTCTGCTCAGACGAACTGCTAATTTGAGGCACGAAGAATGTTCCCCAACCCCAGTTGTAAAAGTGAGATTCTTTTAAGTTTATAGGTCTGTCCGTAAAACCTGAAGTGGTGCGGTTACAAGCAATCCCTTTTTCCCAAAGGGGGTTTTATAGTTATTTTTCATTGGATAGCTACATCTTTTTTATGAGATTTGTGCAAATTATGACTTATTTGTTTATTCTTATAATTGAAGATAGTGTATTTATCAGATTGAGGGGAAATTTGTTAAGATGGTGTGAAAGCTTCTACTGTGTATAGCCTCAGTCTGGATTGGGGTGTGATTTGTTGCTCCTTTTGACACTGGCGTGGGTGATGTGTACAGTAACAGTTTTACTTGCTTGTTGCTGCATTGAACTGACAAGTGTGAGAATTGTGGGAGAATGAGCTGAAGTGTTGCTATAGGTTTTAACTTGGTGCCTATCACACAATGACATTCACATTCCGGCTATGGTCCTTTGCTGTGTAAAAAAAAAAATTGACCTCAAAGTTTATAATGGCCAACTTCTTCCTTACTGTGGAGATGTACCTAATGCACATTTGGTGTGAACGAATGTGATTCATCAATCCAGTATTGTCCCTCTGCCAAGATTAAATCTGGACTGAAAGCACATACCTTCACTTGCTATGAAGTGCAAATTATTGTTTGATATAAGAGAGATAAAGATTTTAGTCTCCTCCCCTTCAAAAGGAAATGTAAGCATACTACCAAACTTGTGAAATATATTGTACTTGTGCTTCAGTGTGCCTTGTTTGAATAACCTGTTAATCTTGTTGGTAGTCTGCAATGCCCGCACACTTCCAAGTCTTGATTTCTGATGAAGCTAACAGCTTCCCACTAATGCGATCAGCTCCTACTTTTTATTTATTTATTATTCTAGTATGTGTTTTTGTTTAATCAGAATGTAATGTCATGGGCTGAGATAGGTAACCTCGTAATAATTTACTTATACTCTTAATTTTTAGGCTCCGGTTATATTGCATGGAGAATGGGTGGGGAAGGGGTGGGTGGGTGTAAACCGAATCAGGACTTGTATTACAATCAGACTTACGGGAAATTTGTGGGTGAAGTTTTATCTGTAGGCTGACATGTTGTTAAGGATCTAGCAAGTTTTTTTTTTTCTCTGAATGTGTTCATTATTAAATCATTTGAGATGCTGTGAAGGAAAGCGTTTTGTTGCCGCTTGAGGCAGTGCCACTACCAACATGACACTGGGGACGTCAGGTCGGGGCTATTGGTCCTGGCGCGCCACGACGGCCAGGTAGCAGAAGGCCCCGCATCGGGGCACGGGCTGCGACGCGAAGAACTCGCCGCCGTCGGGCGAGTAGTCGCAGGCGCGCCGGGTGGGCCCCGCCCCCGCGCCGGAGCCGTCGGCGTCGTCATAGCTCTGCTCGCGGTGGGAGTAGCCGCCGCTCAGCCCGCTCGCGTCGCCGAAGTCGTCCCCGCTCTCGTACGCCACCGAGGGCTGTGGAGGACGGCGGCAGTGTCGGTACCACGGCGGACCGATTCCGAGAGTCGTCTTCGCCACTCTGTCTCTCGCACTTGGGGGGCGTCCCGCGTAGGTTCGATGGGGACAGATCGACGGAAACGAATGTCGGAATCAGTCTGCGGGAAGAGCAGTGTGGCTGGCGGGCTGCCCGTCGTCGGGGGTGCCGCAGGCGCTGTCCCTTCGCGGCGCCCCTGGGCCAGGGGCCCTGGCGGCAGGCAACCCGCCTGCCACTGCTGCACGCGCCGCCCGTCTGCAACGCCACTGCAAGTGCTGCGAGGGGGCAAGGCAGGCAAGGCGACCCACGCGGGGCCGGTCGCCCGGTCACTGCGGGTGAGTCACCGAGTCATCGCGCCGAAAGAGGCTACAGAGCCTTTGTGTCCGTGTATGCTAACTCCCGGGCCGGCCGGCGGGGCTCTTCGGCCGCGACCCACTTCTCGCGGCCCAACGCGCCGCCCGGCAGTGGCAGGCCGACAACAGTGCCGTGCCGTTTTGTTCAGAAGGCGCATTAACATGTCGCTGTTCGGCCCTGCGACGGATCCCGCTGTCGTCGCTCCGTCTCTGTCGCACTCAAGGGGCGTCCCGCAGGCCCCGCAGGGGTGCGAGGGAGAGCGCGGGGAAACCCTGTGCAGAATCATTCGGGGTGGACAGGAGGACCGCGGAAGCCCCAACCCTTCGAAGAGAAGCATCGAAGCCGTCTGCTCCGCACATCAGCGTCCTCGCCTCATGGCGCCTACCGTTTTGGCGCGAGCGGAGAGAGACCATGCGAGAAGGCCCTTCTATGCCATGTCATGTTGAGGCAGCGACGAGACGCTGCCCTGCCCGGAAGGCACTACCAGGGTTGGGTGGGTGGGTTTTCTTTTTCCGGGCGGTTTAGGCCAGGGGCGACTTGAAACCTGTCGTGCATCGTTGCGCCACCCGCGAGGCCACCCCGGCCAAGTCGCATACCGCGTTCCGCCAAGCGATTCTGAAGAGACGTTTCGTCGCTGGGGTGCGAGAGAGACAGAGAGCGACTCTGCTCGGAACTGGTGCGCAGTTCGCCCGCCCCGTCAAAGCAAGACGCCGGACCGGCAATAGCAATAGAGTTACGTTGTGCTTATCAAGCAGTTCCCTTCACGCGAGATTCGGGCGCGGTGCTCGGCGGGGCGCGGGGCTGTGGCGTGGACTTCCCCGAGGCGACAGTGGGCATGGCGCGGGGCAGAGCCAGGCAGAGCTAGCGCAGCGAACGGGGCCAGTGCGCAGTAGCGGGGTGTGCGACGTCCCCGCGCCAGGTGCGGATACAGATGGAGAGGGAGGGGTGGGGGTCAAATTGTAGCTCCCTGACGGCGCTTGTCGTCTCTAGCAGTTCGCCACGCGCCAGACAAGACTTATTTCGGGAGTCAGCTGGGCTGGGTTGGGTGCGCCACTGAGGCGCTTTGGACACTTGACAGCACGCAGCGGAGAGTGATATTGATTTTCGTCTTTGTACAGTATTGGAAAACCGTAACTGTCAGGGTGACAGTGGTGACTGGTTTAGGCGCGTGCCTTGGAGATTGGAGGAGTTCAGCATTTTTTGCCCACCTAAGGCGTCATGCATTGCCAATTGCCAACCCATGAGGCGCCCGTTGAGGGCCTTTTAGCCAGGTATGCGCCCGCCTCGGTTTGGCAGCTGAAATGACGTCGGCAGCAGCCCATCCCCTCGCAAGGGTCGAACAGAACAGGCCAGCGATTCATCGACGGCACAGCTAGCCGATGCCTTATCGTGACACGACCACACCACGCAGCTGCGTCGCTTCATTGGCAATTGAGAGTGCAGCGCTGTCCCCGCCTCGGGCCCCGGGCCGCGGGGCCTGGCCTTATGGCCCTGGCCGCCAGATTATAAATGAACACAACGCACTACGCGACGCGCAGCGCTGTGCTTGGCCGTGCTTCGCTCGTCGCTGCTCTCCTCTCCGCCGCGACACGCTGATCCGAACGGCCGCCGAACTGTACTCAGCGCTCTGTGCCGTCCGCGGCTGTGCCCCGCCGCCCCGCTGCCGCGTCTTCTGGCCCTCCCTCTCCCTTTCCCTCCGCCGCCCCTTCGCCTCTCACTGCCGGGCTGGCCGGGCTGGGCGGGCTGCCTCCCCCCGGGCCCCGGGCGGGCTTGGCGGGCTTGGCGCGCTTTGGCCGGGGCGGCTGAAGGCTGCTGAAGCCGGGAGGGCGACCTCCTCTGCGCGCTGCGGCCCGCCTCGATTCCCTCACTGGTGACGAAGCACTGCCGTCATGCTGATGCGGCAATGGGCCCGCTCCCTCGTCCGCGCCGTGCAGTGCACTGGCAGCGCACTGGCGGCACCGCGCTCCGACGGCCGGCCCAGAGGCCCCAGACCCAGACGCCCCAAACGGCGCGCCGAGCCTGGCCGTGCCTGGCCGTGCCGCCGCCGGGCCCGAGAGCGCCGCCCCGCACTCGTGGGCCGGCCCGTGGGGGTGCGACAGAGACAGAGCGACTACACGATCCCCCGGAATGGCTTCGGCCGAGTCCGGCCGGAGCGCCGCGCGCCGCGCCGCCGTGCCGTGACCCTGTGGGGGCCGCGGGGCGGACTTCAAGGTGTGGGTGAGGGAACGCCACGCGCTACGCCACGCTCGGCGCCCGGTTTTGCGGGGCTTGCTGCGTCGCCCGCCAGATGCCGCCACGCGACGCGCCGGGCGCGATTTTCCCTCTCGGTCCCTCCCACCTGTATGCGGGACGACGCCGCGTGCGCACGAGAGAGACAGAACGACGTCGGCCGGGTCCGGAATCAGTGCGCTGCGCGCGGGGAAGTCCGGGGAAGTCCCTCGCGCGCCGATCCGGCCCACGTGGGCCTCCCTCGCTCCCAGCAGCCTGATTCCGAGAGTCGTTTTCGTCGCTCTGTCTCTCTCGCACTCATGATCGCCCTCTATAGGTGCGAGAGAGACAGAGCGACGAAAACGACTCTCGGAATCAGTCTGCTGGCGTACCAGCAGGTGCTCCAGGGCGGGTAGCGGCGCCGCGGGGGCCGCGCTGTCGAAGGGCGGCCGCAGCTGGCCGTCTTGCAGGCTGAGCAGCAGCAGGTAGGCGAACATGTTGCGCAGCCGCATCTCGTCCATGGTGGTGCCGCACGTCGACAGCTTGAGCAGCCAGTCCGTGGCCAGCTGCCTCTCTGGCGGTGAGGGCAAGACAACCCGGGTCACACGCCTGCCCCCAACACTACAGATCTACGCTCTAGCAAATGCTTGCTTGGCCAAGTACACACTAGCGAATCCATGCCTGGCAAGTTCTCACTTTAACTGCAAGCTTGGCTCTTTAAATCCACGCTACGCGCACACACTTGTGAGTGTCTACTTGCCTTGGGGCAGGCTCAGCTTGTTCATCAGGGACTTGCACAGGACCAGGTTGTAGTTGAAGTCGTAGTTGAGCGTCTGCTCGGTCTCCTCCTCCGGCTCCATGGCGCGGCGGGGGCGTGGCGGGGGCGCGGCGGGGGCGCGGCGGGGCGCAGGGCCCAATAATGGTGGCCACTGTGTCTCCGCGATACAGATACAGTGGCACCCGCGCGCCGCCCGCCCCGCCCGCCCCGCCCGCTCGGCACGCAACCCATCGTGCGGCCGCGTCCGACGGGCGGCGGGCCCACGCGGCGCAGGAGAGTGTCTCGTGTCGCATCCAGACAGAGGTTGAGGAGAAGGAGGGAAGGTGCACAAAAGTTGCCTACTTTCAGACATCGCGCCACCTTTTGCCTACTTTACCCTCCAGCTCATCGCCCCCTCCGCCTGTTTACTTTGCCATCCGTTGGTGCAATGTAAAATGGGAGAGGGTTGGGCTTCGAAGGGGGAGGGGTGGAAATGTGAAGTGCTGAAAATGCACAAAAAACGACTGCCGAGTAATGCAGAAAATCAGGCTCTCAACTAGATGACTTCAAATGTCTGCACGGTCAGTTCTTGGAAGAAGAATCAAAGCACACCACGGGTAGGAAGAATCCCTCTCCCAGACCCTTCCCTTCTACAACCCTCAGACAACCATGTCCCCTTCCCTTCTACAACCCTCAGACAACCATGTCCCCTTCCCTTCTACAACCCTCAGACAACCATGTCCATTCCACAACCATCCCCTTCCCATGCCCCCTCCTTCCGATCCGCCCCCCCCCCCAATGCCCATGTTCACGGTGACACTGAGGCGCGAAGGCGCGACGCAACTTGACGCCCGGACGAGACTGGACGGACTGCCGGAGTCGAGGCTGCCTGAGGCTGCCCGGCCGGAGCTGGCAGGAGACTCAGGAGAGGCTCCACGCCGCGACAGCGTCCCGACGGCTCCATTCAGTCAGTGTCGGGCCGCACCGACGGCCAGCGCGTCGCCTGTCTTCCTCGGACACCTCACAGTGTGTCTCACAGTGTCCGCAGTGTCTCGCAGACAGGCCGGAGCCATGGAGCCCCGGACCGCGCGGCGCGGCCCACCGAGTAGTGGCTCGTGGCTGGTGGCGGCCGTCGTGCTCTCCATGGGTGTCAGCGCGGCGATGGGGTGCGACTGTGAGTACCGAAGGGTGACGCCGGTGGGAGCATCCCAAGGGCGACGCCGAAGGGAGTATCCAAGGAAGACGTCGAAGGAAGTATCCGAGGGCGCCGCCGAAGGAAGTATCCAAGGACGACGTCGAAGGGAGTATCCGAGGGCGCCGCCGAAGGGAGTATCCCAAGGGCGACGCCGAAGGAAGTATTCCAAGGGCGCCGCCGAAGGGCGCGTGAGTGCCGCTAAGTGCCGCTAGTGCCGCCACGGAGCGCCTTGCGGGTAGGCAACACGCCGACTAACAGCGCAGCCCTGCGCCGCGGGGTGCCTACCCTTGACTTCGCAGGCGCTCGCCCCCCGGCTCGTGCAGCCTTGAGTTTCCGCTCGTCTCGTTAAAACCGGCGATTCATTTCAAAGAAACCGACCTGGGCCAAGCCTCAGGTGCACGAGTGACTCACGGTGCCGTGGGCAGTGAGACTTCTCGCTTCGGCACTCGTGCGTGCGTGGGGTTTGTTTACTAACAGTGCAACAATGACGTGTTGCGCCGGAACAGCAGACCGAATCCCGAGAATCGTTTTCATCCTGCTGTCCCCCTCGCACCTATATGAGACGCCCCATGAGTGTAAGAGAGACAGGGCGACGAAAACGACTCTCGAAATCAGTCCGCAGTGTTACGGTCGAACTAATATTGGTGTCCGCCCACACGATTCACGCCTTTCCCGGAACGGTCGAATCGAGATATCGAGATATCGAAATGCTTCTTACGCGGAACTGGGCGTTTCTTGGCGTTGCTCATTGCCGCGGCTGCCCGTCATCCGTCGCGTATTTGCATAACAACTTGACGGCGATGCGGCGAGCGGTGCCAGCAATCCGTCGACATCAATAACAGTTATTTATCGACGTTCTCTTTGTGTCTGTCGGCCGGCCGGGAGATAAGCCGAGCGTTGTAGGCTGGAAAGTCCAAAAAGCCGCGATAAAAAATAATAGAAAAAGAGGGAGAGAAAGAAAAGAAAACAGGGAAATGTCTCATTTAAGATGGAAACAAACGGCCCTCGGACTTCTTGCACCCATTGTACACGTCGCGGACGTCGCGGCTACGCTCACTACACCACGTGGTACCTGGACTTCCGACGCTGGTGCATCGTTTGCGAATTTCGCCCTCTTGTGGCTACACTGCCGACGAGGAATCGCTCACTTCCTGACTGAGTCCGTCGAAGTGACCGGCAGCAATTTGGAGGAGCCGCGTCCAATGGCTGATCCCTGCGAGTGACTAACTTTATTGCTGCTCTCAAGGTGGCCAAGCAGCACACTGATTCCGAGGGTCAGTTTCGTCGCCCTGTCTCTCTCGCCTTCGTGCGGCGTCCCGTATAGATGCGAGAGGGACAGCGCGACGAAAAGGACTCTCGGAGTGAGTCTGCAGTGCGCGGGGGAGGCGGGGCGGCCGGCGTCGAGTCAATCCACTCGCGCCCAGCGAGAAGCCGAAGCCTCGGTGCGGCCGGCGCGGCCATCTCGCTGCGGACCGGGAACCCAAAACAAAAACAAAAGCCAAAACAACGACCGCCGGACTCCTTCATCTCGGCGGTAATTGTTCGCAACAAATCGCGAGGCGGCTTCGGTGGGATCGGCGGCAGCAGACTGATTCCGAGAGTCGCTTTCGTCGCTCTGTCTCTCTCGCACTCGTGGGGCATGCCGTATAGGTGCGGGAGAGACAGAGTGACGAAAACGACCCTCGGGATCGGTCAACAGGGGAGGTGTGGGGAGGGACGGAGGAAAACAAATCGACTCCAGAGCGCGGAGAGGGAGAGAGACGCCACCGGAACGAATGGCGGAGCATCTCGGCTTACCTGGCGGTGCTGGCGGACTGGAACGGAGCGGGTAGCGATCAATCAAAAGCGTGTTAGCGACGATGGCGGCCAGGGTCAAGGCCGCCGTGCCGCCGTCGGACGCGGCGTCGTGGCGTGGGCGTCGCTGCAGCCAAACACGGCCGGATCAGGCCAGCCGCCGAGGAGGTCTAACACATTCGCCCTCAGAGACTCAGACACCGGCATGGCCGACATGGGCATTGGATGGTTCCCCGGAGCGGAGAGGCGTCCGAGAGAGTCACCTGAGCTTGTATTCGGAGGGCTTGTTCCGAACACGGTGTTCCTTGAGTGAGAAAGAGAGCCGGAAGAACGACTCTCGGAATCAGTCTTCAGCCTCTCAAGTTCAAGTGTAAGAGTATCACGGGGCGCTGCTCGGCGGGCGGCCTACCCATCGTCACGCAGGCGTCCGGCGAACCCACGGTGGTTTCTCTTTCACTCCGATTTCCGTCTCTCTGCCCTCCAGGCGCGACGAGCAAGGGCGCCAGCGCCCCGCCGGAGAACTCGCTGCTTCCCCGGGGCGGGCCGGCAGCGCCGCAAGCGCCGCCAGCGGGGGCGGCGCCCAGACGGACCACCACCACCACGCTGGACGACGTGCTCACCCCCGAGCTCGTGCAGAGCTACCTGGCGCTGCAGCTGCACCGCGCCGCGCTGGACATGGCCGAGCGGACGCAGGCCACGCGGTGAGCGGCTGGCTGCCTCTCCGTCTCTCTCGCACCGCAACCTACCGATGGGGTGCCAGAGAGAAGAGCGACGCAATGCTCCTTCTAAAGCAGGCGGCAGCGCAGACTGATACGCAGGGTCGTTTTCGTCGCTCTGTGTCTTTCGCACTCATGGGGCGTCCCGTATGGGCGTGAGAGAGACAAAGCGACGAAAACGACTGTCGGAATCAATCTGCACAGCTGGAGGTGTGATTCCCTTACCCCTTAATGTGGACAGGTCGTCCGGCGCGAGGTGCTCCGACCCCCAGTCTCCCTGCGGGCGCGCCGCGTCGCTGCGCCGCTCCAGGCGCTTCGCGGCGGCGGTCCGCTCCGACCCTGGCCGCGACGGCGACGTCCCCGTGGTGCTGGGGCTCGTCGGCACGGGGCTGCCCTCGGGGCTGCCCTCGGGGCCCTCGCGCTCGTTGTCGGCGCAGGGCTCCAGGGCGCTGCCCTCCGCCTCGCCCTTCATGGCGGTGCGGCCCGCCCGAGGGCCCGCCAAGCCGCCGCGCGACGACTCCAACGACGTGCCCGTGTTCAAGGGCACGCACGAGGGCACGCCCGTCGTGCACCTCGTAACGCCGCCGCCGCCAGTGGCCAGGCTGGCGCCCGCGGCCAGCACCGAGCCCACCGTGCCCGTGGTCAAGGGCTCGGCCGACCCGGCGCACCCCACCACGCCGCGCACCGCCCTGCTCCCCGGGGACCTGCAGCTCACGCCCGAGGAGGAGGAGGCCCTGGCCGTGCTGCTGGAGGGCAGGCACCACAAGAACGGCGACAAGCCCTTCAGGACGAGGCCGGCGGCGCCGCGGCCCCCCACCAGGCCCGCCAACTGGCCGCCCAGCACGGCGTCCAGCACGCCCGCCTCGGTGGCCAGCGTCAGCGGCAAGGTAAGGCTGCGAGCCTCCAACGAACGTGGAGTCAAAATCGTTGCAAATCAGTGCCTCACCCTCCCGTTCGTCCCGTTCGCGCAGGTCGGCGGCAAGACGATCCCCTCGGCCGCGGCTCCCGCGGCCGGCCGCCCCCCGCAGCGCAGCAGCACCGCCAACAAGGACAGCTGCTGCAGCCAGCGCAAGCTGGTCCAGGAGCTGGAGCGGCAGCTCACCCTCCTGAGGCAGCTCAACGCCGCGCACATGCGCGAGGACTGGGTCCGCGCCAGCTATCCCAGCCCGTACTACCCCTACCTGCACAACCTGCCCGTCCATTCGGCCAGAGGTACGGCCAGCTGGGATTCAGAAGAGCGGCTTGTATCTCGCTCTCTCTCGCACCCTTGGGCGCCCTTGGGGGTGCCCCATGAGTGTGAGAGAGACAGCAACAAAACTACCCATCTCGATGGCTCGGTGCGGAAGATAGTCCCATCGAGACGCACGCGAGAGGCTCTCTATGCTTTCCTTGGCGACGGGGGTGCTTACCCAACTGATTTCGAGAGCCGTTTTCGTCGCTCTGTCTCTCTCACGCTCGTGAGGCGTCCCATACAGGTGCGAGAGAGACAGAGCGACGAAAACGACCCCCGGAGTCTGTCTGCTTTCTTAACGCCCTTGACTGCCCAGGCTACGAGGACGGCCCCATGCTGGTGCCCACCTACTTCCTGCCGTCGGGGTGGCGGCGCCGCGACGCCCTGCTGCCGCCGCCGTCGACGTGGACATCCGGGGCGCGGCGGCCCGGCCCCGCGCTGCCCGACCCGGCCAACTGCGACCGCCAGGCGCAAGATGACCAGGACGCCGACGACGGCGACGGCGGCCACCTGGACGACAAGGTGCAGTTGAGCGAGCAGCAGCGCGACGCCGCGGACCGCGAAGCTGACGACCTCCGGGGCGCCGATCCTCACGACGACGTCGGCGTCGACCCCAAGATCGGACAGCCCGTGGACTTTGAGATCCGCCGATGAGGCGGCGCGTCGTGGCGACGAGCACCGAGACCACGGCGATGGCGCCGCACGCCACGCGCCGCGACACGCCACCGTAAGGTGGACTAATTGCTCCGCCACTCCACTGGAAGGCTGGACTGCCCCGCTGAATCACGCGGAATGCCTCCGCCGCGACCTGCAGGCCGCGTCCCTGGACCTGGTTCAAGTTGCCGGGGCCCTAATTGGGCAGGTCCTGGCTATGCAGTGCCTCTCGCAGATCGCCTTGCGAGCGGCGACTGGCGGCGTTCTCCTGTTTCTCGCCAGCAGGCCGATGCCGAACAACGCTGTCTCTCTCCCTCGCACCCCTACAGCACGCCCCATGAGTGCGAGAGAGACAGGGCGACGAAAGCACTTTCAGACTCTTCGGTGTCCCAGACCAAGATGCGGCGGAGATAGTGGCGTCGCTGGCCCCTGCCGGCTGATTCCAAAAAAAAATATTCGTTACTCTGTCTCTCTCTCACTCCCCTACGGAACGTCCCATGAGTGCGACAGAGACAGAGCGACGAAACGATCTTTCGGAGTCGGGCGGCTGTGCCCTTGGCCTGGCTCAGCCTCGCACCTCCCGGCCCGCCACTGCGGCCACTTAGGTGACACGGACACGACGCCGTGCCCGTGCCGTTCCCATGGCGCCCCCACTTCCGCGTCCATCCTGGCCCATCCGCGCAACAGGTTCAAGTGGAAAAAGACTTCACCAAATAAAGGGTCTCGTCCGTGTTTCATTCATGACACCTGTGACTGCAATGCAAAAGTCGATCACCTCGTGGCCCTGCACTGTGTGTAGGGAATCATTTCTACCTCATTGGCGGATCCAGGGGAAAAGAGGGGGAGGGGGTCTCGCAGAAGTTGCCTACGTATAACGGCAGTGTGCGATTCGTTGCCTACCTTTCAGGCGGCTTGGCCGCGCCCCTCCCCCCCCACCCCCGGCATCCGCGCCTGAGGGACTTCCTCCTAGGGCGCCCAGGCGGCCATGTGAGTCATATTAGCTCCCTTATCCCATCCAGCTTTTCCAGACTATTTTTGGATTCCAGAGATCAACGGGACAAAGAGGGGACAAAATTATACAATCAATATTCAGACAAAACACATGTTTACTATGCACAGTTTGTTCATTGCTACATACATCATAACTCTGCCCCTTACATGATAAGATATACGTTAATGAGCAATAGAAATACATAAACTAAAGTACAACATTCCAAATTGGAAAAAAATATATCTTCCAAACACTCTAGGATTTTGGTGCTTTAGTGTGAGTTCACCATGAACTGAACACAAATTGAAGTATCACAGAGTTGCAGTAGATGCCAATCTAACATCAAACAACATCAGCTAGGGTTATCGTCACTTGGAGTCTTAGCTCTATTGTTAGCACTGTATAATTTCATTTCTTCGGCATATTTTTCTTTTGACTTCTCATACATATCATAGTAAATCTAAAAATGAGACAGAAAAAAGTAATTAGCAAATAATAAGAAAGAATATTTTTTTCTTTGAATGACAGAGTTGTATGGTACCTTTTTATCTTGAGGAGGCAGTGTATTCCACTTGCTTGCCAGCTGCCTGGTGATTTCCTGCTTTGACTCTCCCTCACCATTAGCACCTGCTGCTGCAGATGCAGATACAGCCAGCGGTCTTTGTTCTTGACAGAACTGGAGGAACGGATTGGCAGGTCGTTTTGGGGCATTGGGGTCCCTCTCTGGTTTGTCCCCTTTACTATTTTTCCTTTTAGTGGGACCGGAATTAGGTGTACCCGATGCATTGTTATTTGCACCTTTGCGTACCTTCTCTCCTGCTGCTTGGTTCTGAGAAGCAAAATTAATGAAAATACAAGGTATGAGTTAAAAATCTTGCTTCACTCTCTTTTGTTCAGGTCTGATGCCAATTATACACCATAAAGTGCTCAGTTGAACGAAATGGAACTTGAAGTTTGCTGAAAAAGCACATTGCCCTAAGCTATGCCCAAAGTACACAGCCAAAAATCTACATGACATGAGAAAAACACTCACTTTTCCTGCAGCTCCAGAAGCTTTCCCTCCTGAGGCAGCGGCAGAATTTTTCTCTCGTTTCACTGGTTGCTGGAGTGTAGAAATTTCTTCTCGTTCAAAAGTAATTGGTACATTTCTCCAGTTATCACCATGAGTGTCAAGCCGCTCCATTAAAATCCTTCAACATGAATAAATAAAATGATTGCTTGGGGCTGGGTATGTTATAGTAAAAAGTAAGTAAAATCAGGCACACAAAAGTAGTTTACTTGCGCTCTTTTCTACTCCTGCGAAGGAGCTTCTTCACTTGCTGATTTCTATGAACAAGACGTTCGTTGTCCTAAAAAGGAGATGGGTACTGGATTAATGCGAGTATGCAGGAAAAGAAGGACTTGCAAAAGATGTTTATAAATGATAAACAAAGATACATCAACAAATATATAGGTTAGGTCAGCAACAGCATTCATTACCTGCTGGAGCACTTCACATCTTTCCAATAAAAGCTGATATTTCCGTCTATAAACATCTTCTTCTTCCGTATCAACTTCATCGTCAGTGTCGTCAGAATTGCTGTCTGAGCCTGGACCATTCATTTTTCAGTGCCGAATTAATCCGATCGCCAGCAGTAGAGAAGCGTCTGCGTCTGTTCATCCGCCGCGTTTACCCCTCCCCTCCCCTCCTTCCACCTCCTCCTCCTTACCGCTGTGCGGCTCGGAAACTCGAACTTGAAAGTTTAGGCTCGTTTCGGAGTGCAAGGAATGAGTGGAAATAAAAAGAATCTTCTCGCTTGACTCGATGTCATCAAAATCAAAGAGAACTTTTTTATTGCGCGCCCGTTAAGCCCGAAGCAGACGACGAAGTTCAAGCGTTCAAACCAAACAACAGGATGAGAAATTTAGGTGTCAGCAGCACGGCCTTTTCAAAGAGTGAGAGAGAAGTGAAAGGTCGGTGGCAGTTGGCGGTAAAGTCTTCAGTGTTGAAGCCTGTTTCCCAAATTTCTAGTGTGATTGTTCCGCGAAACCCCGTTCATTTTCCATTTATCGAGATGCCGTCTCTCCTAGACTCTTGTGAAAAGTTTTTTGATACCAGAGACCTGTACGCAGTTTTGAATATAAAGAAAGATGCCAGCGACAAACAAGGTATTTGACATCTTTGGCCTGTCACATCTTGGCTATTTTCTGTGATCTAACACACTTTCTGCGCATGCAGATCATTTTATTCATTGTCTCTGTCTTACGACAACTATACCTCATTCATGTTTTCTTAAAACTGTAAAATATTTTGTTGTTGTCACTAACCCTGGCACACGTGGTCAAATGAATGAAATTATCGTTTCTCTTCTTCCGTGTTTGGATTCTATTTGTTTCACTCTTATTTCTTCTACTTGTCCTTAAGCCACTTCCTTTTGTATGACACCTTAAATTCTTGTTGCAGTCCGTAAGGCGTACCACAAACTGTCACTAGTCGTTCATCCAGACAGAGTTGATGAAAAGAAGAAATTGGAGGCTACTGAGAAATTCAAAGTACTTGGACATGTGCATTCAATTTTAAGCGATGCTGATAAGAGACAAATTTATGATGAAACAGGTTTGTCTTTATTCATAGCCTATCCAGTTCGTTGTCATTCTACAAAATCTTACTTGTTCGCTTGTTGTTGCAGGAGATTGTGGGGAAGATAGTGATGAGCTCAGTGATCGTGATTGGAGTGATTACTGGCGATCCTGCTTCAAGGAAATCACTGTTAAGGATATCACAGATTACGAGCAGCAGTACAAAGGTACTTAAGATGACCCTGTTTCATCTGTGGTATTTTTCCATTACTGCTTTAAGTGTGGTTAAGTTACCATCTGTGTTTTTTTTTTTTTTTTTTTTTTTTTTAGGTTCTGCAGAAGAGTTGCAAGATTTGAAGAATGCATACATTCATGGGAAAGGATCAATGGATTGGATTTTGGAAGCTGTTCCCTTTACTAATACTGAGGAGGAAGACCGCCTACGTGAACGTCTCAAGCCTCTGATGGACAGTGGGGAGATACCTGTTTACAAAAAGTTTACAAATGAAAATCCAAAAAAAGTTGCAGCTAGAAAGCGAAGGGTAATTTGTGTGATTACTTTCGCAGGATTAGAAACTTGTTGGCCATTGCCCGCATTGCCTGTATCATCTAATATGCCTTGTTTGTTTTGTTTTTTTCCAGTATGAGAAGGAAGCCAAAGAAGCTGAGGAGTTGGCTGCTGAGCTGGAACTGGACACAAAGAAAAGTGTTGAAGATGATGGCGAAGGAAGTCTTATGGCTGTTATTAAGGCTCGACAGGGTCAAAGGCTGCAGGATAGTGAAAATTTCTTAGACCGTCTTGCAGAAAAGTACATGGCAAAGGCTTCCAAGGGAACCAAAAAGAAGTCCTCAACTAAGAGTAAGAAATAGCCTTTGGGTTGTCAACATTCTCTTATCTTAATAAGTTTCTATTTCTAAATTAAAGCAGATATGAGTTAAGATTGTGGTATGAGAACAGGTGATAACATTTCTGTTCTTTCTTTCTCTGTGTGTGGAAATTGATATTTGCAAAAGAAGTTATCCTTTCTAAAGAAATTAGTGCATGCACCATTGCATGATTTCAACAATCCGACATTCATATGAATTTATACATTTTTTTTTTTAATTTTTAAGATTGCTAATTAAAATATTCATTCTTCTTATCTTAGCTTCTACTTCTTACCTATCATCATCTGCACTTATTATAATGGTGAACTGTGGCTGAATCTTGCTAAATTTTTGATCGATGAATGTTCTTTTGCGGCCACTATTCAACTCCTGTTGTTAATTCTTCAATGGAGGTCATAGGGCAATCAGCAATTTTATTAGGGAAAAACAACAGGTCTCACATGAATTGCCTTGACAACAACTTGGTTTTACAATTTGTAAAATGAGCTAGACCGAATACCCTGATAACTGAAGACTGAGTCATATCACCAATCACAGAAATGTTGTGCTATTGTTTCCCATGCAAGTTCATGGATAGCAACTGCACAGAAATTGAATGGAACCTGGCAAGAATATGTCTCAGTCTTCATAAGATGTTTTCTGTCCAAAATTATTGCTTTATTCAATAGAAGTCTTCTGGAATTTACTCCACATCTAGCTCAACCCTTCCCTCTAAGAAAAATAGGATTTCAAAAACAAATGGCTTCTAAAGAGACAATGAAGTCAAGGAGTAACTATCTCTCTGCACTGTTATAGCATAATATTCTAACAATAATGACTCAGAATGTATTGTATGAATTGGAATTTTCCAGGTACATGGCAAACACTTCACTTAGATAACTTTAAAGTGAAATTTCAAAGTAAAATAATATGTATCTTGCATATTTAAAGTGCTCAACAAAAATATATATAATACTTGCTTTGGTGGTTAAACAGTAACTCAAATGAAAATTTCATAGGAAAATCCTATTGTGCAAGAGATTTTTCTCAATTGTGCTCAGTCACCTTACTTCAACTCTCACATTCAGTCAGGCTGATACATTGATATTATTCAGGCACACTGTTTCTCATTTCATCAAACCTTACATCTAAGGGTTTTGTTTCACAAATTATTTTTTATCAATTCAGGATCACGAACACTTAACTCTCTAGGTTTAAGAAAAATCACAGGACTTCGGCTTATAAATCTGAAGGGTAGAAAAATCTTTGCTCTACAGATGGAAACACAAATCTGAACACATTCCAATAATGATGTGTGCGAAAGGCATTCAAACAATATTGAGACTCCATATTGTTATTGTGCATATACAATTAATAGGTTGGTTATTTAGGTTCTCCACTATCAACAAAGGGCAAACATGCATTTAATTAGATAAAGAAAAACTAAAAGAGTTGCAAGTTTGCACTTGCTGTATAGGACTGACTAGAAAAACATTTTTCACCCAATATATGCTACCAATGATTTGGTAGGGATACTAATACCTGTAGAACTTCCTACAGAAACTGAAAACGCATGGCAAATCAAACGTCTTGAATTATTCTCACTGGGAAGTAAGTTACTCTCTTAAAGTAACACAGTAATTATTGGAGAGAACACACTGTTGAGGCACCTTCCCTTTTGTCCATTGCAGCTGCTCTTCTTTTGATACCTTCCAAATAAACCTCTCTGTTGAAACTTCCTGCTGCAAGTGGAATTCTACAAATGGAGAAGGAAAACATTTCAACATTTCAACTGGGCACAAATGGTTTTGTTTACAGAATTGTTTTGAGTTTTCACTGATAGAATGTGCAAACTTACGTATCAATTCCTGGTCTAACATGACTGCTGAAAAGACCCCATACTGGCTTGTGGTCTGAGGTGCACACAGATTGTACTGAACTATATTTATTGCATACTAGGAATGGTGCACCTGAAGGAGTTGTCATAGGTAAAGACCCCCCTAATAAACTGCTTGCCCGACGGGGAGCCTGTCGACACTATGGAACATTTTACAAAGAATTAATAGGTTTAAATTTTATCAAAATATGCACATACAAATATGATTAACCTATTACCTTAAATAAGATCCTGTCTGTATATGATGGGGTACGTTGTTTCTGTGATGTATCGAACATCTGAGTTCCTGGGTCATACTTGTAAGTTGGCTTAAAAGTGATGGGGCCTTCCTCAAATCCTCTGAACACCATACCTTTTCGACATAACAGGCGATAAATCAGCACAATGAAGCCCCTCAGCCATTTTCAATCTTACAGTTTACCTACCTTGGAGAATACTGTTAGTTAATTGATCCATTTCCATCTTATACGGGGCGGGTAAAGGAAACTGTTGGTTTTCTACCCAGTTTACAACTTCAGCTCGTGGCTGTGAAAGGCGGAAGTTTAAATCCCCACACCAAAACACACAGTCAAAATTTTGTGTGACATCTGTAATCAGACAATTTTTCTCCATGATCACAGAAAACAGTATATGCAAGCAAATAAAGATTTAAATCAGACCATACCTTTATTTTTGTGCCTACATGGAAGGTTCTTGGGTAAATCCAGGGAACGCACAATTTTTTTTACATCACTAAGCCTTTCTTTAACCTTTTCAGCATGAGCAGTGAGATGAGATGTTATGAAGAGGAAAGATGTGCCAAACAGCATAAGACCAATTGCTACAGCTCCTTTGGTACGGAATGCTGTTCCTGGCCTAACACTGAAACTAGCTTCCTCAGGAACTGAAAAGAAAAATTATTTTTTTAAAAAATAATATACATTAATTACTGCTAATGGGATGACAGCAGTCTCTAACACTTCCAGGTCCTCACTCGTAAATCATCTAATCATAATAAAAACTAAAATTAATTTATGAATTAAAAAATAAAAAGTAGAGCAGACCTTGACATACCTGAACAAAACCAAATCAAATCCCTCCGCACATATAGAGCCAAATGCAAAGTGCCAAGAGCAGAGGAGTGAAGAAGTACATGTGATGGGCCGATTGTTTCTTGTATTCCAACTTCCCACTCAAACCTTTCAGGAAAACTTTCTTGTGTTCCGAACACCATGATATCTGGAACGTGTTCCAGCTCTTCTGGAAGAAGCAAGTCGTTGAGCTCTGCAGGTGGTGCCTGTGACGAGATAAGAAACTTGCTTTAAAATCAGTGCGCAAAAGAATCACAGCGGCTTGAGTTTAAAACCGACCTGGCCATTCATATTCCAAGTTCCAACAAAGATTTGAATGGTCCGTGAAGGCAGTACTCGTTCAAGTTCCAATGTTCCCAGTAAAGAATTTGCAGCAATCCTTCCATGTAGATAATTTCTGCAACATTTAAATAAAGTATCTTCAGAAGGTGGACTGATAGACTTGTGAGAGATTAAGAAAATATTAGACTGACCGTTCTCGAGCTTTATTAGCTGGGATGAGATGCAAGAGTTGAGCTGCTAGCAGAGATTGCCTGGCTAAATTTCCTGTAGATCCATTACTTTGATGAGAAGATGTTTCTCCGCCTCCATTTGATGCACTTTTGGTGTGATCAAAGGGTCCTTCACAGCCAACAGATAAAGGTCGAACTCTTGGTCCTAATAGTGCATCATGTGAAGGAGATCGTTTCTTCCTACGTGGGGGTGCTTCTGGAGCACTGTGTGTTGATCCAGGAGATGAATGAATTGATGATGGCAAAAGATTATCAGCAGAATGACACTGTGAAAAGAGTCTTTGGCGAGTCTGTTTAGGAAGCCCTAGAGGTAGATTGCATTTAAGTCTCATCTGGAAAAAAAGGAAAAGAAAATGGCATTGAAAATAATTGATTAGGTAAAACATTAGTTTTCTTTCCAGTATACTCACAGATGAATCATCAGGGGAGATATTATGATCTGGAGTATGGGGTGAGCTGTCATTTCCCGTGTCACTTGTGCTCATGTCATCAGCAAATACAACAACTTTCTCATGATTCAAGCACAATTTTTGTGGCGAACTCTTCCCTGCCTTTGGTAAATCATGACTAGATTTGTTAGGAGATCCTTGATTAAATTTATTGTCTTGATCTTCTATGCTAGAACCAGTAGCCTCACATTTTGCTTCAAAATTATTGGTAGGATCTTGCTCTTCTTTAGTGGGTGACCCAGAAGTGACTGTTTCATTTTTTGAAGACTTATTTTCAGGATTTGAGATTTGGCCCTCACCAACTTGAAGGCAAACATCCATCATGACGGGCTTTTCATTTCTATTAGCCTTGGCAGCCTTCTTTGTGAGGTCATCCTTCCGGCGGCTAAACGCATTTCCACTTAGTGCTGAGTTATTATTAGACCTGTCCGACATCGCACAACACCCAAAAGCTGTCCGCCTTAGACTTCTATCTGGTCTGTTGTTTGTTTTTTCAAATGTTACAGCACTTTCCTCGTATACTTCAGAGGCTGAGGCATCAATTGTTAAATCGTTGCTACCTGATTGACAGCTTCTTCCAATTTCATGAGAGTCCACTTTACCCCTGTGGCGTTTAAGAAAACCACACAACGCTCTGTCAAAGTAGCAACATTTCAATGAGCAGTCCTTGGAACTTAACCTCATTTCCAATATTTCTCAGGTCCATAGCTTCAAGCTGGCCGAAATTTAACGGGTCAGTTGTCATCGACGCCACAGCCATTAGTGCCACTGTCTCACCTTCCCCCATGAAGCAGGCATGGATCAGCGGCCGCCCCCGACGGCTCGTCTTCTGCTAGCCATCGGGTCACGGGCATTGGCAGTGACCCGCGGCATCGCCAGCGGCCGAGTGACAAGCAGAGGTTTCATGGGGCCGGACGGCCAGACGGGAAGGGAGCGTCAAGCGTCCCTTCCACACAGGTGACAGGTAGAATGAGCGCACCACTACCTGTTCCCCGAAGGTGTCGAAGCGTCAAGGGCCAGTAGCAGTCGACGTTTGAGACAGGTGCACATCAACGCGAAACATAGTTCATTGAAACGAGAGAGCACGGTCGCGAGGGGCGGGACGGGTTGATCTAGTTTCTAGGTGTGGGTTGCTAAAAGGGCAATCGCATACATGACGCTCAACTGAGCAAAAGGTCTCGATCAATAACTTTGTTTATGCCTCAAGACACACACAACGTTCAAAGGGGAGGAGGGGGAAGGAGGGAGGGGGAGGGAAACAAAGTCTTGCCACCCAACTCCTTTCTGTCATTATTTTTAAAAGCCGTGCTAACTTTATTTATACAGGTTATGACCTTGGGAAAGAATAAAACGTTTATTGATATTTTTAATCTTGACCACTTAGGTGGCGTCATTACTTATTCGTGCAGGTCGGACCACGAAATTATAGTGATTTGGGTTGGCACCTGTGGAGGACAACGGATCCCGCTAATATTTAAATGTGACGCAAAGCTGCTTCGAGTGCCCATAAATGATGAATTCTGGTGGTTCTGGTTATAATTAAGATTTAAGTCTGGGATGAAAAATCAGACAAAACAGATAAAATAATTCCAATTACTGTATTCATTTTTATTGTACATTGTTAAAAATAATGAATATTCTGTATGAGTGACATGAAAGACGGACATGTTACATCAGTTATCATGATAGGGCACAGTCTGTTAATCTCCAGTCCAATGATGACGGCACTGATTCACCAAGAGATACATTCTTGACCACATCTACTGCACGATCAACGTCTGGATATCTAAAAGTTTGTAGACGTGAATGAACATTCTGCCCATTAATGTTCACTTCGAATGCCCCTGAAAAGAAACAAGAAAAACTAGATAAATGTCAAGTGTCTAAAGCAAAGTTAAATATTCTAATTTCATAAAATATTGGATACCTGAACGATGATCTTCTGCTCCTGTCACTGTTGCAGTCGGAATAGTGTTTTGGATTGCTGCAGCCATCTCATCAAAGGCTGCTTTTCCTCCACATGGAGTGCTGCATAAAAGAAAAAAAAAAACAATCACCATCAACTTTTTATTGCTGAGGACAAAAAAATAAATATTGAAGACCTGCAGGTAAACAAATATCAACACTTATACTATTTATTAGCAGTCAAAATGCATCATGCATACCAATACGTAACGTGCACATTTACTTTGCTCTGTTCCCTTTCCATTTACTACTTCCTCCCAACCTTGTTGTTTGTTTGTCTGTTATCTTATCTTTTGAAAAATCTTAACACCACCACAACACTCCCAAACATCAAAACATAACATGCCAGCAGACGAAATGGAACTGTCACTAAAGGTTTCCCACGTTATTCACAGGCGTCCTTTCTTTGCAGGATGGTAGATTAAATTTCGCGAACAGTTCACAGAACACAGGCACAATTTATGAAATAAAGGCACGAAAATGACACAAGAGGTTTTTCTGTTGAGAGCCGCTACAGAGTTTTCCCTCGAAAAATAGGTAGGTTCAAAAATTGTTGGTAACAACGTCGAAGACCTGTCAAGTAGTTCAAATTCCGCGGGTGTTGCTTCGGTTTGGCCAACACAAAAAGTAATGTTAGATACATGGGCATGAGGCACCAGAAGTCTAAATCAGAACTTTCAAATTTTTCTTTTAAAAATATATATTTATGATGCTGCTTTCTTTATTTAATCTTAAGTTTTGTACTTTCCAATCTTCTTTTTGTTCACACTTGAAATACGCAAGGGTTGGCTACATGAAGTTTTCCAAGAAAAATTACTTTGGGAAAAGGCGTACTTGGGAATTTTTACTCATGCTAATGCACGTGTCAATGGATACACGGAAATATCAGAACTACGGTCCGCTGCTTTAAGTTCCCCAAAGAACGCTCCTTAACCAGTTTTAAAGCCTCTATCGATCTCTATTTAGGAACGAAAACAGCTGACTACTGCAGCCAATAGAAACTCTCCTTTTAGTCACATGACCAGTCCAGCACTTAGCAGTCGTATCAGTTGTGTAGAGGAATGCCTTGTCATCGGTAATTCTTTGCATTTTATCCTTATTTTTGCCTTTCTGCGACCAACGTAAGTTGTTATTCAGGTAGATGAATTGTCGCTCTACACGTTCAAGTTGTAGTCGAAACTGTGCGTCGAGTTCCTCAGCTATTGATCGTGGTTGAGAAGCACTTGGGGAGCTCGGAGATAATGGGAGACGCCATTTTCTTTCCATTAGTGATGTCTGGATGATCAAAATTTCTCTGTTGTTTCGTCAACTTGTCAGTGCAGTAAAGTTGTAGACCCGTGAGGTAAAATTTGGCTCTTTGTTGCGCACTTTATTGCGTTGCTGTGCCCATTCGTTCTCGTGCTATTGTTGCGTAACTGCTTTGAGTCACAGCATTCGACTTCCAAGTCCCTGACAAAGGTGAAGGAGCACGTCACGTTTTCGTCGATGTATCTGTCGCTCAGCCCCGATGTAGAAGTGGCGTGTTGCAGCCTGCGTCGTGGGCAGTCTTTGTGCACATGCAGGAAGTGGCCTGGTCGATTTTGGCCACGTTTAACTGCTGCTTTGGTTACTGGCTGTCCATCAGCTGTTCCTGTGTCTTGCAACAGTTCACTCATTGGCTCAATAGTGTGTAGCATTCTCATGTTGAATAAGTTCTGTAGTGTGCTCACTGCAAACTTGTAATTTAGTTGCTGTGCCAACTTTGCTAGATTTTCATAGGGTCTCTGGTGGACTCTTATCAAATTACGGGCCAAGGTGCGAAGCAATGTTTTTGTTTTCTGTGTATTGTAGTATGTGCATATTTCCTCTCATCATGCATTATTTAATGAAGTGATAAAGGGCTTTTAATATTCAACTCACAGGAAACAATTTTAACTTGTTGCTTATTTGTGACTCTTTGTTTTGAAAGTGGTAGTTACATGATCTCCTTTGTCAACAATACATGAAGGATTTATATGTAGTTTTGTTCTTATGTTTGACCTGATGCGTCTCCTTGTTTTTCGCAATGATTCTATCATTCGCATATTGTCATTAGAATGTTGTACCTAGTTTTTTGTCTCTCCGGCTTGGAAACTTATAAATTTTCTGCTGTTTGTTTTCAGATGCATGCGGGCATGAATTAGTGGCGACTGGCTGGATGAGGATGCAGTGCAGTGAATTCTTAATATCAGCCCTCATTTAAATCTTCGACTGTTGTTCCCCATTGGTCTTCTTGCCGTTAAAATCTTATGATAGTGTCCCTTCACATACGGATGGTGAGTGTTGATTCCTCTTTACTATTTGTTAGTATTGTTTGACATAAATAATCATCGGATCGCAAATTAAGGTAGCGGCTGCTGCATTTTTATTGCAACAGTTATGCTCAACAATTGCCATGACGATTCCTCTTGTTGATAGTTTGCAATCAATCCAAGTATCCTGAAGCAAGTTTGGTACTGTAGTATCTGACATGTACTTTGCTGGATCACCAGTGTCGTATTGACACCATGCATGGCTTTGTGCAACATCTGGGCTCTTCATGATGGGGTCCGTGATTTCGCTCTGGACATTGAACTCTAAGATTGGCGTTCGACGAAGCGTCGCGCAATACACCTCTCGAAACGAGTGAGTTGGTGTTGATGACAACGCCAGCACAAACACGCGCACTGCTCGTGTGTGTGTGTGTGTGGGGGGGGGGGGGGGTGCGTGGTCCGCGGGAACAATATTTTGAACTAGAGCCAAACAACGGACTGGTTGCTACTCGTCGGAACTCGTACGATAGTCAAGTCCAGACGCGTCGACTGCCGCTGCCGCCCCCCTCTTCCGCTCCTTCCCCTCCCCTCCCCTCCCCACCCTCTCCTAACTAGCATTGCGCTGTTCGGCCGGAGGTTGCCAGTGCGTCAGCAGGTGTCAATGTGTGATTCACCCGGGCTGCCAGGTCCAGCAGGGCCCCGCGGTTTGATTCACAGCAGCGAGATCGCCGAGTTAGTGAGTGACAAAGCGCTGCCCGGCATGACTTGGCGCTGCCAGGGGTTGCTTGGTCGGCGACGCGTTCGGCCTTTGGACTGAGCGATTCCGCTGCCCGCACTTCTCGCTCTGTCTCTCTCGCACTCTTGGCGTGTGCCGTCGCGGTGCGAGAGAGACAGAGTGCGAGCGGCGGCGGGACTGGGTGGGGCCGAGGCGTGGCAGTGGCAGCCCCTCGGGCAGCCCCTCGGGCAGCCCGGCCTCTCGGAACGGAACGCCGTGATGCGATCCACAGCGCCACGCTCCGGCTCCAGGCTTGTCCAGTCCTTCCAGTCGAGTCCAGGCGAACGGGTTGGGCCTGGAGTCCGGCCTGGACGGGTCGGAGGCACGCCACGCCAGAACGAGCCCCGCAGCCCCGCGACGTCGTGGTCGCCGCCAGGCTGGTTGTTGACAGCGCGGCGCGGCCTGTCGGGCTGCCAAGCACTGCCAAGGGGCCAGCGGCGGCCAGCCACCCCGAGTCCTGCCCGCTCGGCCCGGGGAAGTCCTGTAGTGGCGGCGCGTGGCGTGGCGGCGCACTGTATACTCCAAAGCGAAGGGTGCGCGGAGGCTTCGGCCTGCGACAGCCGCCTGATCCCGTAGGATCGTTTAGTCGCTGCTTGGAGTAGGCCGTACGTACTCCCAAGACTGCTGTCTCTCTCGCTCCCGAGACGCTTCGCGTGTGCGACGGAGACAGCGACGCAACAAGCCTTCGGGCCGTCCGTCGTCGGGGCCCCGATGTGACGAGCGATAGCCGTGTCCCTTGCTTGCTCGCCGTCGTCCCTTGGCCGTGCCCGTTGGGGCCGTTCCCCCGGCCAGCACACTGTTTTCGCCCTGGCTCTGTCGCACCCCGACGGGACGCCCCACGAGAGCGAGGGAGACGGCGGGTCGCTCGGCGGACTGGCTGGGCTAGGCAATCTCCGGGAAGGCCGAGCCACTAATCCTCGGACGGGGCGTCTCATTGACCGGCCGGGGATTTCGCCATTACGGGTTTTCGGAGCGGAGTCCTGGCCGAGCCTGGCCGAGCCCCATTGAGTGGCCAACAGGTTCGACGGTGGCGCGTCGTGGCGGAGGTCGAGCTCGCCGTCCCCGCGGCCGGCCAGCAGCAGACTGATTCCGAGCGTCGCATTCGTCGCCGTCTCTCTCGCACTCAAGGGGCGTCCCGCAGAGGTGCGAGAGACAGAAACAGCGTTGAAAACGACTCTCGGAATGAGTCTGCAGGCCGCTCGTCTCGTCGGCAGCCTTGCTCGCCTGCTGGCTTGCTCGGCGCTTCCTCTTCCCTCCGCGCGTCCGTGTGCGTGCGCCGCTCGTGTGCCCGCCTTTGAAGCAGACGCGCAGGTGCGAGGACGGAGCGACGTCCGAAAATTGGCTTCCGCGATGCCCCCCCCCCCCCAGTCTCTCTCGCTGGTCTGTCCGTCTCGTCCATCTATCTGTCCATCTGTCCGTCGATCCGTCGTTCTATCCGCGACAGAGGGTCGGCGATTCTCATTGAAGTCGCCGCGCCGTTGTTTCGACAGGCCGGCGTTGGGGCGCGATGCTCGCCTATGCTCCTCCCCATCCGCACCCCACCCCACCCCGCCCCGCCCCCCCGCCCCGCCTCGTGACGCAAGTGGCGGTACAGTCCGCGGCGTGGCCGCAGCAGCCCCGCGCCGCTCCTAGGGCCACAGGGGCCACTGGGGCCACGTGCCCGGGTGACTGTCACAAACAGCTGGCCGCGCCGCAGCGCCGACGCCGCGCGTCGCACCGAGCTTTTGTATATATATACAAGCACACACACACATCTGTGCCGCCCGGCCGCGGCGGTGTGGCGGCGCCAGGAGTGGTTTTTCACCCCGGCGACGCCGCGGGGACAGGCGACGCGCCCAACAGCCTAGCAGCGCCAGCGCCGACGCGGACGAGGTGGTCATGCGACTGGCCGGACTGGCCCGGCCCGCCCGCCCGCTTGTTTTGTTTGCTGCTCGCCGAGGCGGCCGAGGCTGGCGGAACTGCACGCGTGACCGCGACGTGACCGTGCCTGACCCGTGTTTCGGCCGGCCTATGGGCGATGGGCCCCTGCCAGTGGCGGATCCAGAGCCGGCCTGACGGAGGGGCAACGTAGTATAGCACTTCTTGCCTACCGCCAGGGTACCGCCAGGGTCAGAGTGTGGCTTCGAGGCCCGCTGGATCCGCGCTTGCCCTCAGCTGGCCCTCGCTGGCTTTTGCAGGGTGGCGGCCGAGGCGGGACTCAAGGGCAGTGGCGGCTCGGGCTCGGCGTTGCGCCACGCCCCGCCACGCTCCGCCTCCTGCTTGCCGCCTGCCCGCGTGGTGCTTCGCCGCTTCGCGCTCGGCCGTTCGAGGCTGCAGGTTGGGCTATTTTCGGGGGTTGTTCGTTGGGTCCGTTCCCCCGGCCGGCTGACTCGCCGTCTTGCCCTTTCTTCTCGCGGAAGTGGCGCTGCACTGCGCTTCCTTGCAGTGCCGTGGCGTGCCGCGTGGGGTTGACGGTGACCTCGTCAAGAGGGGAGGGTCACTCGTGCGGCAGATCGAGCACGGGGAAGCAGCCGCTGGCCTTGAGGCCGTGTCTTGTGACAGGCGCGGATCGTGGGGAAAAGGGGCGGGCGGGGGGGGGGGGGGGGAGGTGATGGTTTCATCCCCCGTCCCCGTTGAAGGTAGGCGTCAGGGACAAACTGTCCGTCCCGGAGGCAAACGGCACTGCTTCACCCCCTCCTTTGGAAAACCACGTTGTCGTTGGTGTGCACGCGCCAGAGGCAGCTAGAGGCCAGACTGGTTCGGATGACATTTAGCTCGCCGCCGTCGTCCGTTTGTTTGGCGGTGCAGGTTTAGGGTTTCGGCCGCGGTGGCCGCCGGGTGCGCCGCCTTTAGCGCCCCACGCGTCTGTCCGCCACACTGTGCGCGGCAGTGCAAAGGCAGTGCCTTCCTGCCGCCTCAGGCCTTTCCGGACGGGCCGTGCTAGGCTGCGCGCTGCGCTAGGCTGTATGCGCATCTTTTAGCATGTCCGCTGTTTCTGCCCACATCCCTCCCCCCGCCGTGCCTCGCCGTGCCTCGCCGTGCCTCGCCGTGCCGCGCCTTGCCCCGGTTGGCTCTTGGCGCGTGGCAGTTGCGGCGCTGGCTGCAGCCCGCCAATGTTACTTCCCCCGCGCCTTTATAATTAGAAGGAAAACTGTGGCAAGGGATCGTTGCTTCCACCGCGGCGGCACGGCGGCCGGACGCCCTCGCGCCTGCAGGTGTGAGTGTGTGTGGGTGCGCGTTGCGTGCGCAATGCTATTTTTGCAGTGCATCGGACGATAAAGGCGTTTTAATTCGCCGACGACGCGGCCTGACCTTGCTTGCTCGCCATGCGCCGCTCTGCGCTCTGCGCCTGGTGCGTGGCGCGGCGCGGCGGCCGCGGCGCTGTTGCATGTGTGATTGTGGCCGTCGCGAGGTCGCCGCGCTGCTGCGCCCTCCTGGGTCCCCTGGGAACGGCCACCGCCGCACCGCGCTCATGCCCTGCTCCGCGATCGCCAAGAGGTCCGCGATGGCGCCGCAGCCATGCCGACGGGCAGGCCGCGCTGTCGCTGCCGCCGTGTCGCCGCCATTGCCGTATGGTAAATGGGCGAATGCCGACGAATGCGCAATGTGACGCGAAGGACGCGGCGGGCCGACCGACTGCCGGCCCGATTCAGAACGGCGCTTTTGTCGCTCTCGCGCACTGTTAGGCGTCCGCTGGGAGCGCGAGGGAGACAGAGCGACTGTTCGGCGTCGCTCGGCAGTTCGACGGGTACACTGCAAGGCGGCGGATGCGAGCGACGGGTCCGATCGGGCTGCACCCTGCGGACTGATTCCGCGAGTCGTCGCTGTGTCTTTATTGGACGCCCCATGACGAGTGCGAGGGGACAGAGCGACGCTCTCGGTCTTCTTGCAGGGGAAGTCCAGTCCGCCGATGCCACGGGGGTGGGCCGCGCGGTGGGCCGCCAGCGCGGCGGGGCTGGGCCGGCGGGGCAGGGCGGCCATGGCCGGGCGACCGACCTTGCTGAGGGCGACATCGGGGACGCCGGCCGCGCCGCGCTGTAGGGTTTTGCGGCGGAAATCCCACGCCGTAATGCGCTTTGCGTCGCCCTGCCCGTGGCGTGGCGTGGCCGTGGCGATGGCACTGATCCTTGTCTTATCAGCTGATGGTGATAACGTCACGTCGCGGCGGGGCGGCGGCGGCGGCGCGGCAGCATGCACTTCTGCAGTGAGCGCCGCCGTTGTGGCCGCTCGCCGCTCGCTCCGCTCTCGCTCGTACGTATCGCGAGGTCGTGTTGACTCGCCGGACCCGAGCGACCCGAACGCGGACCCGAACGCGGACCCGAGCGCCGAGCGCAGCGGGCGCGGGGCGAGGCGGGTCGCGGGGAGGGGCTGCGCCGCGGCGCCGAAGCGGACCCGAGCGGAGCCGAGGCGAGCGGGGACGGGTTCCGAGCGGGCCGAGAGAGTCGGCAGACGTGTGTTGGGGTTAGTCGTGAGCTGGGCGTCGGGGGCGGACCCACGTCCGTTGTCGTGGCTAGGGCCGCTGGGCAGACTGGCAGACACCTGCTGAGTGTTCCCGCAGTGCGCGGTGCATCTTGAACGTGTTCGTACTGGTCTCTGTGTGATCGCGTGTGTCCCGAACAGCAGCAGTCGTGTTGCGTCCGCGTGCGACGTGTGTGTGAGTGAGAAGAGGTGGTGCAAGTGGGGGAGAGATCGCGAGCTGGTGCGGCCGAGCGATTACCCTGACGAACAAGTCGTGTGATGCTTCTTTGTGTGTGAAGTGATGTGTGCAGTGCATCGACCTTTTGTTGGATTTATCGCAGCGTCCTGCTGGCTTAGCTGACATCGGTGGATACCTAGCAAGTTTTCTTATTTTCAATCTTCAAATTAAAGGTGGGTGCCCCTCCCGGCTGACGTCATCCATTGTGTTTATGCCGTCTTCCGTTGCGTCGGCCAGCCAGGGTCTTACAGTGCCTCCCCCTTCGGACGAGTGCGCACTGCGCAGCATGCGCAGCAACAGCAGTAGGCCCCTTCCTTCCCTCCACCCCTCTCAAGGCCTTGACCCCCCTCCCCCTTCCCCTGTCCCTCAGGGCGTCGCTCCGTGCACAGCAGCTGCAGCTCCATCCCCCTACGGCCCTTCGGCCCAACGGCCCCAACGGCCCTAGCGCAAGGCGAGCGCACTGGTGTACAGTCCGCCTCGAAAGTGGAGCCCAGGCCCACGCCACGTCGCGCTGACGCAGCAGGACTTCCCCGACGCGCCGCACGCTCGGCTCTTGGCTCGCAGTGCTGGCTGACGGGCTGGTCGGCCCTGGCTTTGCCCTGGCCGGGGGAAGGGGACGGACTGCTCGTACACGATAACCTCCACAGTGCGAAACCCACTTCGAGCCTCGCAACGTGGAAACCTTTCGATCGCGAAAACGCTCCGAGTTGTGATCCTTTTGGCGGCGGTGATGTGACTCGGGAGGCCCGTCCCGTCCGGTCCAGGCTGCTGGCCGGGCCAAGCTGGCCGGGCTGGCCGTCGGGTCGCTTCGCCGCTTCTCGTTTCAACCGATTGCGTCGCTCCGCTCGCTCCACCCGGAGCCTGGTCAGCCTGGTGGTGGTGGACTTGGAACGCTCCAGGAACGCAATAAAAAGAAGCAGTGGCCCTCCGCTTGACATTGATGCGTCGGCCCGTCGTCGGCGGGGAGGCCCGGGGGTACAGGGCCCCAGGAGGGCCGCGGCGTGGCCGGGCCGTGGCTCAGGCCGTGGCCGCGCGGGGTTAGCCGGGGTCGGCGCTCGCGGGGTTTGTTTGTCTGTGACGCGCTGGCGGGGCTGGCGGACGGGTGCGAGGCTGCGAGAGTGCGGAGGCACGGCGTGGCGGAGGACCTCGAGGACGGCAAGGTCGTTTGGGACACATGCGGCACGACTGGAAAGGCCGGGGGAGGGGGGGGGGGGAGTGTCCGCGGCGCGAGGAGCAGGAGGGGGGGGGGGCAGTTCATTGACTGCCGAGGGGCGGAGCGGCGCCGCGAGTGGGCGGCGTGTACTACGTTGTACGTACGTTCGGCGTCCTCGTCGTCGGAGACTCTCTGCCTGGGCTTGGCAGGCTTGGCGCTCCTCGAGTGGCGGTGCGCCGCGGTGCGCGAAGCGACGCGGAGCTCTTGGAATGCGCCGCGCCTCCGCCGACTGATTCCGAGAGCCGCTCTGTCTCTCTCGCTCCCCTACGAGCGCGAGGGAGACAGAGCGACGGGGTCTCGCGGGATCGATGCCGGTGCGTGGCTGCGTCGGTTGGCCGTGGTCGTTGGCATTCCGGGGCACTCGAGTGTGTGCAGCGGAGCAGCGCCGACTGATTCCGCACGTCAGCGTCGTCGCGGCCGCCGCTCCCTCTCTGTCGCGCTCGCAGGGCGGCGCGCGTGAGTGACAGAGAGGGGGATGGTGTCGGCCTGGGAATTCGGGCGGCTGGAGCGAGGCGGCGGCTCGTCGATGTCGATACCCCGTCGAGGTACTTCACCCCGCGCCCCTCGCGCCGCGCGCCGCTCGCCGCGCCCGTCCATCCCAAAACGGCGCAACTGCGTCGTCGCCGGCGGTGCGGCCGCGGTGCGCGCGCGATGTCCGCCGCGGTGTCAATACCCCCGTGTCGAGGTACTTCACCTCGGATCCGCCCGCGGGTATGCGGCCGTTAGGTTATCGCCCGCCGCGCCGCGCCCCGACCGGATTCTGGAGTAGAGTCTGGCCGCGGCGCGCGCCAGCTGCACCACCGGCTGTTATCGCGACGCCGCACGTAACGCCCGTAACGCACGGCGCGGACGGGGCGCTCGACGCGTCGCCAGCGTCCTTGGTGGCGGAAGGGGCCGCCGGAGACCGATTCCGAGCGCACTGTCCTCTCTCGCCCCTTACGGGATGGCCCGTGAGTGCGAGAGAGACGGACTGACGAGAGCGGCGACGCTTTCGCGTCGACGGCGTGGTGGCGGGCGGTCCGTGCGTGTGCTGTCCTGCTGGCTGGAGGCTCCAGCAGCGCTCCAGCGCGCGGCGGCGGGTTTCCCGCACCGAGTCCCCCGTGGCAAGCAGGGCCAAGCGAGCATGGAGGAAGAAATGAATGAATGAATGGCGAAGTGGTGGTTTTGAATGGACGGCCGTGGACTCCGGACGTCGGCGGCGGCGGCCAGCCGGCCGGCTGGTCCCACGGTCGCGTTCTGGTGCGCTCTGGTCTTCTAATCTGGCGGTTGGGCGAAATGATGACTCAGGCGGTGCGGCGCGACCGTGAGTCACGTTGCTGTTGCGTCACAGGACAGGAGGGCGCCGCAGTCGCGTCGGCGCCGCGCTGCGCAGTGCAGTCCAGCGAGGTGCACACATGCGGTGCGCGGTTTAGCCTCTTGCGTTTCGAGGATCGCGTTTGGTCCGAGCGTTTAAGGGTTGTTACCACTGGAACCTAGAACCATCGCGGGCAGCAGGGCGATTCTGGACGAACGGTGCTCTCCCACCGTCAACTGCCCTAACTTGGACCAGCTGTTCCAACTTTGCACAGGTTCTCAACTAGTAGAGTGTGACGCGCACTGCCGGTCTAATAATCTAGTGTCTTAATTGTCGAGTGACGGAAATTAGGACCGCTGTGTTCGGAATCAGACGACAGCATTGGTTGGCGGCGGCGAATTGGAATCAGCTGACATGGAAAAGGAAAGGGGGGGGGGTGTCATACTGCGCCGTTGCAGTGTCACACGCGTCCCTTTGTCGAGGCTGCACTGCAAGGCGAGTGCGGCTCGGTGCGGCCTCCGTGCATGCACCTGTTGGGCTTCCTGCCTGCAGGCTGACGCCGAACGCTGCAGCAGACTGATTCCGAGAGTCGTTTTCGTCGCTCTGTCTCTCTCTCGCACCCGTGCGGGACGCCCCACGAGTGCGAGAGAGACGGAGCGACGGACGGAAGCGACTCTCGGAGTCAGTCGCTGTCACTTTCGCACTCGCGCGGTGCGCCCCATGCGTGCGAGGGAGAGCGAGCGACAAGCACCGCTTCGGAACCGGCCCTGCAGGCGAACTGCCGCCATGCTGCCGCTGTCAAGGAAAGGGGAGAGAAGGGGGAGGGGGGGGGGTCGACCTCGGCCGGCGCTCATTGGTTTTCCCTGTCGACTGGCTGAGCCCGACTACCGTGTCCGCCGTGTCGCAAGCCGCGGGGCGCGGAGGCCGCTCCTCTCGGGGTGCGCGACGACCGCGACGACGACCCACGGCGAACCGCTGACTTGCCCATCCGTCGGCGGCGACGACGTTTGGTGACGATTTGGCGGAAAGATGCTCCGGCCCTTGCAGTGGCGCGTGGTTGACGAGCCGCCCCGCGGCCGGACCGACCAGCGACCGCCGTGCGAGCCGAGTGCGCAGCCGTCGCTCTGTCTCTCTCGCACCCATACGGGACGCCTTATGAGTGCGAAAGAGAGAGAGAGAGAGAGAGACGGCCGCGAGGTGTGCCGTGAGTCTGGCCGAGACAATGGTATCGGCGGCGGCGGGCTTTCTTTGGAAAGTTTTTATTTGGCGTCTCCAGCCGGATGCGGACCGTGGAGCGCGGTGCGTGTGGCGCGGCGTATCGCCGATAAGGCGTCGGGGATCGGCCTGCCTCTAGGCCTGCCGCCCCTCCAGGCTACGCCAGGCCAGCCGAGTCGCTGTTCTTTTGGCCCCGCCGGCGGCCACACTACTATACGGCGTCCAGTGGCCATGGTCGCCGTCGTCCTCGAGGTCGTCGCCGTGCTCTCCTTTGCCGTCCCGGCCGTCCTCGCCTTGATTAGCGCTTCGCTGGCCGTGCCGCAGTGGCGCGCCAGTCGTCGCTCTCTGTCGCTTGCGTGGAGCTCGCCGCAAGGGTGCGAGAGAGACGGAGCGATTGAGCGTCGCTCGCCACACTGGCTAATAAGCTGGCCGGTCCGCCTGGCCTGCCTGCCCGATCGCCGGGAAGGCCTTCCTCGGCCGGCGTCCTCTCCTTTCACTGGGGGCGCCGTCTGGGTGCGAAGCGCCACGGCGCCCCGCCCCGCCTCGCCTCCTGAGACGCGGAGTCTCCGTGTCGCCGACCTACTGTACGAAACAGTTTGTCTAGTGTAGGCACTGCTCGCCGCCTGCAACGTCGATAGGCCACTCGGTCCCCTTTCCAAGTTCTACTTTCGCAGTTTTTGCCGCCGACGTTGAGGGAGTTTTGCCGCGAGCGTCCCGGGGCTTGCAGCGCCGCCTCGGTGCGCGCTTCGCACTGGCGGCCACTCTTGGGCAACTCCCGGACTGCGCTTGCCGCGCCTTGGTACGCCTTGGCGCGCCGGCATCCTGGCGGACCTGGACACGTCCTGGAACGTCCTGGAGAGCCCTGGAACGTCCTGGAAGCACGGCCGGAGCGTCCCGGGCTCGTCGTCCGGCCGCGGCTGCCGGCCGGGGGGATGCAATGCGGGTCCCGGCTGCAGCAGTCCTTTGTAGTCGGACTGTCTCTCTCCCACCCCGCCGGGACGCCGCGGGAGTGCGAGGGAGACGGGGCGACTCTCCGGGACCGGCGAATCAACCTGCGGCTCGGCCGGAAGAGTGAAAGTGGGGTCGATTTTTGGCGGCGTAGCGCAAGAGCACTGCAAGAGCACTGCAAGAGCACTGCAAGAGCACTGCAAGAGCACTGCAGGAGCAGGGCGGGGGAGGCCAGGACGCTGTGCCGTCGCTGCTGGGCGGTCCGCAGCCGCCGCCGCCGCTGCAGATTCATATCCTGCCATTATTTATTTTTTACGCCCAGCTTATTTTTGCCTGCGACCCTGTTCTTGGTGCCGCTCGCTCCTCGTGAGTTCCCGGCTGGCTGGCTGGGCTTCGCCGGCCTGGAGCTGAACGTGTGTGTGTGCGTGTGTGTGCGCGTGTGTGTGTGTGTGTGTGTGTGCGTGTGTGTGCGTGCGTGTGTGTGTGTGCGCGGGCACACCTGG